CCAGGAAGTACGAAGATGTACCAAGATATCAAGGCATACTTCTGGTGGGCTGGAATGAAGCGAGATGTCGCAGAATACGTAGCCCTGTGTGACATTTGCCAAAGAGTCAAGGCGGAACATCAGAGGCCAGCTGGTCTGCTGCAACCCCTACCGATTCCCGAGTGGAAATGGGAAGAGATCGGAATGGATTTCATCACCGGTTTGCCAAGAACCCCTAACGGGTACGACTCCATCTGGGTAATCGTGGACCGACTCACGAAATCAGCTCATTTCGTGCCAGTGAAAACCACCTTTGATGGAAAGAAACTAGCAGAACTCTACATGACCCATGTCGTATGTAGATTTGGCTGTCCCAAGAAGATCGTGTCAGATCGAGGCACTCAGTTCACCTCAAGGTTCTGGAAACAATTGCATGAAGCCCTCGGAACCGATCTAAATTTTAGTATGGCCTACCATCCGCAGACCGATGGTCAGACTGAAAGGGTAAACTAAATCCTAGAAGACATGCTACGTGCGTGTGCCCTGGATTTCGAAGGCACTTGGGATCGTTGTTTGCCGTATGCTGAGTTCTCATACAACAACAGTTATCAGGCCAGCATTCATATGTCGCCGAATGAGGCAATGTTCGGAAGAAAGTGCCACACCCCCTTGTGCTGGAATGAGGTGGGTGAAGCGCTGGTATTCGGTCCTGACATACTCAAGTCAGCAGAAGAACAAGTTAAGCTAATCCGAGAACGTTTAAAGACAGCGCAGAACCGTCAGAAAAGTTACGCTGACAATCGAAGGCGTGACCTTGAGTTCGAAAAAGGAGATCATGTGTACCTGCGGGTATCACCCCTCCGTGGTATGAGGAGGTTTGGGATGTCCGGCAAGTTAGCACCCCGCTACATCGGCCCCTACCTCATAACCGCCAGACGTGGCGAAGTGGCTTATCAGCTTGAGCTACCTGAAGATCTCGCAGATGTGCACAACGTGTTCCACGTATCCCAGCTAAAGAAGTGTCTTCGAGTTCCGGAAGAGCAAGTTCCCCTGGGTAATATCGTGCTGGAAAAGAATCTGACCTACAAGGAAAGACCGATCAAGGTTCTTGAAGAGGCAGAACGTCAGACTCGAAGGAAGACCATCAAGTTCTACAAAGTCCAATGGAGCAACCATTCTGAAGATGAGGCAACCTGGGAGCGAGAAGATCTTCTCCGCGCCGAGTTCCCGGAGCTGCTCCCTTAGGTGCTGAATCTCGGGGTCGAGATTCTTGTTAGGGGGGTTGGTCTGTAGCGCCCGTTCCGTCGTGGAGCCTAGCGAGAAAATTATCTCCTAAAAACCCTAATTGCGAAATCTGTTTCTTTGCTTGTTGTCTAGTGTCCGTGCCATCTCAAGATCTCAATCCCCGATCTATCGTCGAGTTCAATTCCGAATCCAAATCCTTCCAAATCAAATTCCTCTGCAAAAGTCTATTTTGCCTCCCCCGGGGTCGATGGGCTGATTTTCTCTCGGCCCATCTTCCCCTCTCCCCCGGCCCTTTCCCCTCTCTCCCCGGCGCCCTCTCTCTCTCGCTCGCTCTCTCCCCCGGCGCGCTCCCGCTCCCTCTCTCCCTCTCTCCCTCCGCTCCGCCCCGCGCCGCGCGCGCGAGCGCGCGTCGCCGCGCCAAGTGCCCCTCCCTCGCGCGCCGCGCGCAAGCGCGAGAGCCGCGCCCTGCGCCTCTCCGCTCTGCCCGCGCGCGTGCGCGTGAGCCGCCCGTGCCGAGCCGAGTCTTCCCTCTCCGCTCCCTCGCTACCGCTCCCCGCGCTCGTTCGCGCGCGCGCCCGCGTGGTTGCCGCCCGTGTCGCGTCGCGTCTGCGCCACCCGGTCCCGCTGCCCTGCCGCCTGCAGCCGCGCAGCCGCTTGGCCCCGCGAGCCAGCACGCGTGCCCGAGCCGTGCCACTCCATCCGCCAGAGCCTTCCGTTGCAAGCCGCGCGCGCGTGCCGTGGTGGCCGACCGCCCGGTCGCCGCCGCCGTCAGCCTCTGCACGCGCCTGTCGCCTGTGTCGCCGCTCCGCTCCAAACCGCCCCGCCGTCATCGCCGTCGTCATCACCCGGCCCCGCCACTCCGCGCGCAAGCCGCCAAGGGACGGAGGCAGCATCCCTCCTCCCTCTGCCGCGTCGCCCCCGCTCACCTCCTCCTTTTTCCCGAATCGGCAAAGGGGCAAGCCCCCTTTCTCCCCCTCCTTTTCCCCTTTTTCCTCCTCGCCGGCGTCATCCTCCCTGTCGCCGCTTTGGGCGCGACCGCCGAGCGCCAGCTCGCGCCCTTGACCGCGCAAGTCGGTTCCCAAACCGACATTGCCGCCCATTTAAAACCCCAGCCTCCCCTTTCCCTTCCTCTTCCATTCGCCTCCGTGCCATTGCCGCCGCCCCCGTGCTCTGTCTCGCCTCTGCCGTCCTTCGCCGAGCGCCGGGAGAACTGGTGCGTTCGAGGACGCGGAAGGGGACTTCGGCCGCGCCCTCTCCTTTCTCTTCCCCGGCCTGAGGCCGGAGAGATTACTCCCGCGCCGTCGGCCTATCGTCATAGCACCCCGTCCCGCACGGTAGTGTCTCCCTCCGTTCTTCCTCCTCGCTCCATCTCCCCCCCTTAGTTTTCGGTGGTAGCACGAGTGGACTCCCCGTAGCTAGCCGGCGCCGCCCCAACCGTTGCCGTCGCTCGCCGTGTGCTCGCCGCCGTCGCCGCTCGAGCTCCGTAGCACCCGCACGTCGCCAGCCTCGCTCGGCGTAGCTCCGTCCAATCCGACGCTAGCATCGAGTTCCCGAAACCGCGTAGATGCTCTCACCGCCAGGAATCGACCCCTCGTGGCCTCGTCGCCGTTTCCCTCTTCCCTCCCCGCCTGTTGTCGCCGCCGCGATTCGCCGCCGTCAAGCTCCCTCCGGCGAATCCGAGCCGTTGGCTCGTCTCCCCTCATCACGAACAACTTGGGTAAAACTTGGGTTTTACAAAAGACTTGGAAAACCCGACACCTGGGTCGGTGCTTGCGAACTAAATGAATTTCTAAAACCGTGGACCGGGGAACGTACCAGGTGTATGGTTTTCCCGCTCCCGCACTTAAGGACCGATTCCTTGGAATTTCATCCGAACATAAGACAAGTATGACCACATGGGTGGAATGGGACACCCCTGGCTGAGTAACTAGCTTATCAGGAGAGCCATGATGCCGAGAGACATGTGGATTCGCCGGGGTGGTGTCGGAGAGGACCCCCCTGGGCTTCCTGGCACAGTATGGTCTGGGACCTAACCTGTTGTTGGTCTGGGACCCCTCTCGTCGGCATATGGTAAGCCTGTGTCGGCTTTGGAAATGCCTTGTCATGAAAGCTTGGAGGTCTCCCGACGTGGCTGATCCCCACGGGCTGGGTGATCCGGGTTAGTAATGTCGTGTGGGTAAAGTGTACCCCCTCTGCAGAGGTTAACAAACTGTTCGAACAGCCGTGCCCACGGTCATGGGCGGATGTGAGGTGATTCCTAGCGTAGTTTTGTTTGACAACTGCTTGTGAAATTACTGTTGTGAAAAGGGGTTCGATGTTTGAAAAATCAGCAGCTGACGGGATCAGCTAGGCCCGGGTGGCCGTTTGAAAAGTTGTTGGCCCGGGTGGCCGTTTGAAAAGTTGTTGGCCCGGGTGGCCGTTTGAAAAGCTGTTGGCCGGGTGCCAACCTTGTTTTAAGATCTAAAGATTGATACATTGCACATACTCCGACCGGACGGGACGCACTGTCTCAACCGTGTCGTTTGAGAAGCACTCACCTAGATGTTTTTAGAAAAGAGTTCAAATAAAATCAATTACGAAAACAACAGCCTTTCCTTGAAGCCTGCATTAAACACTTATTTCCCCTGGCTTGCTGAGTACTCCCGTACTCACCCTTGCTCTATATAAATATTTCTCCCCCCCAGTTGCTGATGAAGATGAAGCGGATCCTGCTGATGAGGAGTTCTTCCAGGAGCAAGCCGGTTACGATGAGTTTTACGGGTTTCGGCCTAGTTCCCAAGTCGCGCCTTTGTTGTTTGGTCCAAGTCCCGGCTTCCGTTTCCCTTTTGTAATGCAGTTGTGAGCTCGGGATCTATCTGCAGCCCAACATGACTGTACTCCTACTCTATAATAAAGAGACCTCTGTTGCTGTGATATTCTATCTTCCTGTGATACCAGCAATGTTTCCTGGGACTGGTATCGATTAACAGGTTAATTTGGAGCGTCACGGGCTAATTCCAGTCGGGACTAGCTCGGGGCGTGACATCTTCTCCCTTCCTCCCCTTCTCTCTTCTTCTTCCCGCTCAACGGCAGCGGTGGAGCTGGAGCGAGGAGTGCAGGAGCAGTGGGGATGGCAGCGTGAGCAGCATTAGGAGCGGCGGGGACAGTGGCAGAGCGAGCAATGGCGAGCGCAGGGGTGGCGGGGACAGCGGCGGCGGAGCAAGCTGTGGCGCGCGACAGGAAAAAATGGCAGTGGAGCGAGCGGCGGCGAGGGCGGGGGCGGCGGCGGAGAAGAGAGAGAGGCAGAAGACGGGGAAGAGAGAAGTAGAAGATGATGGCATTTTCGTCCAAAACATACATAATACGTATCTGAGTAGCACCACTCAGATTACAAATAAATATCAATGGCATCGTTACAGATACGCGAATAGTAATAGTATATTTTAAAACCAATAAATTTTTAATGGTATGGATCTAATTAACCCTTATTTTTTAGGTTGCGTTCATTGTGGGTGGCTAGGAACAAATCTCTTGCACACGAAAAATGGAATGATCTATTAGCGCATGATTAATTAAGTATTACTTTTTTTAGAAATAAAATAATATGATTTTTTAAGCAACTTTCATATAGAAACTTTTTAAAAACCACACCGTTTAACGCTTTGAAAAGCTTACATGCGGAATAAAGGGAGAGGGGTTGGGTGCACGGAGCAACGAACACAGCCTTAGACAGTGGAAGTACGGAGTATTGTGGTAGGTACAGTTCGTAGGTACGCCTAGGTTCACGTGGACGTGGACGTTTACGCGTGTGTTGTGTGCGCCAGTGAGGACGGCCACGCACGACGCCTCTTCTCCTCTCGCCGTCTCGCGCAATCGCGCGGCCACAAATAACGCCGCTCCACCTTTTCGCTCCCGGCTCCTCCTCCTCCTCTCATCCTCTCCTCTCCCACTCCACACCCAGGCACCCAGCTCGAGCGCGACTCGGCAAATCCATGGCTCCCACGGCGGCGTCGGCGGCGGCGGGGGAGGAGCAGCAGGCGGTGGGGCTGGCGGCGCGCGACTCCTCCGGCCACCTCTCCCCTTTCGCCATCTCCCGGAGGTACATATGCAACCATATACGTCACCATCGACGCCCTACCTACCTAGCTAGCTGTCGTCGCATGCGTGCGCCGGCCTCGTCGCCGCCGCTGCCGTGGTGGGACGACGGTCGTCGGCGTACGGACGGCGGTGGTCTCCGGCCACTTGGGGCGCTCTGTCCGTACGTACGTACGGTGGTGTGCTTTCTCATGTTTCTGCCGAATAGTATATATATAGTGTTTATTTGTTCCCATGGACTTGACGTCTAGATAACGATATTTTGGCCGTGTTTAGATCCAAAAACTTTTTCTTTAAAGCTTTCAACCTTTTCATCACATCAAAACTTTCCTACATATATAAACTTTTAACTTTTCTATTACATCGTTCTAATTTCAACCAAACTTTTAATTTTGATGTGAACTAGGATACGGTTTATCAAAAGTATTGCTGGAACTGGAACCTAGAGCCTCATCGTTTGGCATATTCATATGCTTATCAGCCAAAATTTGAATTTTCAACGTTAAATTTGGAGCTGATTTTGGGTTTTTTCGTCGAAGTTTATTTTTCGGCCTTTACTTTTAGATTGGTAAGAACACATATATAAAAGTTTTATTTACAAATTGATTTTCGTTTGTAAATATACCTCCGAAAATATGCCAAACGGTGAAGCTGCTAGTTTCTCGTGCAAATTTCATATGAATTTCGCTGGTAACTACTGTGACACTTTAATTTGCAAATTCCTCTAAGTTCACCTGTGAGTTGATTAATAATTAATTGGGTGCTCATTTTGGAATCTATTACTCCCTCTGTCCCAAAATATAAGGGATTTTGGAGAGACGTGACATATTCTATTACTACTAATCTGGACAGACTATATGTCTAAATTCGTAATATTAGGATATGTCACATCCCTTATATTATGGGTAGTTCCCTAAAAGTTTTTTTTTTTTGAAAAACATCACATCGAACCCTTGAAGACATGCATGGAGCATTAAATGTAGATGAAAAAAACTAATTGCACAATTATGATGGAAATCGCGAGACGAATCTTTTGAACCTAATTAGTTCATGATTAGCCATAAGTGCTACAGTAACCCACATGTGCTAATGGTGGATTAATTAGGCTCAAGAGATTTTTGTTTCGCGGTTTCCAGCCGAGTTATTAAATTAATTTTTTCATTCATGTTCGAAAACCCCTTCCGACATCTGGTCAAACATCTGATATGATACCTAAAAATTTTTATTTCACCAACTAAACAGGCTCTATGGGACGGAGGGCTAGCTAGTTTCATTAATTGCTTGCATCTATTCTGCTCTGTTTCCTTCTATTACAAAGAATATTTGAATAATAAAATGATATGTTTAGGTGAATATAAGTAGTCAAGTAGTAGTACTGTTGATTGCTGCTGCCTTCAATTATGTGTTCCTGTCTGGGCAAATCTCAACTGCAGATAACTGTTCCATGTAGCGCAGGCAATTGCAGGAATTTGCATGCTCTATATATAAAAGGAAAAAGTACGAATTACCCCCCGAACTATCGCGGTCGTCCGAATTACCCCCTAAACTATAAAACCGGACATTCTTCATCCCCAACTATGCAAACTAGACGAATTACCCCCCTCGAATTAATTTAGAGCGGTTTTGTTCAACGTGGCGCACACGTGGCAATCCAGTCAGCGGTTTTTAATTAAAAAATTGTGGGACCCGCATGCCATACTCTTCTCTTCTTCCTCTCTCTCTATAGAGCTCTCTCGCTTTTTCTGTCTCGTGGCTCGTGGGGACGGCGAGGATGGCGACGGCGGAGGCAGCGGCGGCGGCGGCGAGGCGAGGCGGCGGCGGAGGCAGCAATCGCGGGGAGGCGAGTGACGGTGCAGGGCGGCGGCAGAGGCGAGCGGCGGCGGGAGCTCGCACTGCTCGCGGAGGAGGCGAGGCGGCGGCGGCGGCGGCGGAAGAGGCGAGCGGCGGCGGGGTGCAGCGGAGGAGGCAGCGGCGGCGGCGAGGCGAGGCGGTCGGCGAGCCCGGTCGAGCAGCGCCCCCTCCACGGCGAACCCACCGGCGGTGACACCGACCGCCACGCCTATACCCTCCCCCATCTTTCGACGGCTGACCGCCACGCCTCTCCCCTACCAAATCAATATCACCTGGCGCCAGACGCATCATAATGCAGCCATGCCCGCCACATCAACTCCCCTGGGATAGATCGTCCAGCAGCGGCATCACCACAGCTCTGCCGCCACCGCTCCGTCCGCCGTCGCCGTCCTCGCCGTCCCCGCGAGCCACGAGAGAGAGAGAATAGAGAGAGAGGAAGAAGAGAAGAGTATGGCATGCGGGTCCTACAATTTTTTAATTAAAAAAACGCTGACTGGATTGCCACGTGTGCGCCACGTTGGACAAAACTGCTCTGAATTGGTTCGAGGGGGATAATTCGTCCGGTTTGCATAGTTGGGGGTGGAGAATGTCCGGTTTTGTGTTTTAAGGGGGTAATTCGGACGACCGCGATAGTTCGGGGGGTAATTCGTACTTTTTTCCTATATAAAATATACAATCATTTATGTGGGCCTTCTCATCTTTGTTTAGCCTTTTCAAGTACCTATTGTGACTTGTGTGGTCAAAATCTTTTTCTAAATTTATGTGGGAAAAGAACTGAATCCTGTAATGCAAATATGCACGTGTTCCGACTTGTGAGTTCTTGCTGGTGGATTAGCATGTTTTGGCCGTCTCTTGTTACTTCTGCTTGCCAAAGCGTTTACGGAAGCATCAAGGTGTTTATAAGAATTACTATTTACAAAATTACAAGGTTTTACATTTCGATGACAAAAGTTACATCCACCGAAATTTTTAAGTTTCCAATGTTTTGATAAATTATTTTTGAACTTCTTAACAAAATTTGATCAGCTACGAGGCCAGCACATACTACTAGCTAGCGTTGTGCATCTCAATTTTGGAAATTTCAAACCTTAATTCGCTATTTTGGTTGGGCATGCATGTTTGTCCTGTGTCGTCGAACTGTGCAGCCATGTTTTTCTTTTGGGATTTTGTGAGCTAAAATCCATTCTGGTTCTTTTCATCAATTGGCTGGCTAGTGGCTCACTTTTCTGGCAGCTGGTCGGTTGCAGTACATTCACAACCTTGAAATTTTGTGATAGCTACTTGGCTGCACTGCATATGGTGGTTGATGAGTCCATACTTTTCTGGTCCTGAATAATTTGTCTTTTCCAAACGGGTAGTTTGAATTTGCTTTAGTTACTGGTTATGGTTGTAATTTGCTGAATCTCTTTTTGCGGTCATATTTACTAGTATGGCTGTATCGATGGACAGCTTTGGACGATCTGCATGAACGAAATTCATAAGTCAACAGAACAGGGTTAAGTCAACTAATTTGTTTGGTTTCAGTTTGGGGTGTATACTTTGCATATAGGATCATCTGAATCAAAATCTTTCTTCTGGCTGCATTACAATTATGCATTGTAGTAGTTTCTGATAATTACTTGCAATTCTGCAGGAGCACTGGAGATGACGATGTGGCGATAAAGATTCTGTTCTGTGGAATCTGCCACTCTGACCTGCACTGCATCAAGAATGAGTGGAAGCACTCCATCTACCCACTTGTTCCTGGGTAATGGAATTTCCGAAACCCCGCACCGGCACGCTCAAATCTCGTCCGAAATTTTCTGTTTTTTACATTTTTTTTGTGAATTTGGTCTAATTTTATTTAAATTCAGTCAAATTTTCAAATAATTTCGTCTCGAAATTTCTAAAATTTTGGCAACCCCCGGCATAAAATCCAATTTCAAAATTGAAAACCCTGATCAAGCCTATATCCATGGCTATCTGCTTCTGAAAATTTTAAACAAACACAAGCTTGAACCTCCCGATCGACGCGTATGCAGGCACGAGATCGCCGGTGTGGTGACGGAGGTGGGGAAGAACGTCACCAGGTTCAAGGCCGGCGACAGGGTCGGCGTGGGGTGCATGGTGAACTCGTGCCGGTCATGCGAGAGCTGTAACAATGGCTTCGAGAACCACTGCCCGGAGGGCGTCTTCACCTACAACTCCGTCGACAAGGACGGCACCGTCACCTACGGCGGTTACTCGAGCATGGTGGTGGTGCACGAGCGCTTCGTGGTCATGTTCCCGGAGGCGATGCCGCTCGACGTCGGCGCCCCGCTGCTGTGCGCCGGCATCACCGTGTACACCCCCATGAAGTACCACGGCCTGAACGCGCCGGGGAAGCACGTCGGCGTGCTCGGCCTGGGCGGGCTCGGCCACGTCGCGGTGAAGTTCGCCAGGGCGTTCGGGTTGAAGGTGACGGTGATCAGCTCGTCGCCGGGGAAGAAGCGGGAGGCGCTGGAGCGGCTCGGCGCCGACGCGTTCGTCGTGAGCAGCAGCGCCGAGGAGATGGAGGCCGCGAGGTCCACCATGGACGGCGTCATCAACACGGTCTCCGCCAACACCCCCATGGCGCCGTACCTGGCGTTGCTGAAGCCCAACGGGAAGATGATCCTCGTCGGCCTCCCGGAGAATCCCCTGGAGGTCCCTCCCTTCTCTCTCGTCCACGGTAAGCAAGCTCCATCGTCGAGATCGAGCTCGATCGCCACCGCCACGGCTAGCTGCACCTTGATGATTTATGATGATGATGCAGGGAACAGGACTCTGGCAGGGAGCAACATCGGCGGCATGGCGGACACGCAGGAGATGATCGAGCTGGCGGCGAAGCACGGCGTGACGGCGGACATCGAGGTGATCGGCGCCGACGACGTGAACACGGCCATGGAGCGCCTCGCCAAGGCGGATGTCAGGTATCGCTTCGTCATCGACGTCGGGAACACCCTCCACGCCGCCGCCGCCGAGTGATGGCATCGCCTGCAAACTATTCGTGTGGTCTGTAATCTGTATGAAATTGTTCATGGTACGTACACGATATATAGATTGTGGCGTGTCATGGCGTATAGGAATGAACCCGATCGAGGAAGCTATTGTTGGTAGTCTGATGCTAGTCAGCTCAGTGTTTGACTGTTTGCATTTACGGATTGAAATTGAGCTTTGTGTGGCCTAAGTTTTATTTTCTAAAGATTTCAAGTGAATTTCGTTTTATTCGAATGAAATTCCAGATCTTTATCTCTACTTCCGGAAATGCTAACTCAGCGCCTAGGCGGTAGGTCACACATAGGTAACGCACACGCGGCGCAGTTAGGTTTCTTTTTTCTTTTTTTTGGGATTCTTTTCCGAAGGCACGTACATCTAAAGTAACTAACCCGGTTAGTTTTAGATAAGGATAATAATTAAGGTAAGATTTGTCTTTTTTCGAAGATTTTTTTAAGTAATAGATTAAAAAGAAATCTACATGTGAAGTCAATTTTTAAAAACTTTCAACTCAAAATGTGAATTTTTTAAAGTCAAATTTTAAAAACTTTCAACTTTTCATTTTAAATTTAAAAAACTTTCAACTTAAATTTTAAACTTTCAACCCAGATTTGAAAACTTTCGACTCATATTTAAAAACTTTCAAATTAAAATTTGAAAACTTTCAACTCAAATTTTAAAAACTTTCAAGTTAAAATTTAAAACTTTCAATTCTACATTTGTAAAGGAGTGTGCGAAATATTGGAAAAAATAGGAAAGAAATGGCAAAAAAAAAAGAAAAACGCGCACGGAGGCGCCAAAATGGGAAAAAAGGTCGGTAAGTCAAACTCAATTTCAATAACTACTGTGAACACACACGCTGTCCTCTTAATTGTACCACAAGATCATTACACTTGACAGCCGCCATCGGTCGAGCTCGAAGGTCGCGTCGGCGCAGACCGCACGTTCCTTGTTTGACAGTCGACCGTACACGTGTAGCTGCACATCGGGAGGCGGGGCGACGCCGGCGACGGCGCCGGGCGGCGGGGCCTGCTCTCCGGCGCCGCCTCCGCCGTGCGGCACCCCCTGAACACCGTCACGGCGAAGCGGACGGTGAAGCGGTCGTCCTTGGCGCAGCCCGCCTGCTCGAACGCGTCCCTCCTGATCACCATGCTCTGGCCCCTGCCGTCCACCGCGAAGCTCAGCACCCTGCCGGTGCCGGAGCAGACGCCCGCCTGCGGGCTCCCGCCGTCGCCGAGCAGGTCGAACCTGACCTGCGCCACCACCGCCGCGGCGGCGGCCTTGGCCTTGGCGGCACGGCGGAGGCGGAGGAAGAACTGGATCATGTCGGCGTCGCCGGCCGCGGCGAGCTTGCCGTTGGGGTAGAAGTCGACGCACCACTCGTGCCCCCCCGCGGTGAACGGCGGCGACGTCGCGCATTTCCCGGTGGGCAGCATCGCCTTGATGTGGGAGTAGCCGTCGATGGTGAGGTCGAAGTGCTCGCTGACGGTGTCGGCCACGATGGCCGCCGAGCCGCAGCGGCGGCGGCGTTCGCCGGAGCTGGACGCGGAGGCGCCCATGCACGCACGCGCGGTGAGAGTACTACTACCTGAAGAATTGATGTTAAATTTGTTAATATAACTGGGTAATTTTGATCTTAAGTTCTTAATTAACGAGATATATTAACGACGCGCGTGTTAGTGAGGGAACGAGGAGGAGAGCCAGCCACTGTTGGTCGGACTCGGAGACTAGCTGCGTTCTCCAAAAAAAAGACTCGGAGACTTGTTGGTATCGGACAAGTTCTTAATCAGATGGATCAATTAGGTTAATGCTTCGGATAAGATGACAAAACTATTAGGCAGAAACCGGGCCGGTCTGGTTGGGCCGTTTATTAGAACAGAACTAGCGCGCGTCCAAATCATGGTTCAGCAATTCCGATTTAAATTTTGGAAAAAATATTGTAAACTCTTGGCAAAATCGCTAATTAGCGATTAGTCGCGCGCCACTCCCCCACACGGTGAGACACGTGGGGCGCGTGGAGGGGAGGGGCGGGGGGGACATCGCAGGGGAGTGGACACCTGTCCCCCCTTTTCCGTTTTCTTTTTATTTCTTCGGTTATTTTCTACGTTTTTTTCCTTTTTTTTTCCTTCTTTTCTTTTCGGTTTTTTCCTTCCTTTTTATTTTTTGCTTTTTTATACCTACAGGATACAAAGTTTGTATACGTGTATATATATTTGTATACGCGTATACAAAATTTATATATATTATGTATTTTCTAGTTTTTTATTTTTTTTAATATATACATATATAAAGTTTGTATATGTCCTATATAAACTTTGTATATGCGTATATATTTTTTATGTATTAAAAATATATTCATAAATATATATATATATACATATATAAAGTTTGTATATATATATATAAACTTTGTATATATATATATATATATATATATATATATATATATATATATAAATATATATATATATACACACACACACACACACGTATGTGTATATATAATATATACATATGATGTATAGATACGTGAGAGAGGACTAAAAGAGGGCGACTGACTGCGCGTGGCTGATCGCGAATGGGGCATCTCTTTTATTGGTTTATGTTACTTTAAAGGTATGATTTTTTTTTAGAAAAATCAATAAGATTGATTAATATGTGATATATCAACCCATAAAAATTCAAGGTATGATTTAAATTCTACGTGTTGCAATGAAAAAACAAATTTAACTGTGAATATACGTTAACTAGCTATAGTTTAATTTTTTTAAAAAACTTGTATAAGTTAAAAAAAAATTTTGACCGTAAAGAGAGATTTTATTAATGATAAAACATAGGATTACATTCCTGATTTAACAGCTCTAGAATTTCAGTCGGAGCGCATAACCTCCACTCCGCTTCAACTCCTGAGGTCATAACCATCTGAGCTAACATAAGAGCTATCCTCTATTTGAATCTCTCTTCACTTTGTGCACTTGCACCTGCAACAAGCATTGCATTGCCACTCTTATCTCGGCAATTATGCCTCCCCATTCTGCTCTTGACGCTTGTGTTATATTCAGTCCAGCAACGACATCGGCATTGTCAGATTCAAGTATTATTGGCATATGTATCCAGTTCGTCGCCAACCGAACGCCCTCCAGGCAAGCCAAAGCTTCAGCCTGGGTAGCAGAGCTGCATCTTGGAAGCTTCTTACAAGCTGCAAGAAGAACCAGGCCCCTGCAATCTCTGACAATTATTCCAGCACAAGCATCACCCGTCTCCTTCCTGAATCCAGCATCAATGTTTACCTTAGCCACACCTTCCGGTGGAGGTTCCCATTTAGCAATTTGCACAGCATTGGCATGCACTTTTTCTGTCAGTTCCTCAGACATTGGTCGCTTGCCCTTCTTGTCATCAATCTGTTGTCGGACAGGCAACAGACATGCTTCATAGTTAACCAAGAAGTTGATAGAGACAGCTATAGGATTGGAATCAGCACCATGTACCATCTCATTTCGAAGATGCCAAGCACGCCAAAACATATATAATTTGTATAAGTTAAATTTTAACTTGCATATTTGTAGAGTGATATATCACAGATTAATATTACCATTTTTAAACACTTGTATTTTGATAGGCAATCGTAGTATTTTCAACTGTTTATAAACCAAATCATTTTATAACCAATATGCTTACTAACAGAGCATCGGATCCGTTCTATTTTTTTCCTTGTCACAAGGTAGAGGCGTGTGAGAATTGTTGAACACTAGCACCTTTTCCACATAATCGCATAAGTAAACAATATATACATAAAATATTGGGTGAAACTCTCTCTTTATTAGATCTGATATCATGGTATTTTTCTTGCCTACCAATTTCCTTTTTTATAACATACAAGAAATAGTTATTTTGGGATGGAGGGTGAACCTTCGTTCTATTTTACTTGTTATTTTGGACATCTACAAGGTCTCCAGTACTATAGGGTCCCTCTTGGTTGCCTATGGCTGATAATAAGTTGTAACGGCTTATTAATGATAAAAAATAATTTATGCGTAAAACTTTTACACATGTGTCCTTTGATTTAAAAACAATTCTAAAAAAAACTATGTTGAAAAAATGGGCAATTGTATCAGTGCCCCCACTTTCGAAGCCAATTGCTGTTTTACCCCCATTTTTTAGGGTTTGCATTTTTACCCCCACTTTTTTTAATCTGAAGCAGCCGTATACCTCCATTTCTAACAGCCGGTTTTAACAGTGTTAGTTGTAGAGAAAAGGACATTTATACCCTCGGCTGTTATTGCAATTTTGCCCCCATTTTTTTTTAGTTTTGTATGATTTTGCCCCTACTTTTGTGACTTAAGGTGTAAATAATCGAAACGTGAGAATCTGCTGTGATGTTTTTTATTTTATTTTTTTAAAAAATCACAAAAACTAGACAATTACAAAATTTGACCGAAATTTAAATAAAATTTAGACAGCATTTCGACATAATTTTCACACAACTAGCACAAGTCATATATAAAGCAAGCATTACAAAGTGTCCCATAGAAATAAGCCACCATACATATAAAAGTCATCGACACAACCATTACCAAGTCACGACATCGATCCTCTTCCTGGATTCTGAAACCGATGGCTCTTATCTCATCTCAGAAACTGTTGGTAGAGATGCAGGTAAAAAAGATGGCCATTTCAAGCTCGGAATCTGCTCCATTTCTGTCAGAAAGTAGCAGTAGCAGATAAACAACAACCGTTTCTTCGCATTTAGTTGTTGAACCGGTTGCTGTCAGAAAGGGCCCGGTTGCTCTTGCGAGCGAGCGCCGGCGCACGCCCTCAGCCGCGGCCTCGCGCACCCGCGGCCGCCGCCTCGCGCGCGCCCGCGGCCGCCTCCCCGCCACGCGGGCTCCATCACCGCTGCCTCCGCGCCGCGCCGCCGCCGCCGCCGTTGCCCCTGCGCTAGCTAGGGTTTCGACTCAACCACCCTCAGGGAGACGCACGGTTCAAAGATGGGGATGACCCTATCCATTCCCTTTCCCTTAGGGGTACAAATGTCATTACATAATTTATAAAACCTTTTTTTATTTTCTTTTGTATTTCTTTAACACACAATGTGGGACCTACCAAACGGCTGTCACAAGTAAGGGTAGACGGCTGCTTCATATTCAAAAAGTAGGGGTAAAAATGCAAACCTAAAAAATAGGGGCAAAACAACAATTGCTTTCAAAGTGGTGGCACTGATGCAATTGTCCCTTGAAAAAAAATCAAAATCAAGTCTTAAAGTTCAAAATTTAGCAACGACTTATAAGCCATGCTGTCAGGGTTATGGATACCACATACCTAATAGTAGTTGACTAAATCTCGGCAGGATCCACTACATACCATGTCTTATACGGAAACTGACTTCGGATATGGAGGGAGTTCCGGATAAGGAAGGACAACCAGAGTTCTACATGGAAACGACAAGGACTACTCGAATTGTATCCATATTAGTTTTCCTAGTTCTACTTGGACAAGGGGACACCCATGTGTATAAATACAAGACCCTCTAGGTGGAGAAGGGACACGAGACAATCAACAAACACGGAACAACAGAAGCCACAACATACAAGCCAACATACGCCAAGACAAGACGCCGGATATCGACTTCAGGGATAAGCACGGCTAGTCCCCTACGGTGTCTCCGGATACTGTCAGGAGAGACGAAAGCGTTATCTCTGATCTTGTCGGGCACGGATTCGAGGAGGAAGACTACCCTGTTGTCGACTACGAGTCAGACCTTCAGACAGCCATGTCGACAACAGTTTAGATAGGCTACCCCAAATATTGTACTAGTGTGATAATGGTGAATAAGAGCAATACCGGCTTCGGCCAACAGGATGTAGGGCTATTACCTGACAATTCGATCAGGGGCCCGAACCTGTATAAAAATCCATGTCTCTGTCTCTTTTATCTCAGTCTCGCGTATACCCTAGTACCGACGATCCCCATACTATGCAAATACCGGAATCACGACATCAAACGTCGACACATGCATAGAGCAAACCATGAGAGGCCCTTGATTTTTCATCCCTACTTTTGACTATATGTGATTATGAAAAGCTACCCCTCTTTTTTTTTGTTGATTACTCGATATATGTTTGACCATTCATCTTGCTAAAAAATATATGAAGTTGTTTTTTTTGTGATTTGTTGTGTTATTAAAGGTACTTTGAGCACAAATTTGTAAAACATTTTTAAATAAAATAAATGATCAAACACATTTCTTAATGTCAATGGCATAATACATTATATGCCGCAGGAAGTATTAAAAGTATTACTATATGAAGGTACATTTCATGACAAATCTACCCATATCATTCCTCATGTCAAATTTAATTAATTATTTAAGGTTTGACTACACATTAAATTCACAACAGAGCTAACAAATAATAATTTTGAAAAAAAAAGAGAATACACAGCTGAATATACAATGTATCACGTGAAGAAATTTGCAAGTTTAATAATTTTGCTGAGTGATATATATATCACACATAAATAAATTGTATTAGTTAAATTTTTTTTACGATAATTTGGATGCAATGTCACGTAAAAGCGAGAAGACATCCTCCTACGTAGTACGGTACGAAATTACTTTGCCCTTCTGCATCCACAGTACTGTTTAGGGCGTTGTACACGCTCTGATCTCTTCCGTGCCCGGGAAAGGTAAAACAAACGCAGCAAGGCAAACAACCGGGCTGAATCCATAGTTAAAAGGTGAAGATAAACAAAAGAACGCACATCGATCTAATACCATTTTGTAACGTCCCGCCTTCCCCCAGGCCGGGCCCGCTTACATCTGATAGCTTTTATAGGTCATAGACTGCCCTCACATACTAACACATGTCTTTTCTGCACACTTTGTCCTCACTCGTGTGCACCCGGGAAGAATTTCCCGGTCGGTCACCCATCCCAAATTGCTCCAGGCCAAGCACGCTTAACCCTGGAGTTCTTTGGAGATTGGCTTCCGGAAAAGAAGTTGCAATGAGTATTCTATTAATCCTATTAAGCCCTAGGCCGGGATGTTACACCCTCACCCCCTTAAGAGTGATCGACGCCCCCGTCGATCAACCCCAGGCCAGGAACGTCCTCTCTTGGCCACGTCCATGTGTCCAGTGCCAGCGCATGTGCCATGCTGTGTAACCACTCCCGGTCTACACCAGCCATGCGCACCATGCCTGCGCAACTGCGACACGCGCCCGTGAAACCGCGAGAGTCGGCTCTGATACCATCTCTTGTCACGCCCCGAACTAGTCCCGACCGGAACTAGCCCGTGACGCTCCAAATTAACCTGTTAATCGATACCAGTCCCAGGAAATAGTGCTGGTATCACAGGGAGACAGAGTATCACAGCAACAGAGGTCTCTTTATTATAGAGTAAAAGTACAGTCATATTGGGCTGCGGACAGATCCCGAGCTCACAACTGCATTACAAAAGGAAAGCGGAAGCCAGGACTTGGTATAACAATTAACAAAGGAAGGATCAAATGCAACAAATTAGGTAGGTCTGCCAATCTGCCTTGCAGACGGGACAACAAATTAAGTGTGATCCTATCAATGTATAATATTTCGCAAGCAATATAATTAAATTTCAAATATAGGCTCAAGATGTTCAAAGGTGGCTTGCCTTGCTCGAGATCTGGAGCTTGATCCTCGAAATCCTTGCATTGCGGGTCTTCGGGCTCCGAAACTACACGCGAAACGGGACAACTCAACAAACGGCGAAAATAAAGCCCTATTAAAGACCTCTAAGCGTGCCACTAGATAGATCTCGAGATTTGGGAAATTTTAGAAGTTGAATGGAGTCAAATGGAATTACAGTTGGGAAGATATTGAATTTATAAGATTATTGGATTTTTGTCTAAAGGAAAAGGATTTAATTAAATCCTTTTTGAAAAAGAAAAGAAAAGAAAGAACAGAGGGATGGAAATTAGACTTTTCCTCGGGCGGCTAGGGCGCGGTCCAAGGTAAATGGAGCGGCTCGGCCGAGCTTAACGGGCCGGCCGGCCCAAGACGGCCCAAGCGCGCGCGCGCGGGAGGGAGGAGAGAGAGTCCGGTGGACCGGGCTCACCACGCGCGGTCCCGGGTGGGACCCGCTTGTCAGCGGCTTGGCTCACCGTGCGGAGGGAGTACGTGGCTCATGCGCGCGGGCGGGGAAAGGACGCGGTGCACGCGCGCGGTCCGTGGTGGACGCAGGTGCGGCGGGCCCACGCGCAGCCTCACGGCTCGCGGTGGAACGCGCGCACGGGGAGGGACTGACCGGGGTCGGCTCGATCCGGTCTAGGCTGAGCTGGCGCCGACGTGGCACCTACGTGGCGGCCACGTGGGCTGGCGGGAGGTAGACGACGACCCGGCCGCGAATGGACGGCGGGCGGCGGCGGCGAGCGGCGGAGCGAACCACGGCGATACGGGCAAAAGCGTGCACACCGGGCGGTTGCACGTGACAAGGGGAGACGAGCCAACGGCTCGGATTCGTCGGAGGTTGCTCGACGGCGGCGGATTGCGGCGGTGGCAACCGGCGGCGGGAGAAGAGGGAAACGGCGACGAGGTCACGAGAGGTCGATTCCCGGCGGTGAGAGCATCTATGCGGCTTCAGGAGCTCGACGCTAGCGTCGGATTGGGCGGAACTACGCCGAGCGAGGCCGGCGACGAGCGGGTGCTACGGAGCTCGAGCGGCGACGGCGGCGAACACACGGCGAGCGACGGCAACGGTCGGGGCGGCGCCAGCTAACTATGGGGAGGCTACTCAAGCTACTACCGAAAGCTAGGGGGAGGAGATGGAGCGAGGAGGAAGAACGGAGAGAGATATCACCGAGAAGAGGAGGGGCGCTGTGACGAGAGGCCGGCGATTAACACAAAAGAACACACAACGATCTGATAGTTATTGTTTCGTGTTGCTATTAGTGAGAACATAATCTGTACAATCTATTCCTCATTCACGGATGGCAAGCTTGTTGGACAATAACAACTCATTCACAAGGTGATCGAACGCTTCCGTCGCCATGATTTCACGTAGAACTTTCGGTGTTTTTCGGAGGTACTCAAAGCATGCCTTCTTGAGCCCCTGGCAGCTAGGGCGTTGCTGTTCGACCAATGCCAGCATGCTGGCCACCGTGCCCTTGTTCACGTGCTTGCACAGCTCATGCTCGCACAGCAGCCTCAGCCTCTTCAGGTCGTACCTGTCCGCCGCGACGAGCAGCTGCTGCGACATGGCCACCGCGTCGCGCTTCCTCATCCCGGGCAGGGCGTCGGTGTACATGAAGTCGAGCAACGCGTCGAACACCTGGGGGTCCATGTCGTCGATCCGGATGACGCGCCCGGCGTCCCGCTCCACCATCGGGCCGTACAGCTCCGCCTCGAACACCGGCGACCGTGCGGCGAGCACGCACCGGTGCGCGCCGAACCGTCGCGCGCCGGAGCCGGCGCCGACCTGGAACGTCACGTCGGCGCCCACCGCGCGCGAGCGGAGGGCGCCGAGCTGGTGCCCCAGGTCGGCCGGCGGCACGTGGACGGACGACGCCACGGAGGCGGCGGCGGCGGCGGCGTCCGTCTTGGCCGTGGCGTACCGGCCGACGACGCCGACGTCGCACCGGATGGTGAGCACGTCGTCCACGATGCGCCCCGAGCTCTCCAGCTCGTCCTTCTTCCAGAACGCGTAGTAGCCCCAGCTGTTCTGCCCGGCGCTGAACTCGTGCACCGCGGCGGCGCGCACGTCGTCGTCGGGCGGCGGGTCCATGAGGTCGTTGGAGACCTTGTCGACGAGGCGTAGGAGGAAGTAGGCGGTGACGGACTTGGGCGGGTAGCTGTCGATGACATAGTCGAGGTAGACGGCGGCGTAGTCGGCGGCCTCCGCCGTCTCGCCGCTGGGGAAGTAGCGGAGGTACTACTTGTGGAACCCTCCCGCCATGAACACGGACGAGCTGACGCACCGGCCCAGCGGGGTCATCGACTTGATGCGGGAGTGGTTGCGGATCTCGAAGAGGTGGTACCCGCGAGACGTGCTCACGGCGACGCCCGAGCTGGAGCACGGCGGCGGCGGCGGCGGCTTGCTGCGGCCGGCGGACGACGACGCCGAGGCGCCCATGGTGTCTAGATACGCCGGAATTGGATGTTGTAAGCGATCGAACGATCTTGCCCGCTTAATCACTTATTAAAGGTCGCGAATAGATCGAGATTTCGTCTAGTGTTCGTATTTAGTTTAGTCATCTGATTTGGACTTTGGTTGCGATCACGTACGTGCAGCTAGGGGGCGAAATCGGGTTGGGTACGGTCACCGTATTTTCGAATCCTTCACATATTTTCTTTCACATTCAGAATAGAGTACGGGTTGTCAGGTAGTAACATATTACTCACACCCGTATCATAATTTATTTTTGTTCTCAAAAATTAGATTTAGGAACGGATATCAATTAGCATATCTAATTCATGCATATTAAATCTAGGGAGACAATTAAAGTGTTATAGGTTTCAAAAAAATTAAAGTGTTATAAAATATATCAAAGAAAAAAATATGAAATATTTGTGAGCTTGTATAATCGTGATTTACCAGTCTTGTAAAATAAAATATTGTATGTGTTTGATAATATATGGGACATACGAGCAAATATGACTCTTTCCGTATTCTAGCCTTTTTTTAAAAAAAAAACTCGGATATTACCGTATATCCCACGAGCCTCAGGCCAGGTGGGTCGGCGGAAAAGGGAGTACTAGCATTCGAAGGAAACTAAAGCAAGAAGAAGATGGATAGTAGTGATCGTGTGAAGGAGGGCATGCTTACTAATATGAGAAATCCGTTGATACATTTTTACCCTTAAAATTTACAAATGTAACTATAGTATATATTATAATGTAATGGAAAAAGTACGAATTACCCCCTGAACTATTGAGGTCGACCGAATTACACCCCCGAACTCGAAAACCAGACATTCTACACCCTCAACTATTGAAACGGAATAAATAAACCCCCCAGCTCAATCGGCGGTGTTTTTGGTCTTATATGGCATGCGCGCGGCAGTCCAGTCAGCAATTCTTTAAAAACATAGTGGGACCCACTCTCAAATCTCTCCCATCCTCTCTCTGCCTCTTCCTGTCCTCTCTCTCTGTCTCTCACCGACACCGGCCACCGGAGGCCACCGAGGTTAGGGAGGGAGGATGGAGAAAAGTGGCGGAAGTTGGGGACGAGACGCGCGATGGTCGCCGGTCTCGGTGAGGGTGGAAGGGAGAGGAGCGATGGCCGCCGGTCCCGCGCGAACAATATCGTCGGCACAACCTTCTCCCTTTCCGTGCGACGCCGTAGGAGAGCCGAGGTAGGGGAGCACGGGAAGAGAGCGACGGGGGAGCATGGGGGAGGGTCGGAGCCGGACTGTCGTCACCTCACAGCCGCCGACCACACATGCTTGCTCACGCGTTGCCGTCGCCACCGCCGAGTGGCCCCTCGTGCGCGCGCGGCGCCGTTAGGCATGGAGTGCGGCGGCGTGGTCCGGGCATGGACGACGTCGATGAGTAGGAGGGTGACGCGCGTGGCACGTACGGCTGAAGGAGCTCCGCCTCTGCCGCCGGCCGCTCGTTCTGCCTCCGCCGCCGACCGCCCCGGGAGCTCTGCCTCCGCCACCCGCCGCCCGGGGAGCTCCGCCTCCGCCGTCGGCCGCCTGCCCGCTCCGCCTCTGCCACCCGCTGTTTGGGGAGCTCCGCTTCCCCTCAGCCGCCCACTGCCCGGGAAGCTCCGCCTCCGCCGTTGGTCGCCCTCTCTGCCTTCATCTCTACCGCCTGCCATCTACCGCCAGCACTCAAGCAAGCTCCGCCTGCTCCCGCCCTTGCCCACCCGCCGCCAGTATCGGTGCCGCCATGCTAGTGAGCTGGTGAGGGGAGGGAAAAGAGAGAGGGGGGAGAGATAGAGTAGAGAGATAGAGAGGGGTGGGGAACTGACAGGTGGGATCCAGCAATTGTTATTAAGAGAATTGCTGACTGGGCTGCCACGTAGAACAAAAACAACCATAGATTGAGCTGGGGGTTATTTGTCCGGTTTCAATAGTTGGGGGGTGAAGGATGTCCGGTTTTATGGTCGGGGGAGGGAGGTAATTCAGTCGACCGCGATAGTTTGAGAGGGTAATTCATAGTTTTTCCTAATGTAATTACATTTGTAACTGCAACATAACTAATTACATTCTAACTTTATATGTATTCCCTCCGTCCCATAATATAAGGGATTTTAACTTTTTGTTTGCACTGTTTGACCACTCGTCTTATTCAAAAAATTTTATAAAAAATGAAAAATTGTGCTTAAAATACTTTGGATAATAAAGTAATTCACAAATAAAATAAATAATAATTCCAAATATTTTTGGGAAGCTGGGACTGATTGATCCTTTTTCGGGAAGCTGGGACGAGGATTTATTGCAACAAATATTCTGGGAGGAAGATGTACAAGTCATCAAAACAATCCCGGTGCACGTGGAGCTGGAGGATACATTAGCTTGGCATTTTGATCCGAGGGGCTGTTTCTCAGTTAGATCTGCGTATAAAGTGCAGAAAGAGGCTGAAAGGAGAAGTAGAAGGAGAGGCAGTGCAGGAAGTTCGAATGGGGAGAATGAGACGGGGGTTTCTTGGAGGAAGCTTTGGAAGATGGGCATACCGGGGAAGATCAAACATTTTCTTTGGCGCCTCAGCCATAACAGTTTGGCCATGCGTTGTAATCTGAAGCGCAGAGGATGGAGATGGATACCAGGTGTGTGATGTGTGGGCGAATGGATGAAGACGCGGGTCACCTGCTTTTCAATTGCAAGCTTGTTAAGAAAGTTTGGCAGGCGATGAACTTGGAAGACCTGAGATTATCTCTAGCTCAACAACCTAATGCAAGAAGTGTGCTGGAGACCATTTGGGGATGCCCAGAGAATATACAGATGAGAGCTGTCGTTTGTATGTGGCAATGGTGGAAGCAGAGGAATGAAGTGAGGGAAGGAGGAAAAGCCAGAGACCCAAGCTGAATCGGAAAGAGGGGAAGTTGAAGGAGAGGAGTATGGCAAAATGGAGAAAACCCATCTTTGATGTCCTGAAAATTAGTTCGGATGGGGCCTTCCGCAGCAGCACCAAACAAGGCGGATGGGGATATGTTGTTCGGGACCATCATGGATGTGTGGCCCAGGCTGGAGCTGGCGGAGCTGATCACCTGATGGATGCATTCCACTCTGAGATTATTGCTTGTGCAGCAGCTATAGGGGCGACAAGTGAAAGGGGGATAATGAAGGTAGAGTTTGAAACAGACTCGCTTCTGCTGAAGTCTGCACTCCAGGAGAACTCCTTTAATCTCTCTGCCATGGGGGGTGTGATTCTGGAGATTAAGAATGTCATTTCTAGCAGGTTTTTTTCGTTCTCGGTTAATTATTGCCCCAAGGAATGTAACAAGGTAGCGCATGAATTGGCGAAACTGGGTTGCAATTTGCTTGACCCTTGTAGCTGGGCCGGCACTCCACCGGGCCTTGAGTATTTGGTGACCAGCGATTTGGCTGGCATGCCTCAGTAATAAAGTTTTCGGTTCCCATAAAAAAAAAGGATTTGGCTCCCTCCTCTTTGTTCAAAACTTGCCAAGCGAATAAAAGCTCCGTATATGGCTGGAGTAATATACGTACGTGTACATGTCTAAACTGAACTGCATACTGTTGATAATAGCAGGTATAGAGTTTCAGTCGGCAATAATTTTTTCCACACTGGTAAAATTGATGAGTTCGAGAAGAAACGAGTAGAAAGAGGGTGTGAGTCGGCTATTATTTTGCCGCTTACTACACACAGTTTCTGAGCCTCTGAGTTACTTACTTCCTCCGTCCTATATTATAAACGATTTTGATATTTTATTTATACTGTTTGACCATTTATCTTATTAAAAAAATTATACAAATATAGAAAATAAAAATTTTTTGCTTAAAGTACTTTGGATAATCGAGTAAGTCAAAAAAAAATAATAATTCCAAATTTTTTTAAATAAGACGAATGGTCAAATAATACAAGCAAAATGTAAAAATCCCTTATATTAGAGAACAGAGGGAGTAAATGCATAAAAAAAGAGAAAGATAATACTAGATAGGTGAGAGAACACGATTAAATGGCTGGATTCATTAAATAATGAAACGACGAGCCCCACTACGATGATATATATCTGTTGATAGTAGAGAATAATTTGAACCTTGATCTCATTTAATCGAAGGGTTCAAATCAATTTATACTACCACTTTAGTTAGCGGTAGTAGAAACGTATAGGTGTATTATTATAAAAAAAGTGCGAAGTAGTATAATCGTTATTTAGTAGTGACTAAACATTTTTTTCCTTCTATTTTGGATTATTTTTCATTGAATATGAGCGGTGCCAGTGTAATGGATGATCATAGATCAATTTAGCTGGGAAAAAACATAAAAAGCAGTTACTCCTAATCATGTTATTATAGTAAAAGGGCAATTACAAATTTACCACTACTTTAAATCGTTATTGTAAGAATGCCACTAGAAAATTACAAAAATGCCACTAGAACTATCATTTGAGTGACACCCTTGCAAAATTGAAAAAACCGGTTGCAAATTTGCAAATGCCCCATAGTAAATTACCAATTCACTTCTAATAATACTTATAGTATAATACTACCAATAGATAGCACCGGAGTATAAACGACTGAATAGGCTACGGAGCACATGTAAAAAATTGTGCACAGTTGAGGTATAAGAGCTCACATATATAATTTTGGAGCTAACAACAAGCTACACTATTAACCTTGCTCTCCAATAACCTAGCTAGCTTGCTCTCAAATGGAACAAACTGGTTAGCGATGCCTGCAACCCCTCACTAATCGATAAGATTCGTGAACAAGGTTATCACTTTATCAATCTTCAGTTTGATCTTCGAAATATGGCAGTATGTGAAGGCCTTAGTGACTTTATGGCTCGACCCAGTTTCATATTTTGCCCTGTTTATAGTGTTTGAAATCACACGCTATAATTGGTTGGAAAAATCAAGTTAGTTCAAATATAGCTTACATGTTGCAAATGCGTGCCAAATATGCTTAGGTGAACACTAATCACACTAGAATAGTTAGATAACGTGTTACGTGGTTTTTCCATATCAATCCTATATAATCTGGACTAGGACTATTACCTGATAAGAGGTCTGTACCAGTATAATTCTTATCTCCTGTTTGCTTGATATTGAATTACGTAGATCATCGTTCTAATATATCCCAACCAAACTCATCCGGTTTACGAGTATCACTCGTCGACAGGGACCATCAATATACCATTATAAAAAAAGGTTTTCCTAGGCTATCAAAATATATAGATTTTTGCGCACGGCCAACCACGTTGCCTGCACGTGAAGGCTGACGAAATTCATGTATTTTTACAGGTGGCCGTTCGGCCTCCTGCGAAAATCAATTTTCGTAGTCAGTTTAGTTATACCATTTGCTTGGAAAAATAATTTCCGGCAAAAAAAAAATCCCCTGCATGTAGCTGGCCATCTGCATGCTAATCATTTCCATATATTGACCCACATATCAAGGAAAAAACTTCCTAGATAGATCCACAAATCAAGCAAAAAGAGAAAGAACAATACATCGATTTACAAATCAAGCTACTCCATAATACTTCCTCCGTCCCAAAAAAAGACAAATCTTGGTTTCCGTGCCCAACGTTTGACTGTCCGTTTTATTTGAAAAAATTATGAAAAAAATTAAAAAGACAAGTCACGCATAAAATATTAATCATGTTTTATCGTCTAACAATAATAAAAATACGAATTATAAAAAAATTTCATATAAGACGGACAATCAAAGTTGGACACGGAAATCTATGGTTTGCCCTTTTTTTTTTGGGACGGAGGTAGTATTTTGTATTCACAACTCCAACCAAGAGTCAAAACAATAACAATAAGTAGCAAATGCAATCAAACCACCCCTACAGCCACCCGTCGACATCGGCCTCCTCACCCCCTACCTCCCGTTCAACGAGGCTAAGTCTACGAACGTTAGAAACATTTGAACTGTCAGAAATGTTTGACATCACGATTGCAAATTTGCCGATGAGCTCCTTAGTAAGAGAGGGGAAGTTCTCGATCACGTGATCCAAGCCATAGCCGCCGTCAGGTTCCATCACCTCGCGCAAAGTCCCATGAGATGATAGGAAATCCAAGCACGCGTCCTTGAGCACGCGGCAATGGTGGTGCTCCGCTAGGATGAGCATGCTCTCCACCGTCCTCTCGCTAATGTAGTCGTACATCTCCTCCTCGCACAGCAGCTTCAGCCTCTGGAGATCGTATCTGTCCGCGGCTACGGTCAGTTTCTGCAGCCATGTCGCAATCTCCTCCTCCCTCGTCGTCGTCGTCGTCGTCGTGCCACTCGTGCGCTTCGTCGCCGAGGTCTCCTTGGTCGGGCAGCACGTCGGTGTAGATGAAGCTAAGAAGTCCACGGAACACCTCGGCGTCCATGTCCTCGATCCGCACGACGCTCGCCGCCGCGCCTTCTCTCATGGGGCCGAAGAGCTCCGCCTCGAACACCTTGGACCGCGCCGCGAGCACGCACCGGTGCGCGGTGAACGTCTCGCCGCCGACCTCGAACGTCACGTCGGCGCCCTCCTCCCTGCCGAGGAGGCGCCCGAAGCTCTCCACCGCGCCGAACAACGACGATGACGGAGGAGGAGCGGCGGCGGCGCCGGCGAGGATGACGATGTCGCACCTGACCGTGAAGCAGTCGTCCACGAGATACCTCGACCGCTCCAATGTTAGGAATTTCCCCAGCGATCGCTAGCAGGAAACCAGACGAACACAACTCACGCGTACTGTGGCTAAACCTGCAAATTCGCAGAACAGAGGAAACAGAGCAAATTTTGTGCAGCGCTTAACTCAGCTGCTTTTCTGTTTACTTCCATATATAAAGGAACGAATACAACGGAAACAACTAACCACCAAGACCACTTCTCACGCCATGCTCTAGCTGCGTCCATCCCCACAACCACACGACGTGATCCGAGCTCCCAGCACAAGACGCGGGCAACGAGCTAAACTCGGATACCCTCATAACAGACTCCACACGATGGCTATCACACAACACGTGAGCTCATGCGTTTATTCGAAAAAAAAACGGAAACATGCAGATAACTAATCAACTAACTAACCGTGGCACACAAGATTACTGCTAACAAAACTCTCCCTAAGCTTGATGTGCCGATTATACAGGAAACATACCAATTTGTTCCCGCAGCTCCTGAAACTTGATTCGAGAAAGCGGCTTCGTCAGGATATCTGCAAGTTGCCCTTCTGTGCCGATGTAACTCGGTGTGATTTCCCCATTCTCCACGGCTTCACGAATGAAATGAAATTTTGTTTGAATGTGCTTACTTCGATCGTGAAAAACAGGGTTCTTCATCAGGGCCAGAGCGGATTGGTTGTCCACCCTGAGATCGACGACTTCAGTTGCTGCATTCCTGAGGTCACCGAGGAGCCGGGCAAGCCAAATGCCCTGGCATGCAGCTGTTGCAGCTGCAATATACTCAGATTCACAGGAGGAGAGTGCTACAACTCTCTGTTTTTGAGACTGCCAGCTAACAGGATTTTTGCCGAGAAAGAAAATTACTCCTGTGGTGCTCTTGCGAGTGTCAATGTCTCCAGCCATATCACTGTCACTGTAACCCTGCAGTCCTCCTTCACCTTCCTTCACATAGCGGCACCCAAGATGAATGGTACCAGCAACATACCTTATGATGCGCTTCACTGCCGCCAAGTGTTCGTCCGTGGGTTTCTCCATGAAACGACTGACATAACCAACCGAATATGCAAGGTCTGGTCGGGTGTTCACCAGATAGCGCAAGCTTCCCACTAGACTTCTGTATTCTGTCGCATCAACTAGCGATCCTGCACTTTCCTTGCTCAGCTTTAGACGTGGTTCCATCGGTGTTGCACAGGGGTTGCAGCCGGTGAGCCCAGCCTTCTCCACAATACGCGACACATACGCTGCTTGCTTTAAAGTGATGATTCCAGCTTCTTGATGTACCTCGATCCCAAGATAAAAACTCAAAGGACCAAGATCACTCATCTTAAATTCAGCCTTCATCTGCTCTTTGAATCCCTTGATCATGCCACTATCACCCCCGACAATTACCAGATCATCCACATACACACCGACGAGCAGTCGCCCACTGCCATCGCCGCGCGCGTACAGCCCATGCTCCAACGGGCTCTGCTTGAAGCCAAGTTTCTTCAGTGTGCAGTCTAGCTTGGTGTTCCAAGCTCTGGGTGCTTGGCGAAGACCATACAGCGCCTTATCAAGCCTGTAAACCTTGTTCTCCTGTCCATCGATCTCAAACCCCGGTGGCTGAACAACATACACCTCCTCAATCAGTTCCCCATTGAGGAACGCTGATTTAACGTCCATATGATGCACCATCCAACCTTCCTGCGCAGCGAGAGCGAGCAACAAACGAACAGAATCAAGACGAGCAACAGGAGCGAATACCTCATCAAAGTCAATTCCAGCCCTCTGCACGTAGCCCTTTGCCACCAATCTCGCCTTGTGTTTGACGACGACGCCCTGAGCATCTTTCTTCAGTTTATACACCCATTTCAGCCCAATTGGCCGATGTCCCGAAGGCAGATCGACGAGCCTCCAGGTCTTGTTCTCCTCTATCGAAGAGATTTCATCGAGCATTGCCCGACGCCAATCCTCGTCGCGTTCAGCTTGACCGAACGTTGCCGGTTCTTCTCCGCTCACCATCATCAGCTCTTCCTGGACCTCACGATTAGCGAGACCTGGCAGCATGGCCGGCCCCAGCACATTGTCCATCGTGCGGAAACGGAGTGGTGCGTCGTCGTGGTCTGCATCAAGATTAGCAGCTGCTCCAGTTGGTGGCGACACAAATTCAACCGCCAGCGCATCGCCATGCACCGAAGGTGTTCGGCCGGCTGTCGGTGAGTCTGATGGCGTTCGCGGCGATGATGAAGATCGAGCAGGCGGCTCCCCAGCGTCTTGGCGTGTTCCTGACAGCGAGCCAGGATGGTACACCGTGGTGTACTCAACGACGAAGTCGGTGTCGAGATCAGCGGCCGCCTCAGCATCCCAGTCCCACTGGGCCGCTTCGTCGAAGACGATGTCACGGGAGATGTGAACACGCCGAGTAGCCGGATCATAGGCGCGATACGCCTTGGACCCCGGCTTGTAGCCGACAAAGATCATTGGACGACTCCTGTCATCCAGTTTCTTCAGGTTCGGGGTGGTCGTCTTCACGTGTGCCACACACCCAAACGTGCGCAGATGGTGCACGGCCGGCGGAACGCCGTTCCACAGCGCGTACGGGGTCTTGCCGCCGATACCCTTGGACGACGACCTGTTGAGCAGATACACGGCGGTATTTATCGCCTCTCCCCAAAACATACCTGGCAGCCCCTTCGCCTTGAGCATACTCCGCGCCGTGCCCACCACGGATTGGTTTCGCCGCTCGACAACGCCGTTCTGTTGCGGAGAGTAGGGCGCCGTGAGCTCGCGCCGCATTCCCAGCTCGGCGCAGTACTCGGCGAACTGTGTAGACGTGAATTCTCCCCCGCGATCCGTCCGCAACGCGCGGAGCTTGCGTCCACTCTTCCTTTCTGCCGCCGCCTGAATACGCTTGATGGCAGCCGGCGCCGCATCTTTGGTGGAGAGGAGGGCGACCCACATGTACCGGCTGTAGTCGTCGACGAGTAGAAGGAAATAGCGGTTGCCACTGGGTGTCGCCGGCGTGATCGGTCCACAGAGATCTCCATGTAGCAGCGCCAGCGGCTCGTCAGACCGGCAAAGTGCCTGCCGCGGGAACGGCGACCTCCGGTGTTTCCCGGCGAGACAGGCCTCACAAACCTGATCAACCTGCGACAAACATGGTAGACCACGTACCAGCTCCTCCTTGCCCATCTTGCAGAGCGCCCTGAAGTTTATGTGCCCGAGGCGAGCATGCCAGCGCCACGCGTCTTCGTCGGCGTGTGCCGCCAAACAGACCGGGCGCGCCAGGTTGATGTCAAGCATGTACAGTCGCCCTGGGGTGCGAGGGATCCGGGCAAGCAGACGCCGCTGCTCATCCCAGACCCGCATGATGCCATCCTCCGCCAGCACTTTGAAGCCGGTCTCATCCAATTGCCCAATGCTGATAATATTGGCAGTAAGACGGGGAAGATAATAGGTGTTCGACAGAGTGCGGTGCTCACCATTCTTGCAGGCAAAGAGAATTGTGCCCCGTCCTGCGATCCGGACCACGGATCCATCGCCGAGTCGCACGTTCCCGGTGATGTTCGTGTCGAGGTCGGCGAACGCCATCCTGCTGCCCGTCATATGGTTTGACGCTCCGGAATCCATAATCCAGCGCCCGGGATCATGGTCAGCCGCGTCGTCGAGCGCTGCAAATACTTTCATCTCCACGAGTTCCACCACGGCTTGGTGGGGCGGTGTGGGCGTGTCGCCCTCCGGCGCCGCCGCGTCGACCGTGTCAACGCAGCCGCCGGTGAGCAACATCAAGGTGTGCTCTTCTTCATCCTCCTGGGCGACGTGAGCCTGTTCTTCGCGCTTGGACTTGCTCCTGCAGTCCTTCGCCCAGTGCCCAAGTTTGCCGCAATTTCGGCATTTGTCTCCCTTGCGCGCCGAACCAGAGTTCGTGCTCTCGGGGCTCGCAGTCCCGCCGCCACCAGTGCGCCCTCTCCCGCCACGGCGCTTGCCGCGGCCGCCAGAGCTGCCCGAGTCACCCCGCTTTGCCTCTTGATCCTTCTTCTTCTGACGTTCAGCCCACTCCTCCTCAGTTAGGTACAGCTTCCCATCGGCGGTGTGCAACGAGGATTGCCCAGAATCCTCAGCGGCTTTCAGTCTGCCAGTAACTTCCTCCATGGACAGAGTAGAGATATCGAGAAGAGTTTCAATAGACAAGATGAGTTGATTGAACCTGGGACGAGCTACCCGAAGGTACTTTTCGACGACTTTATCAGCAGGTTCAGGATCACCGAGGGTTGCAAGTTGGTTGACGATGGTTGTGAGCCGTAGAGCGAAATCTTCCACGGTCTCGTCACCGCGGAACGCAAGCGATTCATACTCAGAGCGCACTTTCTGTGCACTCGCCTTGCGAATCCGGTCGTTGCCGACTCGCATTGTCTTGATGCATTCCCAGGCTTCCCGGGCCGACGCTTTGGTCGCCAGGGTGCCAATCATCTCCGGCGGCACGGCACTGCAGATAGCGTCAAGAGCCATCCGGTCCTCATGTAGAGGGACGTCCACGCCGTCGGGCTCGATCGCCGCCCACAGGCAGCGAGCCTGCAGCTTGATCTTCATCAGTAGCGCCCAGTCGTTGTAGTTGGTCTTGGTCAGCAGCGGGTAGTTCACCGAGCCGCCTCCTTCTTTCACCACGCGGTGGATCACCAGCCCGCGGTCACCCCCGCCGCTGCCCGTGGCGCGGCCGCCGGAGTCATGAGGAGTGCGCACGATCGGTGACGACGAGCGACGACGCGGCATGAAGACGCCTTCCAATGCGCGGTCACGAGTCCACTTCCTAAACCGTGCTCTGATACCAATTGTTAGGAATTTCCCCAGCGATCGCTAGCAGGAAACCAGACGAACACAACTCACGCGTACTGTGGCTAAACCTGCAAATTCGCAGAACAGAGGAAACAGAGCAAATTTTGTGCAGCGCTTAACTCAGCTGCTTTTCTGTTTACTTCCATATATAAAGGAACGAATACAACGGAAACAACTAACCACCAAGACCACTTCTCACGCCATGCTCTAGCTGCGTCCATCCCCACAACCACACGACGTGATCCGAGCTCCCAGCACAAGACGCGGGCAACGAGCTAAACTCGGATACCCTCATAACAGACTCCACACGATGGCTATCACACAACACGTGAGCTCATGCGTTTATTCGAAAAAAAAACAGAAACATGCAGATAACTAATCAACTAACTAACCGTGGCACACAAGATTACTGCTAACATCCAACACCTCCCTCCGCACGAACCGCGTGTCGCACCAGCCGGAGGTGCCGGAGAAGTCGCACGCCATGGACACGAGCACGCGCCTCGCCTCGTGCTTGGCCGCCTGCTCGGCGAAGCTGAACTCGAACTTGACCTTCAGCGGCTGCACCTTCACGGCGTCGTCGCCATCGTCGTCGTCGTCGTCATCGTCGTCACGGACGAGCCAGAAGGACACGCAGTCGGAGTTGGTCGAGTCGTCGCCATTGGGGCAGTACTCGGCGTGCCAAGTGTGGCCTCCTAGCATGAACTGGCCGGACTCGATGGAGTCGCCAGTGGAGATGGTTTCCTTGGTGTGAGAGTAGTTACTGATAACAAGAAGGTGATACCCGTACGTGCTGCCGGCGGCGGCGCCATTGTTGGCCGGAGAAGAACACGGCGTCGTCTCGCCATCCGATATGAAAGAGACGCCGGCGAAGGACATGACATATACGGCGACGACGGCGAAGTATCGGTCGATATGATGGACCGTACCCGTATATGAACTTGTAGCTTATCGCTGTTTTATAAGCTATAAACTCTGCTGAGATCGATCTAGGCTCGAATACTATTCTGAATAGTAGTAGACGTCGGACTATTTGTAGACTCTTCAGGAAGAGGATTTTGATCCCTCGAGGGGATAACTCTGAATATACGTTAACTAGCTGCGGTTTAATTTGTTTTTTTTACGAGATGTAGAAGTTTAATTTGAACTTGCATGTTTATGGAGTGTTATATCACATGTTGATATATCTTCTTAATTTTTTTCAAATTTTTTCATAACCATTTGAGTGACATACAAATAACAACGAGAGGATATCCCCTTGAGGGATTAAAATAGTTCCCGACTCTTCATATGTTTCTCCTAGTTTGAATCCATCACAATCCTAATCCAAGTCTCCAACACGATTGATTAAATATAAAGCAAACGGAAAATTAAGAGTGCATACCTGGACACGATCGATCGACGAAATATCTCTCTCTCTCATGTCGTTCGCTGGCGTATCTTTCATCTGCGACGGCGTGCACGTGTGTTCTTCTCCGGCCAATGGCGCCGCCGGCAGCGCCGCCTATGGGTACCACCTCCTTGTCATCAACAACTACACGCGCACGAAGCAAGCCATCCCCAATGGATTTCGCATCAAGTCCGGCAAGTTCAAGCTAGGAGGCCACACTTGGCACATCAAGTACTGCCCCAACGGCGACCGATCGACCATCTCGGGCTTCGTCTCCTTCCACCTCGTTCTTGATTGTGACGGCGGCGATGGCGCCGTGGCGGCGGAGCCCGTGAATGCCAAGTTCGAGTTCAGCTTCGCCGACCAGGTCGCGAAGCATCAGGCGACGCGGCTGCGCGCGACCAAGGTGTGCGAGTTCTCCCGCGACTGCAGCGCGTGGCACGTCGGGCGGTTCGTGCGGAGGGAGGCGCTGGAGCGGTCGAGGTATCTCGTCGACGACTGCTTCACGGTCAGGTGCGACATCATGGTCGTCCACGCCGGCGCCGGCGCCAATGGCGTGGCCGCCGCCACGGCGGCTCCATCGATGGCCGGCGCGGTGGAGAGCTTCGGCCGCCTCCTGGACACGAAGCTTGGCGCCGACGTGGCGTTCGAGGTCGGCGGCGAGACGTTCGCCGCGCACCGGTGCGTGCTCGCGGCCCGGTCCAAGGTGTTCGACGCTGAGCTCTTCGGCCCCATGAAAGAAGGCACGGCGGCGAGCGTCGTGCGGATCGACGACATGGACGCCGATTTGTTCAGGGGACTCCTTAGCTTCATCTACACGGACGAATTGCCCGAGAGAGAGGACCACGGCGGAGAAAAGGAGACGAGCTCTGACGACGACGACGACGACGACGACGACGACAATGGTGCTCAATCGGACCAAAAACACAAACAATTTACATGGCTGCAGCAATTGATCGTAGCCGCGGACAGATACGATCTGCAGAGGCTGAAGCTTCTGTGCGAGGAGGAGATGTACGACCACATAGGCGAGAAGACGGTGGAGACCATGCTCATCCTCGCCGATCACCACCATTGCCGCGTGCTCAAGGACGCATGCTTGGGTTTCCTCGGGTCTCATGGCAACCTGCAAAAGATGATGGCGGCTGATGGCTTGGATCGTGTGATCAAGAACTTCCCCTCTCTTACCAAAGAGATTATCGGCAGATTTGCAGTCGTCATGGCAAACAAATCTTAGGGTGTGTTTGAGGAGAAGGGGATTGGGGAGATTGAGAAGATATGCAAAACGAGGTGGGCCATTAGCATATGATTAATTGAGTATTAACTATTTTAAATTGCAAAAATGGATTAATATGATTTTTTAAAGCAACTTTCCTATAGAAATTTTTTACAAAAAAACGCACCGTTTAATAGTTTGGAAAGCGTGCGCGCGGAAAACGAGGAGCTTTCTCACCCAATGTCACTGGAACGAACACAGCCTCAGTGTTCATAGGTTAGGTTCATAAATTATATGAAGTCATCAGCTTAAGGTGTGAGCATCTGTCCAAGTAATTAAGCATCTATGGCCCAGTTCTTTTCTCTAACAAAAGTTGGATTAAAATTAAGATTTTCGTGACACGCTTTTCAAACTGCTAAACGGTGCGTTTCGTGCAAAAAAAATTCTATATGAAAGTTGCTATAAAATATCATATTAATCTACTTTTCAAGTTTGCAATAATTAAAACTCAACCAATCATACATTAATACCACCTCATTTTGCGTAAAAAAATTAATTTTAATGTTCATCTCAATCTTCAGGAGATACGGTTACAAGCACTGTAATTAAGGGTGGTGATCATCTTTAGCACCTGTCAACCATCGTTGTTTCATAGAACATCATTGATTTATTAGGTTCTCTCACAGTGGCCCTTTTGTTTGTTTATCGTGTAAACACAAAACATTTGATTTATTTCTCTCATCATAGTATTTTTGGACAAAATTTTGGCTTCCTTGTTGTGAAATTAATATAGTATTGTTATTTATTAGTCGTCTGTTTTTTATTATTTTCTGTTAATCACTTAAACTTTCAATAAGACATTGCACAAGCACGAGCGGTAGGCTAAACTTAGGCCGCGTTCGATAGCGTGAGATTGAGGGGATTGGGTGAAAGCAGCACTGTAGTCCACCGAATAATTTACTCCATCGTGAAATGCAGTCCAGACTGTCCAGTGACAGGTGTTAGACAGCAGTAGACGGCGCCGTTTGCTACTGCACAGATGCCATTCATTTGGGCTTAGGTAGCTGTAGCGTCTTTTTTTTTCTACTTGCAAGATGATAGATATTTTTGCTGTGTCAAATAGTAGTTACAGCGTTCTATTAAAAGTAGTGACGACAAATGCAGAAAAAAAATATTGCAATTTGACATATGGGAAAAAAATTGTTGGAAAAATAAAATATACTCCCTCCGTTTTTTAATAGATGACGCCGTTGACTTTTTCTCACATGTTTGACCATTCGTCTTATTCAAAAAATTTACATAATTATAATTTATTTTGTGATGAGTTGTTATATCACTCATAATACTTTAAGTGTGATTTATATCTTATACATTTGCATAAAATTTTTGAATAAGATGAATGGTTAAACATGTGAGAAAAAGTCAACGGCGTCATCTATTAAAAAATGGAGGTAGTAGCAATTTGAGCAACGTAATGAAAAAAATTATTGAATACGAGTTGGCACAGTCCAAAGACTTGAATGCAGTACATAATACATATATCCATCACGAAATGGATTTCTTATTAAATCGTACATCTAATAAAAAGCTCGTACACTGTACAGGAGATAGTTCATGTACTTCTACAGGTTCTCCACCGAATTGGCAATGGCATCACAGTATGCGTTCATCGCTTGTGTGCTATTGCCGGCGTAATACATATTGGAGAAGGGGGGTGCCATTGGTGCTATAGGATTACCATTATACAGAGGGTTATTGGCCTGGTAGTCATTTTGCTTGCTGTCGATTCGGAAGTTGTGCAAACAAAACGCTGCCAATATTATGTCGCTCTGGACATTCTTATATGGGTTGTACGGTATGCCTTTTAAGATTTTCCACTGTTTTTTCACAATTCCAAATTGCCTCTCAATTATATTACGCAGCTTGGCATGTATGTAGTTGAACTTCTCTTCCCTTCCTTCTGGCGGTGGAGCGCGTGGCCCCTTGAATTGATCCTTGTGGTACCGTACACGTGGGTACGGTGCCAGGAAGCCCATCCTACTCGGATATCCGGAGTCAACAAGAAGATATTTTCCTACAAAATAATAAGGAAATTATACATGAAAACTATCAGTGCACAATTAATGAAGTGCTATATGGTGTACAAATGTAGTACTTACGAAAAGGTAGTCTTGGAAACTCCTCTGGATAAGAGTCAATAGCTTCGTTTAGGACTCGATTGTCATGCACTGATCCTGGCCATCCGGCATCGGCAAATATAACTCTACCATCGAATCCAACAATTGTTAGGACATTTTTTGTTGTCTCGTCATGGCGATTCATGTGTTCTATGGCACTATCCACACCAACAGTGACCGGAATGTGTGTGCCGTCAACAGCACCTACAGCAAACTGGAATGGTCCAAAACGACTATCTTGTAGTAGGCGACGAGGGATGTCCGTAAAATTCGGATCAATTGGCTTGAGTATTTTCGACCCTAACATAACTATTTGGCTAAGAACCCTTCAAAAATAGATAGACACCGTCGAGTTCGACCGGACCCAATGATTGTTCGACTCCCTTGCAGAATTATTTCCTGCCATTGTGAACAAGAAGATTCCTAGTGCCTCCAAAGAACTTACATCATTACTCCCATGCAGGTTGTAAGGGGCATTTTCCAAAATTCCATGTAGAGTGTATATCTGATATTCCGTTAAACGGAAAATCGCACGGCACTGTGCAGGATTCGCCATTGTCTCTAGCATCCAAGTTATTCCAAATTGGGTTGGGACACGACGAGGAGCTCTTGGAGGAGCAGCTAAAATCTCTTGCATCATTGCAATAATAGCGTCATCCTCATCGCTCGTGTATTGCCCTTCAGTACCATCCGAACTCCACGATGAACCGTCGCTCATTGTGTGATTCCTTCGAAACAAGAAAAATATATAGCTTACATTAACCATTACAACATTATTTGTAAAAAAATGCACGCATGGTGTTCAATAAAAAAATTAACTGCATAAAAAATTTCACAGTGACATACCACAATTACTAGTTCAGACTACAAGCATTAGAAATGAGTAAAGCAGATGCTAAAAATCATACAACAAGATGCTAAAATCATACAACAAGAGGGTACAAATCATACAAGAAAAAAACAGTTAAGCAGATGCTAAAATCCTACTGCAAACAATATGGTGAGCATTATTTTTTATGCCTCTCATATGAATCTCCTCCTCTCAGTGAGCTCCAGGCAACTGACCAAGCAAGAGCAACTCAATAGAACCCATTACCATCTACGCTACCAGGACCCCCACCTCCACCAGGGCCACCCCCCTACCAACCTCCAAACCCTGTATGACCTCCTGAACAAGTTGGCGGGGGTACTCCTCCACCATAACCCTGCTGGCCAGTTGGCGGGGGTGCTCCTACACCATAACGCTGCTGCCCAGTTCCTCCTTCGTATCCAGGCTGTCCACCTCCTTGGCCACCAGCTCCTTTTCCGCCAAATTGCTTTTGCCATGTCTGTACTATGTAATGGGACCGTGACTCGGGTGTAGGGCAGTAATCAATGAACCATTGACGCCAATAAGCACGCTCAAATACATCCAGTGCCATAAAGAATAAATCACTCCATGGGTTATGTCCATCAGCTACCACCAACTGGATGCAAGCTGCTGCACTTCTAGCCCTGTCCTCTTCCACCTTCCGGGAACAGCTCTCCATCGACTCCACTCGCAAATCAGCTAGCCGGTGCAGGGCATCACCGGCTGAGTCACTTCGACTCTTCTTTGAAGCCGATCCCCTCGAAGTGCCAGCTTCATCTGCTAGCCTCTTGCCTTTTCCTGCACTTGAAACTCCTGGAGTCGCAATGTTTTGTTGTTGAGCTAGCAGCTGTGAGATATTGATGTTGGGCCTTGGAGTTGGCTGCTGAGGAGGTGCTGGTGCTGCGCCTGCAATAGCAGAGTGGTTCCCTACCACTGTGCACCCCGAAAAAATAGCACAGTGAAGGTTGATGTGCTTGAGAGGGGAATCTTTGAAGACACGAGCTCCGTCCTTTTTCTGCGAAAATGGTTGAGTAACAAAATAAATTTACATTGAAATGAACATAAGTAGTTTCTTAAATCGATTTTCATTTTTGCATTTTGTTGACGCTTTTTGAACTAAAAAAAAGACAGCAGCATACAAGTACATAACTAATGTACGCAGCAACATAGCTATTATTGGTGGCACCATGTTTTAACATCTGCAGACTGCAGGTAACATTTTACCTAGATTTTACGGTCTAACTAATTCAAGAAAATGGAGGAAGTACTATATGATATTGATATGCATTGACAATAATAGCAGATGATGAGCAGACTAAAAATCAAAAAACTTTATGCCATGTAAGCAATGTGACATGTCACATAGAGGTTGATGTCATGTCAAACTATGGCATCAACAATAGCATAGGAATACCAAATATCTCAAGATATGGCTCAGTTTTGTTGAAAAGACCTACAAGAGAATAATAAAAATAGTACCAACCATGCATTTGCTGCTTCCTAATCAATTTATTGGAAGGTAGTGAATGCAGCAGAGAAATTGTACCCCCATTCATTATAGCAAAAAAATTACATTCTGATTTTGTAGCCTAGAAACACAAGGTTTTACAAAGGTACATAACACTTTCTATGAACAATATGTATGATTATACCTAAAAATAGATAACTGTGGAGATTTCATGAACTAAACAAATGTCATGGGTCCTTGTGTTAATGCAAATCAGTATGGAAATCACTATCTTCCTAGTTCGACCGAACACAACATAAGGGTAGGTGACATACCTGGTCCTTGTCTTCCCACCAATCGTCGTCAGCAACAATGGCTTGAGTTATCGGGTCACGGCCAATGCCGGTAGCCTTTGATTCCAGCCACGTCCAAAGCATCCACCTTTTACGACATTGACGCCATGTGTACTTCACCTGATCCTTGGTGAGGTTTCTTCCGATTCTCTCCTTCATCTTCTGTATGAGGTTCTTGTAGCCTTGCGGCTTTGGACAAGTGGATGTTATGGTCATTGCGGACAACTCCTCCAAGCATGCCTCAAGAAATATGCCAATTTCATCGTCGCTCCATCGGATTTTACCCTCCGCCATCTACCACCCAATGTTAACAAAGCACAAATGCAATGGATCAAAAACAAATTACAATGGGCATTACCTTTTGTGGCGAGATGGGCCGGATCAGGTCCAAATCGAGGGACCGAACAACCGTCGCCGGCGACACACGACGGACGAAAGAGCGAACGCCTTTTGGGGAGGTCGCACAAACGGCTGTTAGGAAGCGGGCGGCCACATTGATGTCATTGTCACAAGGAGGGGCAGAGCTGGCGTCAGATTTGCCAGAGGCGCTCGACCCCGTCCCCGAATCCAGATTGATGAGCAGTCCGTGAGGAGCCGGTGCGGCGAACGCCAAAGGCACAGCCTGCCCCTTGGCTGCAGTCGACGGATGGATGTCCTCCCCTCTCTTCCGCTTTGTTCCCCTGGTGCCCATTGTCCACCCGGAGAAGGAGGCCTCAAATAGGAGGCCGGAGGCGAGAAGAAAGCTTCCAACTCTGCCGAATCTTGACGACACTGTGACACCCGAGAGCGCTCCACCGAGTACAGCCGCATGCGGCCAAAGCTGCAGAGCCTGATGAGCAGCTAGGTGACGCAGACAACACCGGCAGCGCTCCCCGACTTCCGCCTGGCTTGATGGTAACTCCGCCAGAGAATCCCCTTTCTCCGGCCTCGATTCGCCTTTTCAGCAGCTCCCGTGACGAGTGGTCGATTTCTCCGCGTGCCTAACAGCCCCAGGCTGACCACGACGACCACCGGACGAGGCTCAGCAGTAGGGCACAACGATTCCAGCCACGGCGACCGCGCGTGGAGCCGTCGACGACCGAGCACGGCTGCTTGCGCTGGTGGTGGGTTGGGGACGGATGGGCCGACGAATCGATCCATCCAAATGCCGTCTGTACAGGTGCCACGTTTAGTCACCAACGCCATTTAATATGCAGTAAATTATTCAGACATGTACAGTGCTGAATAGTGCACAATTCACCAAATCCCCTCGATCTCTCGCTATCGAACGCGGCCTTACACAACATAAAAGAGTGCAACTTTACAACAAATGAAGTGTACCGTTTAGTTTACTTTATTTTTTAATTATTAGATTAACGTAGATAAATTACTACAACTATTATGCTTATATAAGCCATAATTTTTTGTATTTCATACTGGTAAGAATTTACACTAAGTACCTTTTTTGTAGATTAGAGCATTGGTTGCTTCACTACAAGAAAAAGAAAATACAGGAACACGGTTAATACTCTGCCAGACTGCCACCCAAATTCTTTTGAAGTTCTCATAGCAGTGTGGTAACAAATTCATACCTCATTTATCTGTTGAACTGTAGAGATCAATGAACTAAAAAGCAGAGAAAATTTGATCAATATGAAGGCCTGGTGGAGTTTCAGTTATCATGGCTCTCTGATAACAAATTCATTCTTGATTAATCTGTAGCTATTGTAGAGATGCTATCAAACATGAACTATCATTGCAAAAACTATCTGATGGCAAAAATATGGAGTCACGGAGCTAAGTTACCGAGCAATCAGACATCAATTTAATTAGCAGTATCCTAGGGACACAGTCAACAAGCATAAAACATGTCTAGAAAATAGGAATTAACATTGCTTAAACTGCCTGATGAAAAAAGCCTACAAACCATGAGCTACCATATTTGAAACGGAGTATCACTCAATACAGAGTGGGTCTTTGTAAATGTACATTCTACATTATTGGTGGAGGTGCAATTAAGTTTCATTGGCTGTCCTTTTAGATTTCGGTTGAAAACTTGAGTCCAACTGAAGTGATGAAATTAATTCCACAACAGAGTAATTCTAGTTTACCAGCTAACTAGCTAACAGCAAAACATGATTATTTATTTGCGTATGTCCTTAGCAAACCAAAGAATTCAAGGCACATAAAGGCAACATCCAACCAACATAAAAGCCCATAGGAGATTTAGTTATCATTCTTCTATCCATAGAGTTGTAGAGATGCAATGAACTAACAAAACAGAGAATTTGGCAACCTTTTCACCCCGATAAACTATGGTCAATTGGTCATCTGCCCACCCCCATTTTAAGGGGTTTCATAGAATAAGTTCAGAAACAGTAACCATGATTGCTAAAACTATCTGATGACAAAAGTGAGGATATATATCACTAAAACTCGGTCACGGAACAAAGTTACCGAGCATGGCAATCAACTCCTTCATAAGAGATGGGCAGCTTTTACTCAGATCCTCGATGCCGTCGCCAGAAGCAACTGCTTTCAGATTCACCGCGGAGCTGAGGAAATCAAAGCATGCCTTCTTTAGCCCTTCGCAGTGGTGTTGCTCAGCCAGCGTCAGGATGGTCGTCACCGTGCCCACATCAATGTACTTGCACAGCATGTCCTCGCAGATGAGCTTGAGCCTCTCCATGGCGTACCTGTCCGCCGCGACGAGCAGATGCTGAGCCATGGTGTCTTGCTCCTCCTCTTCCGTCTCCGGAAGCGAGTCGGTGTACACGAAGCGGAGCAGCGCCTTGAACACCTGAGCCTCCATGTCGTCGATGCGGACGACACCCGCGGCGTCGCTCTCCTTCATCGAGCCAAACAGCTCCGCGCTGAAGACCGGTGACCGCGCCGCGAGCACGCACCGGTGAGCGGCGAAAGTCTCGCCGCCGGCCTCGAACACCACGTCGGCGCCCTTCTCGTTGTGGAGAAGATCCCCCAGATGCCGCTGCAGATCGGACGGAGGCACGGAGACGAAGTTCGCCTTCCGTGGTCTTTGCGCCTCGGCCGTCTCCTCCTCCGCACGGAACCCGGTGGTGACGATGATGTCGCACCGCACGGTGAAAGAATCTTTCTTCAGATGCTCCGATTTCTCCAATGCTTCCCGCTTGATGAACTTTGTTTCCCCCAACCGCCGCTACCGAAGACGCGTACTTGCTCTGAGGTAAGAGAAGGCGGCGGCTTGTCATCCAACTCGTCCAAGAAACGAAATAGGTACTGCGCTTTCACCTGCTTGGTGACTTGTCCGTCGTCGAGATGAAGAAACAGGGATATGAAATCCGAGTAATCTGATTTGCTGCCGTTGGGGTAGCAATGGATGCGCCAGCGATATCCCCCCACGGTGAAGGCGCAAGATTTGAGGGCCTCGCCGGTGGGTAGGCCCTTGATGCGCGAGTAGCCGTCGATCTTGAGGAGATGGTACCCGCTCGCGGCGCCTGCGACGATGGCGGAGGCGGAACGCGAATGCTTACAGCCGCCAGCGGTGGACGCCATGGCTGATCCAGCCAAGTAGGATGCACGCGCAGCGCTCGCGCTGTAGCTAGGGTTTAGCGAAGAATTGGGGGAAAATGGAGCGGAATCGAGAGGTTGAAGACGATGGGGTGGCTTCCTTCGGACGATACGTCTTGTGGGCCGTTGCTATCCTAAGCTAATGGGCTCGTAGAGTTATGTGGGTCCCATCTTTTCAGATTGCAGCTGCAAATGCCTGTACAAATATGATTTACAAGGAACAAGTCCACCTTATATCCCTCGTCCTACCTCGAGTTGGAACCGCGGTACCAGAAATCTTAACCACCAATATGTAAAACTGAATTAAATTAAGTCCTCTAATAGTTGATGGTCGGTATCGTTGATGTGGTAAGTTAACCCGATCCACTTGTACTAACTAGACGTTAACGTGACAAAAACAGAACGGGTCCTATATATGATCATCCTCACTCTCCTTTCCTTTTCTCTCTCCCTTCTCTCTTCCCTCTCTTTTCTCTCCATTTCTCCCGCTCATTCCTCTAGAGATCGATGCATTGAGGCTAGCAGTAAAGGGTCAAGATTTATAGTATTACGGCTCAGGGATATGATTTTAACTTGACAAAAAGAAAAGGGACACAAAGTAAACTTAATTTGATTTACAACTTTTTTTCTTCTAGTACTACTAATATGCTTGTACGGTGTGGATCAGGTCCATATAATTAGGAATGGGCTATACGGGTAATTAAGTAGTTACGCAAGCGGCATGTAATTAATCAAGTAACATTATATCCTGTTGTTATGCAAGGGACATGAATGCGCTGTGCTTTTACGGTAATAGAGACGACAATTTTTTTTCATAACCTTGCTGTATCAAACAAGTTTACAAATACCAACAACATAATTTAGGGTGTCAGATCATCAAAACATGTTCTTTTTTTAATAAAAAGAGGCCATTGTAAATTTACCACCATTTTCAATCTTTGTTGCACCAAAACCACTTTACCAATAGCATTCTTGCAAAATATAGAAAACTTTTTTTTTGCAAACTCGCAAATACCCCTTTTAAAAATCATCATATATGTATATGTTTATGCGATAGAACATTTGCTTATGATCTTAGTGCATAAACACATATTGTCTTGGTGTCTTGATTGATTTATCTTGTTAACCAAGGGAAAAACTTATATTTTCTAATTATTTCTCTGTGTTTTACTTGAAAATAATAAAATAATAGTTACCGTATCCTCTAACAAATTAACAATTTTGTTGTGTCCTCGAGCTGTTTCACGTTTTTATGGTGTTTAAGAACAAAAAATCATAAATATATGTGTCCTATAGTAAATTTTTTCAATATAATAACATGCAGCTCTAAAAAATTAAACACCTCAACGTAGTTACTACTTATAATCTCTCTGAAGTCCAAACAGAGAAGAATTAATTAATAGAACAGACAATTCATGAAACTGACACAAGCTTCTCTGGCTCAGCATATTAGAGCACCCGCAATGGTTATCTATAGGCTCTCTACAAGACATCCATATCAGCATATTTTTCTACTTAGAAGAGATTAAATGAAGAGAGAGAGCAAAGCTATTTACTAATCTGGAGATAGTCTATAGAGAAAAACGAGGCAATGGATTAGGGCATCCGCAATGGTTATCTATAGACTCTCTACAAGAGATCAGCATATTTTCCTACTTGGAAGAGATTAAATGAAGAGAGAGAGAGCAAAGCTATCTACTAACCTGGAGATAGTCTATAGAGAAAAACAAGGCAATGGATTAGAGAGGTATAGATACCCATGTAGACATACCATTGAAGTGGTTTACTATTAATCTAGTCTATTACTGAGATGTACATGTTTTATAGATAGCACCTTAATTTACCATTACGGGTGCTCTTACTACTAGGAAGGATAGGCGATCGAGCACATCTGACATCTCTCTGAGCTCACAATCACGAATCAAACCTGAGTCCTGAGCAGAGCAAGCTTCGCAATGAGCTCCACGAGAACTGACGGGCATGTTCCCACGACGTCCTCCAATCCGCCATGCTCCATTACTTCTTCCAGGTTCGCAGGAGAGCTGAGGAACTCCAGGCACGCCTCCTTCAGCCCGCGGCAATGGTGCTTGTCGGCCAGCAAGAGGATGGTGGTCGCCGTGCCGACGCCGATGTGGCCGCACAGCTTCTCCTCGCATATCAGCTTCAGCCTCGGGAGATCGTACCTGTCCGCCGCGACGAGCAGGTGCTGCCACATGGCGACCTTGCCGTCTTCGTCTTCCTCCGTCTCCGGCGGCGGGGTGTCGTTGTAGATGAATGCAAGCATGGCCTTGAATGCTTCGGGCACCATTTCGCTGATATGTACGCTTGCTGTCGTTGCGCCCTCCTTCATGGGGCCAAAGAGCTCCACCATGAAGACGGTGGACCGCGCCGCGAGCACGCACCGGTGCGCGGCGAACGTCTCGCCGCCGACCTGGAACGTCACATCGGCGCCGACCTTGGTCAGGAGCAGATCGGTGAACTGCCGGTGCATGTCGGACGGTGGCACCGCGACGAGCGGCGCCGCCACGTCGTCGCCGGTGGTGTTGCTGCCGTCCTTCTTCAGGATGATGTCACACCTGATGGTGAAACAATCATCCTTGAGATGCTTGGATTTTTCTAGCTCCTCCCTTCTAATGAAATTGGTGTAGCCCCAACGATTGTCATCAGAGAAGTCGAATAATGCTTCCGAACAAATATGTGTCGACTTTTGTCTCTCAGTTTCGTCGATGAAACTAAACTCGTAATGCGCCATGAAAGGCCGTTCACTATCCTGATCAAGCTGAAGAGAAACTGAGATGGAATCGGCATCATCCGAACTTTCGCCATTGGGGTAGTAGTCGATAACCCAGCGATAGCCTCCAACCCTGAAAGGACGAGACCTGATGAAGTCGCCATTGGGGACGGTGTCCTTGGTTCGCGAGTAGCCTTCGACCACGAGGAGGTAGTACCCGCTGGTGGCGCCGGAGGTGATGGCTGACGACGAAGGCGACTGCAGCCTCCCGTCGCGGACGAGAGACACGCCGGCGAAAGACATGGCATGCAGGTGTTTGTGACTTTGTGTATTTGCTGGTTAGTTCATGTGTCACTGACGTACGTCGACGAAAATGTAGCGCTTGGTGGAGGAAGCAGAAACGACGCACTCTACGTATCAACGACTCGTCGTCTCCACGTACGAATCGCGACTCGCGAGCGCGCGACTCTTCGGGACTTGGAATTGTTCGTGGAACAGCAGCTGAACCGATCGACGATGGCTTCCGTTTCCGGTTTCCGAGGGCGCTGAATTGAAGACAAGGACGTAGTGTAGTAGTACTACCACGCGTCGACCAGCTCACAAGGGCCGGAGTTGATAAGGTTAGGAAACGATAGACAAAGCATCCTCCCAAAGCAGAAGACACTAGATTTAACGTTGAAAATCCTGCCAAAGCATAAGAGAAAAAACCATGGACACCAGCCAATAAAATATCTTCACTCTATCTAGGCTGAGCTTACAAATGCTGCACGGCGGCTTACAAGAGGTATATATATGTTGGAACCTAAAAGGGATGACAATCCGTACCGCGGGGGCTTCGCCCCAGCACCCCCGGGCGTCCCCAGGTGCCTCCAGCCCAAGCCTCTCGGTGACAGGTTTCCGCTCCACTACGACAGAAACTGATCTTTATTAAGTGCAAATAAATTTGGATCACAACTCAATAGACAGGATGCGTCTCGTTGTAGAATACCAAAAGAACAAATTGAGAAGACGAGAAGTTCTTCTCGCAAGTCGCAAAGCATGCATTCACCAACTAATGTAGGCCAGGAGTTGTGCATGCACAAGTGTATAAAATCGTAGCTAGTCATTCATACGTTTGATTTCAGTACATTTCGGCGTTCCCACCTTCAATTATGTACTCTTGCGGTGTGTCTTTCGTCGGCGGCGGCGGATCGGCGCCATCGGCCGTCACCGCCGGCGACGTGGCCACCGGGTTCCACCTGCTTGTCGTGAACGGCTATTCTTACGCACACGTGAGAACACCCCCGTTGGCGAGTGCATCGAGTCTCGCCGGTTCACCGTTGGAGGCTACCGGTGGTTCATCGAATACTACCCCAACGGCAAGTCCTCCAGTGTTTCCAACTGCATCTCAGTTTATCTCGTCCTCGACGACGACGGCGTCGCCGAACCTGTTCAGGCGCAGTACCAATTCAGGCTCGTTAACCAACTTGAGAAGGAACAGTTGCCATCCATTCCTGAGGTCATGAATTATACATATTTCTCCAACAGTTACCCTAGTTGGGGTAGATTGATCAGAAAGGACGTTCTTGAGCAATCGAAGTTTTTCTGGGACGATAATTTCACCATCCGTTGCAGTGTGATCGTCGCCAAGAAGCTCAGAAGCAAGAACCAAGAATCGATCGTGGTGCCGCCGTCCGACATCCGCCGGGATTTCGGCGATCTCCTCCGGACCGAGGACGGCGCCGACGTGACGTTCCAGGTCGCCGGCGAGTTGATCGCCGGTCACCGGTGCGTGCTCGCCGCCCGGTCCAGCGTCTTCAAGGCACAGATCTTGGGAGAGACGAACGACGGTAGTCAGAAGGCCGACGCAAGCAGACATGGAGCCACAGGTGTTCAAATCCTTGCTCACTTTCATTTACACTGACTCGTTGCCTGAGTTGGAGGACGAAGAGGAAACTGAATCCGATCGAGATGAAGAAGAAGATCAGGAGAGTGAAGCAGATGGAGTACACGGAGAAGATTACGATGACGATGACGATGATGATGATGATGACAATGGTGGTGATGAGATGTGGTCACCATTGCTCGTAGCGGCAGATAGGTACGATCTCCAGAGGCTGAAGCTGATATGCGCGAAGAAGCTGTGCGAGCGGATCGATGCGAGCACGGTGGCCGATAATCTTGGGCTCGCTGAGAAGCAGCATTGCCGTCTGCTGAAGGAGGCGTGCTTGGAGTTCCTCAAAGCTCCGGCGAATTTGAAGGTTGTACTGGCGAGTGACGGCTTGGATCACATAACTGCAACCTGCCCCTCTGTTCTGAAGGAGCTCCTTGCTAAGTTTGCATCTTAAGTTCAGATTACTGCATGCATGATTTCTATCCATTATCTAAAAAGATTAGTGCAAGCATGGTCGTAAGTTTGATGTGTTGTTTAATTACTCGTTTTGTCAAAAGTGTGTGGGTGCTTAGTCTCTTATTTTGTCTTGCTATCGTGTGATCGCCAAGGGTCGTCTCAGTGCTTGCAGTATGCATACTGAGCTTGGAAGATTGTGTTACCATGTTAATTGAGCATCTGAACTGCATGGGCCCTATGATTATAATGCTATTGTGATCTGCATTCAGAAAAACCTTGGCTATATTGTGCATTAGTGCTCTGTTTTCACCGAATTCTTTTTAGTAGAGAAAGCAATCTCTCTGTTTTGAAATACTCCACTGAACACTCGTTCTTCCTTTAAGATGAACTCATGCCTTTAGATGATTAATCAGAACAATCTTGTGTCAGTCTAATGTGATTTACCCGTATTGCATTGTACTGCTAATTTGCAACGTCGAATTAGCAACGCCGGTCAGATCTATTCACAAACCATCGCCATGCTAGTCAATAGTCATGGCCTGGTACAAGAGTATGCAGCCTCACACACTAGGCCTGGTACACTAGTCTATAGTTGTGAAATTTATATAGCATTGTTATTTATTAGTCGTCTGTTTTTTTTTCCTTTTCTGTTAATCATCTAAACTTTCAATAAGGCATTGCACGAGCACGAGCCGTAAGCTAAACTTACACGATAGAGTTATTATTCGGAGGGCTTACAGAAGCCATTCCCATGAGCCCATGACCTAGCTACACCAAAACAGAGACATGGTTTATTTGTGTATCATCTTAGCAAAGAGATAAAGCAATCCAAAGGAATTAGTGCAAAGAAAGCAAGAACCAACCGATATGCAACCGTTTCAGGAGAGAGAGCCAGCTCCTGCTCAGGCTAAAATTGACGCACGCTTTCTTCAGCCAGTAGCAATGGTGTTGATCAGCTAGCACCAACAAGCTCGATACCGTGTGCACGCTAACGTACTGCTTGCACAGCGGGGATGGATTCTAATAGCTCGAGTGGACGTCCACCCGTTTATTGCATGTCAACTAAATGGCTACGAAAAATTTTCAAAAAAATTGGCAAGATAGATCAATATGTAATATATCACTCCACAAACATACAGGTTAAAATTCAACTTCTACAAGTTGTAACAAAAATAACAAATTTAACTGTAAATATACATATAGTAATTTGAGTTTTGTTTGTTATTTTTGTTACAATATGTAGAAGTTGAATTTTAACTTGTATGTTTGTGGATTGATACATTACATATTGATCTATTTTATTCATATTTTTTCAATTTTTTTATAACCATTTAGATGACATGTAATAAGCGGGTGGACATTTACTCGAGCTGTTAAAATAGTTTCCCCTTGCACAGCTTCTCCTCGCAGATCAGCTTGAGCCTCTCCAGGTTGTACCGATCCGCCGCAACGAGCAGATGCTGGCACATGACGCCTTCCTCCTCCTCCATCTTCGGCAACGAGTCGGTGTACATGAAGCGGAGCAACGCTTTGAACACCTGCGCCTCCATGTCTTGGACGCACACGACCCCGGTGGGTTCGCTCTCCTTCATCGGACCGTAGAGCTCCACGCTGAAGACCGGCGACCGCGCCGCGAATGTCTGGCCGGCAACCTCAAACACCACATCCGCGCCCTTCCCGGTCTCCAGCAGGTCGCCGAGCTGCTGGTTCATGTTGGATGGGGGCACGGGCATGATCAAGGCCTCGCCGGGGAAGGCGATCTCCGTCGTCTCCTCGCGACGCGGATCTTGCAGACGACGACGATGTCGCACCGGACGGTGAACGAGTCATCCCTGAGATTCTTGGACTTCTCGAAATCTTCCCTTTCGATGAAATTGCTATGACCCCAAGACATACAACCCTCACAAAATGTTTTTACTTCCGACATTGCAAGCGAATTAGGCGGATTATCCATTAATCCGGAACTTCAACCGTGCTTGCACCTTCACATCCTTGGTGGATTTCTCGTCGAGCCATAGGAAAAGGGACATGTGATTGGCGGACTAGGCGAGGTTCCCCTTGGGGCAGAAAGTATTTTTTACACCTAGGTGGCACCTAGGTGTATGCATGCAATTTAAATAGTTATATAAAAATTTCATAAAATTTGATAAGATTGTCCATGGTAATATAAGACACTATGCAAACATGCAAGTCTAAATTCGATCGATATATGAAGAAACAAAAAATAACAAATTTTATCTGCACTGTATGGGTACTATTCATTGTCTGATTTTATTATTTTTGTTTCTCTAGTTGTAGATCAAATTTAGTCCTGCATGTTTGTGTATAGACTTGTATCATCACAAACGATGTTACTAAATTTTTTCAATTTTTTCTATAACTATTTGAATCGCATATAAATAATAGGTGCCACGGCACCTAGATGTAGAAAATCCTAACGAAGTGGTACCCATTCGCCTTGTCGAACACGATGGCGGAGGTCGACCGCGACGAGTTGCAATATGGCCGGCGACGGAAGAAGACATGGCAGGCAGGACGTACGTACACGACTTGACGCCGGGTTTTTTTTTTTTTAGGATAATGGCAGGAGCTCTGCCTATTCATTAAAGGAGAAAGAAGCAGTTTCACGTACAGGAACACCTCCAAGTGGTGTCTTCAGATTTAGACATTGGAGGAATTACAACACTTTGAGAAAGTGCAAAGCCACTAACATCAAAAGACGGCATTTTAACATCTAAACAGTTTGCGCTTCATCGAAAGCTTTGCACATGTTGATGATGGAGTCCACTACATGTGACACTGTACCATAGTCATTGTTGAAAATTCTTGCATTCCTTTGGAGCCAAATACCCCATGTCGTGTAGATGAATAGGCCATCAAAGTTCCTTCTCTGCTCTTTGATCCACTGACTTATTACGGCGGAGTTTGAAACAATGAAACCGATGGGAATCTCGTGGGGTTTTGTCATGCCTCTGTTGGTTACTGGGCCTCCAGGAAATAAAGGGAAAGTAAAAATAATCCTCTCAAAGGTAAAACTAAAACTGAAGCAATCCCAAAATAGAATATGTGATGGATTGATAAAGGGAGACGTGAGAAAAGCAGATCGATGTGGACTGAACCTTAAGCAGAATCACAATCTTCTTCTGCCTATTTGATAGTCCTGCTCACACACGGTTCGTTTGGACAATTGGAGTCAAGAAATTCTCATCCGTTAATTTCTCCGTCCTATTTCCTCCTTTTGCACTCTGAAAAGTTATTTCATATCGTCCATCTTCTCTTTTCAAAGGAAATTATCCTAGTAATACGTTAGTGACGACACATTCAAGCAGAACAAGCATGGCGCCGCCGCCCATCGGCCATCTCCCTCTAGCTGGAGTTGATTTTCACCTGAAGACTCCCGAGCAGTATGGAAACGGACGGAGCTCCTCTAACGTAAAGTCAGAGGGACGTGGGTCCCTGACAGGTGGGGCCCACCTTCATGGGCCTACACGTCAATGACCATGTCCTTCTCACTTTATGTCGGAGGAGCCTCTTCCGTATGGAAACACCGCAACGTACGATGCATGAAGGCATCACTGTTGCTAGTACCAGCAAACTCAAGCCCGATTCACTACACCCACTCAAAAAGACGCTGTCGCTGATCCGACCTGTATAACCATCCACGGGGACACCAACGCGACGACGCCCCATCGTTGGGCAGCCTCTACTCGCCCCTCCACGTGGGTGTTACAAACTAGTAGAAAAATGATTTTTTATGACAGTGTCCTATTTTTTTCGTTGGCGGTCATATGAGTAATCCGCTTGTGAAATTCTAACGAGGGATAGAAGGTTTAGGACTGCTAGCGAAAATTCGTTTTCGTTGATGGTAGGTTAAGAAGTCCACTTGCAAAAATAACCCTCTTTTCGCTATTTTTGTTGGCGGGCCTCCTATCCTACCGCCAGCGAAAATCTGAAGAGCGTCGCCCTTGAAAAAATCACGCCATTAAAAAATTCAACCCCACCACTCCTTATCTACCTATCTGTCATTATCCTCTCTCTCCTCCTCCCTCCATATCCAACCCTGTCCTTCTCCCTCTATATCCAACCCTCTCCCTCTAGATCCAACATCTCCTCCTCCCTCCACGTCCACCAGACTCCACAGGCGGCAGCTGCTCTGGTGGCGACTTCGGTGGCGGTTCTCGGGCGGCGGCGAGCTCAGGGCGTGGGCAGTGAGCTCAGGGACAAGGCCGTTGGTTGCCATCACAAATCCACCGAGCTACCAAACCTATAGAAGCCCAAATGGGCTACCTGGCCCGGGCATGGCCCAGGCACAATAGGGCCTGGGCCAAGGTCAATCGTGCCAGCATGACCTGACCTACACACCGGGCGGGACCGTGCTTGCTCATGGGCTACACCCACGGCCCAGGCACGGCCCAATAAGACTTGGACCATGCCGGGCCAGTCCAAAGGCAAAGAGTCCATCGTGCTTCTCCATAGAACAAGTCTATTTTTCTTCCCTCATCTCTTTGGGTTGTATCTTATATGGCAGAATAAGTCTATTTTATATCCAAATTCTCTTTGGATAGTGCCTTGTAAGGCTAGATTAAGTCTATTTCAATTATTTTCTTTGACACTGTTGTGCCGGGTCGGCCCATCGTGCCAAGGCGTCGGCCCAGGCCTTATGCCCATCTACTGGCCGGCATGGGCCCGACATCAGTCATACCGTGTTGTGTTTGGGCCAGGCCAAATGGCCGTGCCATGGGCCGGTCCGTCAGGCCTTATGGCCATCTATAACCAAACCCTCTATGCCTAAGCTCATGGGTGGATCTAGATGGTGGTAATGGCAGGCGATTGACCATCCAAAAATACCCTACCCCAAGTCCTAGGTATATAAAAAAGAGGGAAAAAAAACTTGTATGAAGAGAAAAAAAGATAGAAAACACACACTTATTCATATATCATGATACAATTTTGTTCATTCTACACTAGTATTGTATATTGACATGTTTTGCAGTATTTTGAAGAAATTATGTAAGTTGACCATCCGTACAAAAATCTTACACACGTAATTGCAGCCGCATGAATGTTCGTTGGCCTGCTTTGACGGTGGGGAGACTAGCTGGAAGTCTGGAACCGCCTCGCAGCCACCGGTCTGCTGGGCACCTACCTCTGTGCAGATTTGGCCCCTCCCGCCGGGACGACGCTAGATCGGAGACACCGACCGAAGCCTGCAGCCTCACACCGCCGTCAGACCGCTTCCAAACTTCCACAGCCTCCTTCTCCTCCTTGCTCACTATAGCTGTTGCATCAGGCGTCTTGCCACGCTTGCCTCTGCCTCGTTAGATCTAGCGAGGTGTCCTGAGTATTAGCTAGTCTATGTTTTCTCTGCTCAATCAATATACAAGAGGTAAAGTTTTTACCCTCTTTTAAACAAAAAATGTTATAAAAGTTAGTTGATATAGCGGAACAACGACTAACTTTCTCGATCGCTTCAGTCATTGATCACCTAAGAAAACATGTGGTAATGTAGCTAGGAAAACATGATATTTGTTAATGAAGTTCAGCCGAAACTTACATCTTCGAGGCTTTAATTATGGGCGCTCCTCCCCAATTAACATAGCATCCGCTACGAGTCCATGACCACGCCGCCATCATCTCTCTGCGTGTCTACGCTACATTATAGTCATCATGATTATATTGTGATGCCCCCTCTCCGACTCTAACTTCACTCTACACCTATTTTAATTCCAAGTCCAACTTTTAGTAGGACTAGTATATTTGACACATATTCTAATAAAAATAATGTCATATATAATAGCTTAGATAAAAAAGTGTATCTGTATTACTGTATACTTTCTAACTACCTGATCGATGACAATGGTTCAGAACAAAGCAAGGTTTGCCTTCGTTTCAATAAAAACAATGTTTCAGAAACCATAAATTACAAAGCACCAGTGCTACACACTAACTCAATTTAATTTGGAGGTGCCAACATGGCAACCAGCTCTTTCATAAGAGGGGCAGCTCCTGCTCAGATTATCGAAGCCACCGGCGGATTCTCCGATGAGCCGAGAAAATTGAAGCACGCCTTCTTCAGCCCATCGCAGTAGTGCTGATCAGCCAGTGCCAGGATGCTCGCCACGGTACCCACGCCAATGTACTTGCACAACTTCTTCTCGCAGATCAGCTTGAGCCTCTTCAGGTTGTAACGATCCGCAGCGACGAGCAGATGCTGGCACATGACGTCTTCCTCCTTCATCTTCGGCAACGAGTCGGTGTACACGAAGCGGAGCAACAGCTTGAACACCTGAGCCTCCATCTCTTCGATGCGCACGACTCCTCCGGCGGCGGCGTCGCTCTCCTTCATCGAGCCGAAGAAACTCCGCGCTGAACACCGGTGACCGAGCCGCGAGCACGTACCGGTGCGCGGCGAACGTCTCGCCGCCGCCGACCTCAAACACCACGTCGGCGCCCTTCCCGGTCTCGAGGAGGTCTCCGAGCTGCTGCTTCAGGTCGGATGGGGGAACGGACACAAATGTTGCTTCCTCAGTGCGAATCTCACGCATGACGACTATGTCACACCGAATGGTGAAACAGTCGTCCCTGAGATATTTAGACTTTTCGAATTTTCTCCTCCTCATAAACTTTGGGAAACCCAGGACCAAGAATCGGCACGACCAAAGGTTCTTACTGGCTTGGATATCAGCGAAGGTTGCTTCTTCTTCTTCTTCACCCTATCGGCCAGCTCAATCTGGTACTTCACCTTCACCTCCCCGCTGGTGTTCTTGTCTAGCGAGAGGTAAAGCGGTATGTAATCGGCGGATTTCTTGCCTCTCCCGTTGGGGTAGTACTCGATTCTCCAGCGGTAGCCGCCGACGGTGAACTCGCCGGATGCGATGGGCGTGCCGGTGGGGGTCTCCTTGGTGAACGAGTAGCCGTCGATCTTGAAGAGGTGGTGCCCGGTCACCCTGTCGACCACGATGGCGGAGGTGGACCGCGTCGACGAGTTGCCATGGCCGTTGGCGGAGGAGGGCATGGCAGAACACTAAGTTGCCGGCCGCCGGCTTGGCTTGCCGCTGCTCCGGTAGGGTTTAGCGCGGAGTGGGGCTTACGGCGCCACGGCGGCTTGGTTGCCTTGCCTCGCTGGTTTGGGAGTTTGTGAAGGACACGGAAATTCATGGGGGCCTTTCATATGGTTACTGGGCCTCCAACAACTAGCAGGACGGGAAGCAAAACAAAACAAAAACAATCCTCTCGAACAGAAGCTAAAATACAAGCAAAAAATAATTAAAAAAAACATAGCGTGTTGGAGACCTGGAGATGCCTAATCCATTCACCGTACGGATCCGGCTCCTCTGCCTTTCGGTGCTAAGGGGAGAGGAGCATAGTAATTTATGTCTTGTGCTACTATAACTATATTGTGTAAAAGTATTGTTCATGTGTTACTGTAATATGTTGTAGTGATCGATCCCGTGCGTTTGTTATAAATCGGATGGCTGAGATTACCCTAAAGTCACCGCAATGTGCTTCTCGGACTTCTCAATCCTCACCTTACACCGTTGGATCCTCTCCGGCGAAATGATGTGTTCTCCGGCAAAGGGGCAATGCTGAAGAGTGAGGACGGTGCAATTGGTCATCTACACGTCAATGCTCCGTTAGTCAAGAAAATTTCAACCAAATCCATCCATGATTTAGTCAACAGAACCGACGACTGCTAGTCAATATGTCATCTACTGAAGAATCAGAAGAACCAAAGACTGTAATTTGACCGCATCAATGGTTCATAATTTAGTCATACGTTTACTGTAATCTGGCTCCATATATACTCCCTTCGTACTCATAAATAAAGTCGTTTAGGACAATGTTTAAGTCAAATCTTGAGAATATAAATCATGAATAACTCTCAAGTTGTTGAGTTTGAAAATGTAAAAATTATATGAATAGATTTGTATTGAAAAATACTTTGATAAAAGTATACATATACCAATTTTCAATAAATATTTTTATAGAAATAAGAAGTCAAAGTTGTATTTTGAAAACCGTGTCGCTGTCCAAAACGACTTCCTTTACGAGTACGGAGGGAGTACTTGTTTTATGATTCAGTCATGGGTGTGCTAGCTGTAACGTACCAGCATTGCACTCTGCTGTAAGATTTACTCCCTTCAGTTCTATATTAACTGATGTTATGGGTTAATGCTATTTGGATGGCAAAATCTGACGTTTTAGCTTTCTCCACGGCTCTCTCACTTATAATTCTCCAGAATACCCCTCATGCATGCATGCAAACAGTAAATGCATGCATGGAAAAGTCATTGGTATTTAATAAGGGTATAACAGGAAATATGGTGACTAACTAATAAGTCATTGGTATTTATAATGTTGTCTAAAACGTCGGTTAATATAGAATTAGAGGGAGTAACTTCCTAAGGTAACACTTATGTTGCTCAATTGCGCCTTTGTTTAGTTTTGACTCATACGAAGGAGGATACGAGCACGACAATAAGAAAACTTGCCGAACCTGTCAAAATGCAATGAACGATCAAAACTGAACCTGATATATATCTGGCAAAGCATTTCTTGGATCAACATGAGCAGAAGATAGAGATTTCTTGGAGAACATGGGAGAAAAGGCAAGACAATGACGATTACATAAATATCCATAGGTTTCTTCGTCCAGAAAAACAACTGAAGAAATTGCAATAGGACACCTGAAGAAATGATAAACGAATCTTCAGAACAACGAAAAGACACTAGTGTTGGACCCCTGCCATCCTCATTTCTTCAAATTATTCTCTAGTCCAGACACTATTCTTCATCAAAAGCCATAAAAAAAACCTTGGCTTCAAGGAAGTTTGGTTTTCCAGATACATTCAAAAGGGAAGTTAGCATAACTAGTTTTTTTTTTTTTTTTTTGCGCCGCACAAGCTCTGAACCTTGGTTTATTTGAATCATCGGACTAAAATTATCTGACAGCAGGTATCTCACATCGAAACAATATCAGAGATAACATGAAGTGACATCAAAACAGAGATGGGACTTCTTTGACTACTCTTTCAAAAAGACATAAAGCACAAATGCTTTCATTACCATATATGCTTACATCCAAATCAAGCATGCCAAATGTAAGTTTAACACCAGGCAACAAGTGACAATCCAATGAAAATTAGAAGTGAAGTTGCACAGAACGCAAAAATGCAGACTAAGCGAAGTAGTAGTACTTTCTAACCCCAGTTCCCCAGCTAAGGATGGATGTCAAAATTTCTCATACAACTGATAACAAAAGCCTATAACAGGGAGTATGTGCATGCCTCCAATGCTAAAAAGAGAAGAGAACTACTAGATGACAAAAGTTCAGATTCTGAAACTACACAGGCACAAACTGCTATTGCAAGAACACCAAACACCTGAACACTAAATCACTAAAGCATGACTCAGCAGAGGCGCCAGCATGGCAACCAGCTCTTCCATAAGTGAGGGGAAGCTCCTGCTCAGATGCTTGAGGCCATCACTGGTGATGACAGCATTCAGGTTTCCCGGTGAGGCCAGAAAATGAAAGCATGCTTTCTTCAGCCCGTCGCAGTGGTGCTGATCAGCCAGCGCCAGGATGTTCGATACAGCGTCGACGCTAATGTAGCTGCACAACTTCTCCTCGTAGATCAACTTGAGCCTCTCCAGGTTGTACCGGTCCGCCGCGACGAGCAGATGCTGGCACATGACGTCTTCATCATCATTCCCCATCTCCGGCAACGAGTCGGTGTACACAAAGCGGAGCAGCAGCTTGAACACCTGCGCCTCCATGTCTTCGATGCGCACGACTCCAGCAGTGTCACCCTCCTTCATCGAGCTGTAGAGCTCCGCTCTGAAGACCGGCGACTGCGCCGCGAGCACGCACCGGTGCGCCACGTGTTAGAGTATATGGTAGTTAAAGTCATATTAGGATAGGATTGATTTGTGTGGACTCCTTCTATATCTGTAATCTTTCCTTATCTCCTCCCCATGTACTCACATATATATCAGCCCCCTGAGGCTCAATATAGTGTGTCTAATATTCGTAGTATACCTCTTCAACGTCTCGCCGCCGACCTCGAACACCACGTCAGCGCCCTTCTCGGTCTCCAGCAGGTCGCCGAACTGCTGGTTCATGTCGGATGGGGGCACGGACACAAAGGCTTCGACAGGGAGTATCTCGGTCGTCTCCTCGGCGCGGAATCGGCGGACGACGGCAATGTCGCACCGGATGGTGAAAGAGTCATCCCTGAGATTGTCGGACTTCTCAAAATCTTCCCTTCTAATAAACCTGTCATAACCCCAAGACCAAGAACCATCAGGTCCAACACCAAAAGTAGTACATGCTTTCGCCGTTGACAACGAAGGCGGCTTATCCACATTGCCAGTGTAACCGATCTGGAATCTCCAGCTCGCCCGCACCTTCACATCCTTGTTGGCCCTTTCGTCCAGCGAGAGAAAAAGCGATATGTAATCGGCGGAGTCCGCGCAGTCTCCGTTGGAGAAGTAATCGATGCGCCAGCGGTAGCCGCCGACGGTGAACTGGCTGGATTTGAGGCTCAAGCTGGTGGGGATGCCCTTGGTGAGCGAGTAGCCTTCGATCTTGAGGAGGTGGTACCCGGTGGCCGTGTCGACCACGACGGCCGAGGCGGAGGCGGACCGCGACGGGTTGCCGCGGCAGGCGGCAGGGGACATGGCAGGAGACACTGCTCGCCGCGGCAGAGGATAAAAGGGCATGTAGCCTATTGGTTTGACTGAGTAGTATCCCGAGATTTTAAGTTCAAATTTTTCTATTAAGTGAATTTCAGATTGGATTGTTTGACCAGATAAAAAATACCATTCTCTAAAAAAATAATAAAAAAAAACGGAATTGCTAACTATCATTTGACAGATTTACGAGCCTTCTATCATTCGTTTTTTAAGCCGTTAGATGGTTTTTGAGATCTGCTAACTATCGTGCTAGCATCTGCTTCAGTTGCTAACTAAGTCTACGTTGCTGTTCCCTGGTGTCTGAGCCCAAATCAGCAGTTGCCAGTTGCCGACTCCATCATTTATCGATTTGAGGCGTGTTTTTCAATGCTACTTTGTTTATGATCCTACGTATACTAATTACATCGTACTTACGCTATAATTATATATGTAATTTTTAAACTTACAACATAAATACACTATAATTACATATGTAATTTTCATACTTACATTGTAAATACATTATAATTACATATGTAATTTTCAAACTTACATAGTAAATACACTATAATTACATATGCAATTTTTAGACTTACATCATAAATACATTAAAATTACTTATGTATTTTGTTTGTGTATATTAATGTCATCCGTTAGATGTTGATCCAAAGGGTAAGAAGCATGATAGAGGCTAAAAAAATCTGTCACATGATGTATAGGCAGTCCCAAAAAAAAAAGCTGTAGGGTTTACCGCGGATTTGGGGGGAGAGATGGAGGGGGCGACATGAAACGGAGGAGACGAGCGACGCGACCAAACCGCCGCCGTAGGGGTGAAAGTGGTTCGGATAGTTTCCGTTCGTCCGGACCATTTTTCGGATTCGGATAGTTTTGGTCGGAACTATCCCGAAATTCTCGGATTCAGAGACGAATTCGGATTTTTTTTCTCGGAAACAAAAACGAATATCCGTCGGAATCGGAAAACGGTCGGAAACTATCCGGATTTTTTTTGGATATCCGCAGACATTGAGGAAATTTTAGAAAAAAACACGTATATATACATAACTTTTTCATACGGAATCAGATGGAGACAAACTTTATATCAACATTGTAGAGCTCAATGAGATCTACAACTTTCTTATTGACTATTTTCTTATTTGAGGTCATTTAAGGGTCTAAATATTCATTATAATATACCATATTAATTTTTACAAAATCTCAGATCTACAATTCGAACGACATCTGATGGAGATGTGTTCCATATCAAAGTTGTAGAGCTCAACGGGATCTACCACTTTGTAGTTTATAACATTTGTATTTGAAAGCATTTAAAGTATAAAACAAACATTACAAGTTTCGAAGATGTGAAGTAAAATAAATAACATCTCCAATTTATACAATGCTAAGTAAGTTATACATCTAGTAAAAAGTCTTGGGAATAGAAAATGATAATCATATTTGCATATGGATCTCTAAGAAGAATAGCCATGAAAATCGATTTTCACATACTGTTGTGGACCGTATACAAAATTGATCATATAAATGTTGGAGATGTTGAACTAAAATAATAAGCGATATCTCTTCCTTGATCAAGAAACTCAATTTGAGGGTTTTTTATATACCGGTAAATATTCGCTACCGTATTCGTTCCGTCTCGTACTCGCTCCGTATCTGTATTCGATAATATTCGATTTCATTTCCGTATCCGAGTTTTCGATTCTGATTCCGATTCCAAAAAAAAATATGAAAATAAATATGATAAAGCTAGTTTCCGTCCTTTTTCATCCCTACGCCGCGGCCGCTTGGTTGGGAAAGGAAAGGAGGTGTTTTTACGTCTCGAGTGGATTGGATTGGACTGGAATCCCATAATTTGTGTGGGCTCTGGTAGGGCCTATTTACGTGGTGGCCCGCGTGACGGGCCGAGCACTGGATGGAGGCTTCTAGGAGAATTTACGGCCCATGTAGGTTCAGAGCCCAGCGTGGGACTGTGGCAGCGTGTGGATTATCTAGATCGGATCGCGGGCAAAAAAGCACCGCCATACGATTTTGCTCGTCATCTGTCGTAAATTTTTTCCTGTTATTTGACGTTTTTTATTTGCCGCAAGATCTTTGCGCCAAGATTTTTGCAGCAATTGCCGTTGATTGAGCCTGTTTGGTTGGTGACCTGAGCACCATGCCTGAGAAAAATCCGTGCCTGAGTGTTGCATGAGGTGGGAGTGGTTCATGCCTGAGAGACATGCCTGAAAGAAATCTGTTTGGTTGGTGACCCGTGCCTAAGAACACTTAAAACTAATATTATCTATTATCTTTATCTTTTTAAGCTTGGAGTTTAATAGTATTACCTCCGCTTCATATTATAAGTCGTTTTGATTTTTTTTAGTCAAACCTTTTTAAGTTTACCAAATTTGTAGAAAAATCTAGCAACATCTATAACACAAAATTAGTTTTATTGAACCTAGCTAACGTTGAATATGTTTTAATACTATGTTTATTTTGTGTTGAAAATATTACTATTTTTTTACAAAATTGGTTAACCTTAAACATGTTTGATTCGGAAAAAAGTCAAAGCAACTTATAATATGAATATAGGGAGAATTTTTGTTTTACAAATCTCTTATCATATCTTTAGCAAATCAAGTGGAGAGCAGTTCGACACATTTTCCAATCAAAAGATAGTGCATGCAAAAGAAGCAACCAGCTGCAGCGTGAGAGAATTACTCTAATTCAAGAATTAGTACAGAAGTACTTCAGCTAATCAAGAGGCCTGGCACTGCATGCAACTCAGGCCACCAATTTTGGTCGCCTGACTGAGGCTGATTGAGCTGCCGGAGAGCTCAGGCCAGGGAAGGTATGGATTGCCTCAGGCACCAACCAAACAAGATATATTTTTTCTCCGGCTTGTCTCTGGCCAGGCATATTTGTCTCAGGGTGGCAACCAAACAGCCTCAAGTCGCTAGAGAGTCAGCATGGGCCAGTATTGTCGTGCGAATAAAATGCATGAAGTATGTAATTTCCATAGGTCAGATTAAGAAATATCTCTATGTTAATTTACATGTCAAATTAAGTATTAATTGATACAGCAAATTTAACGTATGTTAAACATCTAAATAAAAATTGATTTATTTAACGGTTGAAAATTAAGACATGTGAAACTAAATAAAATATAAAATTATAGTACTGTAAACTAAAATTATATTTGTAAATTCAGTTGATGTAAGTGTACTGTAATTTTGAAAAAAAAATATTATGTAAGTAAATATGTATTTGTTATTTTCTTTAAAATATAAAATTACAGTCCTATATAACTAAAACTGCAATTGTAAATTCAGTTGATATGTCATGTAAGTGCATTGTAATTTTGATAAAAAAATATTGTGTAAGTAAATATATATATTTTATTTTCTTTTGTTGTTTGTTGGATATAAATCTAAGGGTAAAAAAACCTAGGTGGTTTATTTTAGAAATCTCACGATAAATGGATAGGCAGTTCCCTGCCATAGTATGCGGGAGTGCGACCGAAGTTTTTTAAAATAAGAACTAATGTCATCGACGTCACTTTTTTTATCATCATATAAACCACAATACATCTGCACATAGGATCCATATGTCAGTTTCATATTCTTCCTCCACCCTCCCCAGGTGGTAAGATGATGCGGCCGCGGGCACGGACAAGCACGAAGGCCTGGATATCTGCTTAATTTCAGTGCAGGTCCTAAATATATTGATGAGATGCGAGCGTGCTATTCAGTTTGATCATGCAACTGACAAGATAAATGAATTGATAACCAAAGAGCGAATCGACCAATAAGCCGATGTAGCAATACTAGCCGATGTCGATAGGGTTTTGAGCAATCGGATATGCATTCGATGTAGATTCTAACAATTTAATAAATAATGATATAAAGGTAATCAACTGATGATAATATGATGAAGTAATGAATCAATTGGTCGATATTGATGTAACAAAGTAAATATTAATTAAGTGTAGGCTCGATGGTTAACCTATACATCGACTGAAATTTCTGTGTCAAGATAACTTATCTGCTAGTACTATGATAAAATGTTATCATGAACCTATCGATTTAACAAGATTTAGATTATCAACAAAAATCTAGTAGGTCAAACCTAACCGATGCAGCACCATATTGTATATAATAATCTAATACACAATGAGCCGATAAATCGGTCTAATATGATGGATATAATAAATCTATCTAAAACAACATTACGATTGTGAATATATATTGACTAACTCAGAGGATCAGACCTAATCGAGACAGTCCCAAGTAAACCGATGCGTCTCTAAACACAATACAATTAGAGACAGAATATAAATATTGGATCGGCAAAATATATTAACATAACTAGAGTGATCCAAGAGGTCGAAGCGATGCAGCCTCGAACAACACCAATACAGCTGATACAATTTCTATGGCCGGTGGAAGTTAGGACTTACCCCTTCGCTGGAGATCGAAGGTGACACAACCCCGCGTCAGGTGCCGAGTTCCATCGATGATAAAAAAAAAACCTTGGAAAAGAGGGAGATAGATTACAGGGACCTCGGATGTACATATTTATACTCATGGATAGATACTAGTCCTCATTGGACACGACACAAACTTTCCTAAAGATATAGTAAACAACCTTTCCTAAAAATAAAAGGAAACTAATGACTTTATCGAATTAATAGATAAATTGCTATGTTACATCCTGTCATTGAAATCAAGCGTGTCAAATAGAAGTTCAATACCAGGTAAGATGTGAAAATCCATTCCAGATTGAATACTGAAGCTGCAGAGATAGTAAAAAAGCAGAGATGAAGTGGAAGTACTTTCTAACTTCTGCTTAGGATAGATGATGTAGTCATAAGACCTAAACACAGGGAGTTCAGCTGCATATGCCTGCATAAAAGAAGAGAAGCCAACTACCTGATGACAAAGGTTCCGATTCAGAAACCAAAAAACTACCATTGGCCATTGCAATAACACAGGTCACTAAGCTTGAGTAGCTGGAAGTGCCAGTTTGACAACCAGCTCTTCCATAAGAGAGGGGCAAATCTTGGACAGATGCTTGAAGCCGTCACCGGCGACGACAGCACTCAGGTTCGCCGGTGAGCCAAGAAAATTGAAGCACGCTTTCTTCAGCCCGTCACAGCGGTGCTGATCAGCCAGCGCCAGGATGTTCGACACGGTGCCCACGCTAATGTACTTGCACAGCTTCTCCTCGCAGATCAGTTTGAGCCTCTCCAGGTTGTACCGGTCCGCCGCGACGAGCAGATGCTGGCACATGACGTCTTCCTCCTTCATCTCCGGCAAAGAGTCAGTGTACAGAAAGCGGAGCAACACCTTGAACACTTGCGCCTCCATTTCTTCAACGCGCACGACTCCAGCAGTGTCGCCTTCCTTCATCAGGCCGTAGAGCTCCGCTCTGAAGACCGGCGACCGCGCCGCGAGCACGCACCGGTGCGCCGCGAACGTCTGGCCGCCGACCTCGAACACCACATCCGCGCCCTTCTCGGTCTCCAGCAGGTCACCGAACTGCTGGTTCATGTCAGACGGGGGCACGGATACAAAGGATTCAGCAGCGGGGAGTATCTCGGTCGTCTCCTCGGCGCGGATCTTGCGGAGGATGAGAATGTCGCACCGGATGGTGAACGAGTCATCCCTGAGATCGTCAGACTTCTCGAAATCTTCCCTTTTGATGAACTTCTTATAGCCCCAAGTCCAAGAACACCCACGAATAAAAGTTCTTACCATAATGTATTTTAACGAAGGTTGCATCTTCACCTGGTTAGCGAAACTAATCTGGTACTTCGCCTGCACCGAAAAATCCGCGTTGCTCTTTTCATCTAGTACGAGGTAGATCAATATGTAATCAGCGGCGTCGACGGATGCCCCGTTGGGGTAGTATTAGATCCGCCAGCGGTGACCACCGACGGTGAACCGGCTGGAAGTGAGGAACGAGCCGGTGGGGGTGCCCTTGGTAAGGGAGTAGCCATTGATCTTGAGTAGGTGGTATCCAGTGGCCGTATGGGCCAAGATGGCGGAGGCGGAGGCTGACCGCGACGGGTTGCCGGCGGGAGACATGGCAGGACACTGCTCGCCGCTGGCCCGCTGCTGCTGTAGGTAGGGTTTTACTTTTGCCGCAGGTTTAGGGGGGGAGGAAGGGAGACGCGAGACGACTACGAAGGAAATGAAGGGACGTGTTTGGAATAAGTTCACCGGAGGTCCCTCAACTTAACAGCGAGATTTTTTTTAGGTCCCTCAACTATAAAACCAGAAATATTCGCCCCTAAACTTATTCAAACCATTCACCGGAGGTCCCTCGGCAGTATACGTGGGTGGTTTCGCTGACGTGGTATCCTAGTCAGCAAAAAAAAATTAAAAAATTTTTGTGGGGCCCACATGTCAGCTACAGTTTATTTTCTCTTCTCTTTTCTCTCCTCTTCTCTTTCCTCTCCTCTCCCTTTGCCGGCGGCGGGCGGCGATGGGCAAGCGCACGGCTGGAGTAGGTGGAGGGGCTGCGTCAGCGCGCTAGAACAGGCGGAGCGGCGGCGTCTCTAGGCGAGTGCGGCTGCGGCAAGCGGCGGGCGAGTGCGACGGCGGGCAAGCGGCGGCTCCGAGAGTGGGCGGTGCGCGGCCGGAGCAGAGGGACGGGGGACGCCGGGGGGGGGGGGAGCGCAGGGCGAGCGGCGGCGAGGGTTCGCCTCTTTCCCCCTCTTCCGCCCGGCCTCCTCTCCCCCTCTCCGGCGGGGCGCGGGGAGAAGGGCGGTCACTTGCAGGCGGCGTGGACAGGGCCGACCACCTGACTACCCGAGCCCGGAGCTCCGTCCGCTCCCGCCGCTACGGCGCACCACCACGCTAGGCTCCTCCGATGAGTACGATGGCAGCGGTGGGAACCAGCGGCGAGAAGAACAGTGGGCAAAGCGACCTAGGGCTAGGAGTAGAGGTGCGTGGCATACCCGCTCTCCACTCCACGTCGACGGCGCCGTCGATCTGGCCGTGCTGGTGAAGTTTCCCGTCGCCCGGCCGTCGCTGTTGCCGTCTGGCTTCTGATTCCTCCACCACCGGAGGATGATCCATCGACTCAGGCATTCGACCGCCACCCCCTTCTGATTCTTCCGCCACCGGCGGCGACATCTCTGTTGGCCGTGGGGATCCCCTCCCGGAGCAGGAGCCCGTCTCGGATCCCGCCCCCACCTCCCGTCGCGGTCGCCCGCAGTCCGCCGCCGCTCTCGCCGGCCGTCGCCCTGCTCCTGCCTGCTTCACCTGCCGCGGCCGCGCTCGCCCTCCGCCGCCGCCACTCTCGCCGGCCGTTGCGCTGCCCGTCTCGGCTCGTCGAAGAAGACGGGAGAAGAGAAGAAAGGGGAAAAAAAGAAGGAATGTGGGGCCCGCACCGTTTTCTCTCACTTACATGTGGGCCCCACGTACTTTATTTATTTATTTTTGCTAACTAGGATGCCACGTCAGCAAAACCACCCACGTATACTGCCATAGGACTTTTTTGCACGGTTAGTGAAATTTTAGGGACGAACATTTCAGTTTTGTGGTTGAGGGACTGTGGGCTCTAAAAATCCACGTCTCGGATCCTGTGGGCTCTGGTGGGCCTACCCTTGGAGGCTGCAAGTAGATTTTAGAGGATCGCTGGAGAAAATGCTCTGCCGTATGCTTTATGAGAGAAGTTTAACAGTATAGCTCACTAGTACCAAATCATCTATAGCCAATGTAATATTTAATTTATATAATAGTTGTTTACTATACAATTAATACCTGGTCCCACCTGTTATACACACATCATGTCTTGTAGTCCGTGCTATAACTGGCTACAGATCTGTAGCCCGCTGCTCTTCTCTCTCTTTCTTTATCTCTTTAAAATATTTTTATAGCTGGCTTATAGCATGCTATTGTTCTCTTTCTTTTATCTCTTTAAAATATATTTATAATTGGTTTATAGCATGCTATTGTACCTGCTCTCATGATGCATTGATGCGGTCAGATACTCGGATTATAAGCGACTAATTTGTGCAGCTGGATGCAGCAACAAACAAGTTTAAAATGCTTCAATTTCTGGGATAAAAAATGCCTTGTTTTAAAACAAGACCAGGGAAAAAGTTGGCACCGATGTTCCAACAATGCAAGCTCACATTAGCTAGGGACATTTTCCCTAGTTAGTATGTTCCAGAGTACAGAAAATTGTTGCACAGCCAATTATAACCATCGTTTTATGTTTCAGAATACTAGAACCTAACCAAGATCCTGACTAGCTTGGAGAGGTATAAAGTGCAACATGACGCCTGAAGAATAAAATACACATACCCTTCATCAGAACGACCAATAGATGCTGGACTCTTTTCCTCAAAGTATCTCAAAAATAGAGCCATAAGGGCACCTTAAAATCTCAAAAGAAATTTGGCTTTTCAGATAGATTTAAAAGGGAAGACGGCAAGACTCATTTTTATGGACCCTGCACAAGGACTGAACCTTGAATGTTGTCCCACCCTGATACCAGGAGGGTTTATCTGAAATTCTGAATCATCATGTTTAACACCAAATCCTCCAAATCAAACATGCCAAATGTAAGTTTAACACCAGGTAACAAGTGACATCTTTTCAGATTTAAAAGTGAAGTTGCAGCGACAACATAAAAGGCAGACAAAGTAGAAACAATCTCTAACTTCTGCTTAGGATGCCATACGTTACCTGATAAGAAAAACATATGAGAAAATTTACAGTGATTGAGAAAATACCTTGATGTACCTAAATTTTATAGTACAAATTTTGGTACCTAAAGGTACCAAGTTTTATACTAGAAAATGATACCTCCCGGTACCTTTTCAAGGATGATAAAACTACCCAAAGTATATACACAGAGGGTTCAGCTACATGTTTTGCGTACTAACAGAAGAGAACTACCTGATGACAAAAAATCAGATTCAGAAACCAACAACTACAATTGCTAGAACACTAAGATATCATTAGCTGTCCTAACTCCTAACAGTTATCTTTCATAAGAGGGCTTGTTCCTGGCTTCCTGCCAGTCTCTTTCCCTCAAATTATCGCTACTCGATACACTATTCCTGATAAAAAGCCATGGCAAAAAATTGATATTCAAAGGAACTTCGCTTCTCCAGGTAAATTTTACAGAGAAATTAGCATGAGTCAGTGAGTGTTATGAACCTGTCCAAGGACTAAACCTTGAGGGTCTATCTGAATCATCAGTCAGAAACAACAGGTATCTAACATCAAAACAACCATGGAGATAACATACTCTAACACAAAGAGAAGATATGAAACTTCTTTGACTACTACATTAGAAAAGAGATAAAGCACAATTGCACAAATGCTTTCACTACTAGTCTACTACTCGTGCATCGAAATCAAGCGTGCTAAATAGAAATTTAATTAATGCCAGGTAAGATGTGCAAATCCATTTGAGATTGAATAATGAAGCTGCAGAGATATTAAAAAAAAAAACAGATATGAAGTGGAAGTACTTTCTAATTTCTGCTTAGGATAGATGATGTAGTCATAATTTCATATATACATGATAAAAGGCCTAAACACAGGGAGTTCAGCTGCATGCCTGCATAAAAGAACAGTAGCCAACTACCTGATGACAAAGGTTCAGATTCAGAAACCAAAAATCTACCATTAGCCATTGCAATAACACATGAACACTAGAGGTCACTAAGCATGACTAGCTGGAACCTGGAAGTGCCAGTACGACAACCAGCTCTTCCATAAGAGAGGGGCAAATCTTGGAAAGATGCTTGAAGCCATCACCGGCGACGACAGCACTCAGGTTCGCCGGTGACCCAAGAAAATTGAAGCACGCTTTCTTCAGCCCGTCACAGTGGTGCTGATCAGCCAGCGCCAGGATGTTAGATACCGTGCCCACGCTAATGTACTTGCACAGCTTCTCCTCGCAGATCAGCTTGAGCCTCTCCAGGTTGTACCGGTCCGCCGCGACGAGCAGATGCTGGCACATGACGTCTTCCTCCTCCTTCATCTCCGGCAACGAGTCAGTGTACAGAAAGCGGAGCAACACCTTGAACACTTGCGCCTCCATTTCTTCAATGCACACGACTCCAGCAGTGTCGCCTTCCTTCATCAAGCCGTAGAGCTCCGCTCTGAAGACCGGCGACCGCGCCGCGAGCACGCACCGGTGCGCGGCGAACGTCTGGCCGCCGACCTCTAACACCACATCCGCGCCCTTCTCGGTCTCCAGCAGGTCGCCGAACTGCTGGTTCATGTCGGATGGCGGCACAGATACAAATGTTTCGACAGGTAAGATCTCCGCCGTCTCCTTGGTGTGGATCTTGTGGACGACGAGAATGTCGCACCGGATGGTGAAAGAGTCGTCCCTGAGATGGTCGGACTTCTCAAAATCTTCCCTTTTGATGAACTTCCCATAGCCCCAAGTCCAAGAACCCTGACGATGAAAAGTTCTTACTGTCCTGTATTTCAGCGAAGGTTGCGTCTTCACCTGGTCAGCGAAACTAATCAGGTACTTGGCCTCCACCTTCAAATCTAAGCTGGCCTTTTCATCTAGCAAGAGGTAGATCGATATGTAGTCTGCGGAGTCGGCGGAGTCCCCGTTGGGGTAGTATTTGATGCGCCAGCGGTGGCCGCCGACGGTGAACTGGGTGGAAGTGAGGGACGAGCCGGTGGGGGTGGCCTTGGTGAGGGAGTAGCCATCGACCTTGAGGAGGTGGTACCCGGTGGCCGTGTCGGCCACGATGGCGGAGGCGGACCTGGACGGATTGCCGCGGCGGGCGGCGGGGGACATGGTGGGAAGGGAAGGGACGCTGGTTTAGCGCGGATCGGATTTGGGGGAAGAAAGGGACGGTGCGGTGCGGTGCGGCGCGGAGGAAACGAGGAAGGCGAAGCGACCGAACCGATGATGGTTGGGGAATTTATTTGCGGGGTGTGTTTTTCGTTTCCATGTCTCCAACCAAAACTTTACACCTACTGTTTTCAATATCAGAAATCTTTCCTCCCAAATTATACAAAACGTACAGCTTTGGTTCTACAGCAGTATCAGCAGCTGGTTTCACTAACATGGAATAGTAGTTAGCAAAAATAAAAATAAAAACATACAGGCCCACATATAAGCGAGAAGAAATAGAGTATGTGGGGCCCACTTTTTTATCTTCTTTTTTTTTCCTCACCACGTACACGAGGACGATGGATCGACGGCACTGGTGGAGGCGGCGGCCTCAAGTCCGCAAGGGGGGTGCGCTGGTGGAGATGATGCAAGCATGCAGCGGCAACGCGACGCTCTAGAGCCTCCTGCTCCGCCTGTAGGAGCACGAGCGTCCATAGAGCAGACACGGGATGCAGTGTCGTCGTGGTCGACTCTGTTGTAGTGGCGGAGGATTTGGTTCCTAGCGCCGCATTCGGGTGTCACGCCGGCGATGGCTGTGCTGCTGCAGCCGGTTTGCTGGAGTAACGAGACGAGCTGCCTCGGCAAGCGTCCGAGACAGAGCCCGAGGAGGAGGCTCCCAAGCGTGTTTGCGGGTTTAGCGGCGATGATGACGGCGGAGGATGGCATGTCGTTGGACAAGCAGCTACGTCGGTGGTGGTGGCAGGACGCCGGCCTACCCGAACATCTCCTGGTCTTGTAGGAGTCCAACTCTCACTCGTTTCCGGGGAGTACCATGAGGCATATATGCCGTCATCTTCCTTGCCACCGATGCCGCTTGGTCTCCGTTTCCCCAGCTTGTGGCTCCTCCTCTTGGAGCATATCATGTCAGGATGAAAGCGACGGTGGCAGGCTGCCGAAGAGCCAGTTTGGCGCCGACATAGATGTGCGTTAGCCTGGAGTATGTGCAATAGCCGTCCGTTGCTATTGCACGGTTCGACCTTCACGTCCCACATGAGACCGTGCGCCCTCTGCGCGTTGCCGGTGGCTCATGGTGAAGAGGAGGGAGGCCAAGCCGATTTCAGAGCGGCGATGGTGTAGATGGGTTGTCGAGGGTAAGCCCGAGATCGAGGCCACCGGGCTCCACCTTCCACCGCCCGCTCTAGCCTCCCCGCCTCTTCTCCCGCGATCGCCCACCCTAGAGAGCTTGATGGAACCCTTTAGTTCGGCTTAGGAACCGGCGGTGCCAGCCTTGCCTTGGCAGCGGCACGGCTCGTCCACGCCGCCTCCGCTGGGAGAATCTGCACGAGGGCTTCATGGCTATTGAGGAGAAAGCATCTCCCTCACCGCCTCCGTCGCGTGCCAGAAGGGCTCCCTCTTCCACCAAGTCGTGGCCGCTGCAGACCTGCTAGCCCCCGTCCTGAAGCAGTGCTCATATCACTGTGCGGTGCTCCCCAACCTCTGCCACAACCTTCCTCACCACGCCTCTACTCAGCTTCCGCGAAGTGGTGATGGCAGCAGCAGTGGTGTGGGGGCGAAGGGTGTTCCAACATTGGTGGCGTGTTGCCACCGTGGTGGTGGAGAGGTGGGGGTCAGGTTAGGAGGCACCGTGCCTAACTAGGAGGCCTAGACATCTGCCATGTCGGCAAAACATGGAAAATAGGATCTATATTGGCTTGGGGCTTAGGTTGCATGGTTTTGAACACTTGAGGGGTAAAGATTTCTGGCATTAAGGAATAGAAATGTCAAGCAAGCTCGACGTAAAGTTGAGGGATGGCAATTGAACTTATTTCTTTCCATGGTGGCTCTCGCGACGGGCCGAGGTAAATAAACAGACGGCCCAAGCCCAGCGTGTGGGGCATCGTGGATGACCCAGATTGGATCGCTGGACAGCACACTCTGCCATATTACTACATACGGCCAGATTAGCGACTAAAACAAGTAATTTGTGCAGCTATTCTGGGATCTGGACGCCACAACAAACAAGTTTTCAAATACTAAAATTTCGAGAAAAAAAAGAACTGCCTTGTTAAAAAGCAGAAGTCCAGCGACAAATTTGGCACTGATGTTCCAACAATGCAAAGCTCACGTAACATTAGCAGCTATAGACATTTTCCCTAGTCAGTATGTCACATATTCCACAATATTATTTTTTAGATGAAAGGCTCAATGCCCTGCTTTTAGGAGTAGAAAGCAACATACTGGGACTCTTGGGATCTTCAGCTTGCAAATGAGCGCACCCTTTTTAAGCCGTTTTTTTTACCAACACAGACGTACACCTGACAGCATATGACAGGGACAAGGAGCAGCTAAACACCAGAAAACCAAACCCAAACCACATCCACTCGGGTGAGGATCCTCCACCATAATATCACTACCGTTATGACCACTAGTATGTCTGTATGTGGGTCACACTCTCCTATTGTCCCACATGTCAGTGTTTGTAATGATAGTGCTATTGTGGTCAAGGATGTGAACCCCATCCACTCAGCCACCACCAAGCAAAAGAGCAAAATTAGCCTGCACCCGTCCTAGGCGACCTGAGCTTGTTTGCAGCTTCAAGGATTGAAGATACCATCACCTAAAGCAGCGACGTCTCCTTTGGTAGTTGGGTTTCAGCAAGATCGTCCATATCATTCCTGGTAATCAGAGTTGCCAGCACACAGCTGTAAGAAACAGCATCTTAACTCTATTCTCCTGACTTTTGATATCTCCTATTACATGTTCAAAGAACCGGTCAAAGTTTAAAGGAGCCTTATTCCAGAATCCAGACGCATCTCTACATATGCACCATACAAAATCTAGCAATGGGGCAGATAAAAATCACATGGTTGGCATTTACTAATTCACAAAACTCAGAACCTACCAAAAATCAATTCACCTCCCACGAAAAACCATTTCCTAATTTGCAAGAGATCTCACCAGAATCATGGGAATATTGTCGCACAGCAAGTTCTTTTTATGTTTCGGAAAAGAAGCCAGCTAAGCTAACCAAGGTCCTGACAAGCTTGGACTTGGAGAGAGGTATAAACCGCAACATGATGAATGAAGAATAAATTACTCTTCCTGAACCACCAAGAGATAAATGTGCTGGCAGATGCTGGCCTCTTTTCCTCAAATTATCTTTAGTTCAGATACTACTATTTTTGATCAAACGACATAAGAACACCTCAATCTCAAAAGAAATTTGACTTTCCAGATAGAATTAAAAAGGAAGACAGCAAGACTCATTTTTATGGACCTGCTGCACAAGGACTGAACCTTGAATGTTGTCCCACCCTGATACCAGGAGGGTATATCTGAGATTCCGAATCATCAAGTTTAACACCAAATCCTCCAAATCAAGCATGCCAAATGGAAGTTTAACAACAGGTAACAAGTGACAATCCTTTCAGATTGAAATGTGCAGCTGCAGAAATAGCTTTAAAGGAAGACAAAGTAGAAAATATCTCTTCACTCCTGCTTAGGATGTCATAATGTCATAGTACCTATGATGTCTACCTGATAACAAAATCATCTACACAGGCAGCTCCAGCTAAGGTACTCGAAGACTTCGCTGGGACCTTGCCAGCCTTTTTTCCTCAAATCATCACTAGTCGAGACATAGTAAAATTCCTTTGAATATCAAGATTTTACTATGGCTTTTGATATTCAAAGGAATATCAAGACCTTTAGAAAAGAAATCTTGATATTCAAAGGAATTTTTCTTCTCTAGGTAAATTTAAAAGAGAAAGTAGAATGAGTCAGTGAGTGTCACCTGTCCAAGGACTGAATCTCGAAACTTGTCCTGTCTGATACCAGGAGGGTCTATCTGAATCATCAATCAGAAACAACTTAGAACAAGTATCTACATAAAAACAAACCACAGAGATAACATAAACCAACATAAAGAAAAGAGATGAAACAACTTTGACGAAAGCCAAAGGCTTTCACTATTCCTGTCATCAAAATCAAACGTGCCAAATAGAAGTTTAATACCAGGTAACAAGTGACAATCCATTGAGATTGAATAGTGAAGCCGCAGAGATAGTAAAAAGAACAGAGACGAAGTGGAAGTACTTTCTAACTTCTGCTTAGGACAGATTTAGTCATAATTTCATATATACATGATAAAAGGCCTAAACACAGGGAGTTCAGCTGCATGCCTGCATAAAAGAAGAGAAGCGAACTGCCTGATGACAAACAGTCAGATTCATTAACCAAAAACTACCATTGGCCATTTCTAGAACACAAGAACACTAAGCATGACTCGGCGGAAGTGCCAGCTCAACAACCAGTTCTTTCATAAGAGAGGGGCAGCTCCTGCTCAGATGGTCCAAGCCATCGTCGGCGACGAAAGCACTGAGGTTTGCCGGTGAGCCAAGAAAACTGAAGCACGCCTTCTTCAGCCCGTCGCAATGGTGCTGATCAGCTAGTGCCAGGATGTTTGACACCGTGCATACGCCAATGTACTTGCACAGCTTCTCCTCGCAGATCAGCTTGAGCCTTTGTAGGTCGTACCGATCCGCCGCGACGATCAGATGCTGGCACATGACGTCTTCCTCCGCCTCCATCTCCGGCAAAGAGTCAGTGTACACGAAGCGGAGCAGCATCTTGAACACCTGCGCCTCCATGTCTTCGATGCGTACGACTCCAGCAGTGTCGCCCTCCTTCATCAGGCCGTAGAGCTCGGCTCCGAACACCGGCGACCGCGCCGCGAGCACGCACCGGTGCGCGGCGAAGCTCTCGCCGGCGACCTCGAACACCACGTCGGCGCCCTTCTCGGTCTCCAGCAGGTCACCGAAATGCCGGTTCATCTCGGACGGGGGCACGGATACAAAGGATCCAGCGGGGAGTATCTCGGTCGCCTCCTCCGCGACGAACTCGCGGACGACGACAATGTCGCACCGGATGGTGAAAGAGTCGTCTCGGAGATCCTTGGACTTCTCGAGAACCTCCCTCCTGACGAACTTCGCATAGCCCCAGGACCAAGAACCATCACCAAAAGTTCTTACGGCATGGAGCGCCAGTGAAGGCTGCGCCTTCACCTGATCGGCGAAGCGAATCTGAAACAGCGCCTTCACGCTCCTGGTGGCGTTGCTCTTCTCGTCTAGAAAGAGGTACATCGATATGTAATCGGCTGAGTCGGCGCGGTCAGCGTTGGGGTAGTAGTGGATGCGCCAGCGGTGGCCGGCGACGGTGAAGCGGGTGGATTTGAGGGGCGAGCCGGTGGGGGTGCCCTTGGTGCGCGAGTAGCCGTGGATGCTGAGGAGGTGGTACCCGGTGGCCGTGTCGGCCACGATGGCGGACCGCGACGGCGGGTTGCCGCGGCATGCGGCGGCGGGGGACATGGTGCGGAAGGGAAGGGATGCTGGGCTTCAGCTACTGTAGGGGTTTAATTAGCGCGGATCGGATTTGGGGAAGAAAGGGGCACAGTGCGGTGCGGAGGAGACGAGGGAAGGGAGAGATTTGATATGAAGGCGCAGCGACCGAGCCGACGACGCCGCTTTTGGTTTGGTTGGGGGAATTTCCGTGGGTGACGTGGCCGAGGTGAAGAGACGTGTTCGTTGCTCTGTGTTCCCAACTCCTGTTCGCTCGTACATTTTTCAAACGGTGCGTCGTAAGTTTTGTGAGAGAAAACTTTCAAATCTAATTATAGTGTATAATTTCACTAGAACTACATTATAACAATAATAATAACGTGTATATATGTATTAAAATAATAAATGCAACTTTATATATAACTAGGAAGGAAGCCCGCGCAGTTGCGCGGGCAATTTATTTTTTATTTATTAAAGAACTACTGAAAAAAAGTCATATATCATCATAACTAACCATAGATTACCTCATATCCTTACCGTAAAAGAAGGAAGTATTTGTACCGTGAAATATTCAAAGGTGGGTGTGCACACGTTTATATGCTCGCTTAGGATTGCCTTTTACATTATTAGTTAAAACAATATTTTCAAGAAAATTGGCGAGGGTGTCATGAAGCAGCGCTATGGCAGTGTGGCTTCTTCGTCAACCTCGTAAAGAGTGGTCGCTACATACATGTATAATTTGAGGAACACCTTAGGGCTACGAAGAAAGAAACAGAAAACTACCAGATGGGGTGAACCATATATGCACTCTTCTTTTTTGTTTTTGGCATCTCTTGTGTATGTACGTGCATAGAGAGGGATTAGCTGGTTTTAGGAGCGAGGCTTACCTGAATAAATCTAATTGAATGGTTGAAAATAATGGATTCACCGGTTTAAGTGCAAATCGATAGCTAGATATTTTGTTTTTTCTTACAATTTTTTTTACATTTTCTCTAATTTATTAGAGCATCACATGGCATCTTCCAAGTATTAGAGCCTAATTTGAATACAACTCGAAATTGCACATATTTTTACAACTTAAAGCATATTTAATTAATAAAGGGTTTAAATTATTATTTTGGTTTTCCATCTAATCTAAATGAGAAGAAAAAAGAAAAAATAAGGATGTGAGACCCGGTGTGTGTACGTTCATAGTACGATACATAGGTACATATTTTTTCTTAAGGAGGAATACCTGCGTACGTACTGTACGTACGTAGGTACGTACTTTTCTTAAGGAGGAATACCTAGGTAGCTATGTGCATGTATATTGGCTGGTAGTGGCAGTATGACGTGAGCCTTTTTACAAATAAATTTAATTATTAATTTTTAAGATAGATCTAATGGTTGAACATAATGGGTCCACCAGAATAAATGAAAATCGATGGTCGGATGTTTTATTTTTTCTTACAATTTCTATGATTTATTGGAGCGCCACGTGGCGGTCTAGGAACGCTTATAGGGTAATATGTGGTGGATTAGAAGCGTTTGTAGGAAGTTTATCCTCTTGATTACTTTTTCTCTTTATGAAAATATTTGCAACAATAATTTTGGAATAGTTCGTAGGAAGATTATCCTCTTGATTATTTTTCTCTCTTTTCTCTTCATGAAAATATTTGCAATAACAATTTTTGAATAACCACAACCTTCTAAATTAAATATTTGTAACAATATTTTTTAGATCGTCATAACTTTTAACTTTAAATCGCACGTTCACTCTTTATCTATTTGGACCATTGTGTTATTTATGATAAAAATCATAATTAGAATTTATGACATATGTTGTCTACTTCGCTCGTAAAATGTATATTCTTCTAAGTTCTATTCATTCAATCATATATAAAAATATATATATATAATTGTGACTACATATTATTTTATCCTGTACCACTTCACTTGCATGCATAAATAAAATAGGAAGTGACTATATATATTGTTAGATAGATCTACTTTTGAAAGTCTCACCTTGTAAGAACAATGCCCGCACAGCTGTAAACATATATTTTTAAATTATACTTTTTATCATATTTGTGGAGTAATAAATTTTGTTTTACTACTATAAAATATACTATTTTATAAACCATCTTTTTTCTAGCGACGTAAATATATTTTTTAGGTCTTATAGCTTTTCTTTTTACTCGTGTACGTACGTATTTTTTTCAACTGAAACAGTACCTTTTTAATAGATTTTATATAGTACGTAAGTACGTTTCTTTAAATGAACAGTACATATAGGTTTTTTTTTAAGGTCCGCGTAAGTACGTGAGATTTTTCCTTTTTTCCATTGTGCGTATGAACGTGAGAATTTCCGGTATAAAACGGTTTCACTCGAATTCACACGATATCAATAGAAAGCAAATAGATCTAATCCAATGGTCTAAAATAATGGGTCCACCAATTTAAATGAAAATCGATGGTGAGATTATAAAATGCCACATGGCAACATAAGAGTGTTTGTAGAAACGCCACATGGCGGCTTAGGAGCGTTTGTAGGATAATTAATGGACTTTTAGTATATAATAGATAATAGATAGATAGATAGATAATAGATTTATATAGAGATAACAGTTACAGTGCAATTACACTACAGTTACAATATAGTTACAATGTAACTAGCCCGCAACTATGATGTAACATAGATGTAACTTTAACAAATCTACGATAAACATGCGATGGTGGGACTGGCTAGTGCCACCAACTTGTGAAAAGAGAATTTAGATCCGATAGCAAAATATCTCAGTACAAATCTTAGCGTGGTATCATCGGCTAAAATATTGTCCCGAAATCTGTCAACAACTAGCTAGCAGCTGAAGTTTTTATAAGAAAGTTGCTTAAAATAATAGTATTGGTTCTTTTTGAAAAAAATAGCTAATACTTACTTAATTATGTGGGAATAGACTGTTCCGTTTTTCGTTGTTTTCCAACCACCCACAACGAACGCATAGAACCCAACGTGTGTGTGAGCGTTTTTCGCTCATATGAAATGGCAGAGCGTTTTTGGAAAAGAACTTTTGAAAACTAAGCAGGCCCTTACCCTCTCTCCCGTGTTTAGTGGTAGGCGGCGCCGCAGAGGAGGCAGGAAGGATGGAGCCGAGGTCGGCCAGTGACGGAGCAACGCACAGAGAAAGCCGGCGGGATGAAAATGGTCGGAAATGATAAGAAACGGTATCATTATTTTATTATTTTTAAAACAAACAGAAACGGTTGAGAAATTTTCATATTTATAAATTTATCAATTTAGTATCAATTTTAATGCCACGCTGACGAAGATTAGATGAACTAAATTTTAAAAATGTTAACCATAAGTAAAAATATTATTATTATATTAGTTTTGCGAAAACGATATCGGTACGGTCGGGCCAATAGCCACCAACAAGTTCCATGGTTGGCCCGAACGTCGCGGCGAACAACAACAGCATGGCGGTGGCACCACTCCTTCCATTCCACATTTCCACTGTGGGCAAGCTGCTTCCAAACATTGAAAGAGGGGGAAGTGGTAGTCCGCGACGGCTTTGACCAGGCATGAAGAATAAATTACTCTTCCTGAACCACCAAGAGATAAATGTGCTGGCAGATGCTAGCCTCTTTTTCTCAAATTATCTTTAGTTCAGATACTACTATTTTTATCAAAAGACCTCAATCTCAAAAGAAATTTGACTTTCCAGATAGAATTCAAAAAGAAGACAGCAAGATTCATTTTTATGGACCTGCTGCACAAGGAATGAACCTTGAAAGTTGTCCCACCCTGATACCAGGAGGATATATATGAGATTCTGAATCATCAAGCTCAATACCAAATCCTCCAAATCAAGCATGCCAAATGAAAGTTTAACACTAAGTAACAAGTGACAATCCTTTCAGATTGAAATGTGCAGTTGCAGAAATAGAATAAAAGATAGACAAAATAGAAAAAAAAACATATACACAAGGAGTTCAGCAGCATGCTTTCTGTACCAAAAGAAGAGAAGAGAACTACGTTATGACAAAATTCAGATTTAGAAACCACTACAGTTGCCAGAGCACAAGATTCGGTAGGACTTGTTGGGAACAAATCTCCTCCACACGGAAAACGGAGCGGTCCATTAACACGTGATTAATTAATTATTAGTTATTTTTTTAAAAAAATAGATCAATATGATTTTCTTTAGCAACTTTTTGTACAGAACTTTTTTTTTTGCAAAAAAACACATCGTTTAGAAGTTTGAAAAGTGTGCGCGTGAAACACGAGGGAAGAGAGTTAGAAAAACATGCTGCCGAACACAGCCATCAAAAACAAATTAGAACAAGTATCTACGTCAAAACAAACCACAGAGATAACATAAACCAATGTAAAGAAAAGAGATGAAACTACTTTGACGATTCCATTAGAGAGGAGATAAAGCCAAATGCTGTCACTACACCTGTCATCGAAATCAAGTGTGGGATGTGGATTTTCATCCCTCGAAGGGACATCATCTCGTTTGTTTGCATGTCGTATAAATAGTTATAAAAAAATTTGAGAAAAATTGACAATATAGATTAATATGAATTATATCACTCCACAAACATGCAAGACCAAATTCAACTTCTACAAGTTGTAACAAAAAACAAATTAAACTGAAAATAATTGTCGTACACTCGCAGCTATATTTGTTATTTTTGTTACAACTTGTAGAAGTTGAATTTAAACTTGCATGTTTTTGTGGAGTAATATATTTCATATTAATTTATATTGCCAATTTTTTATGACTATTTAGATGGCATGAATGAAACGAGGGGATATATTTCCCCTCGAGGGATGAAATTAGAAAATATTAAGTGCGGCAGATGGGGAGAGCTCTCGGCGTGTCCACGTAGGATAGGAACAGTGCGCGGGGTGGCGATTTTGTGAAAAAGTCCTTCGATTTTGTGTAATTCGATATAGGTCGCTAGCAAATAGTACCTATGAGACGATATTTTGCGCAGAGGTTCTTATAAAGTACGAATATTTCATGTGAAGGAAAGAAAAATCACGAATTAGGACTGTGCTCTAAAAAGTGGAAACTGAGGGGCTTTTTCGCAAGAAGACGCCACTAACCCTACCACCCATAACCCTAGCCGCCGCCGCCCGTTCTCCCTCGTCCTCCCCTCTTTCTCTCCCTCTCCCGCTGCCGCCGCCTCCGGCTTCCCCGTCGCCTCGCGTCGCCGTCGCCGTCGATCGCCCCTCAAACCCTTGCTGCCGCCGCCGCTCGCTCCCCCTCGTCCCCCACTCTCTCCCTCTCCCGCCGCCGCCGCCTCGCGCCGCCACCTCCGCCTCGCGCCGTCATCGCTGTCGCCTCGCGCCGCCACGGACGTCGCCGCCTCCGGCTTCCCCGTCGCCGTCGACCGCCCCCGCCACCATCGCGGGCCCCCGAAACCCTAGTCGCTGCCGCCCGCTCCCTCTCGTCCCACCCCCTCCCTCGATGCTCCTTCTCCCGCGACGACGTCTCGAGGTCAGCGCCCAACTACTACTGCTCGTCATTTTGGTTTTGGTTTTGGTTTGGGTGGTTGATGTGTGGGTGGTGGTGGTGGTGTGCCTTGTGTAGGTACGTGGTGCTGAGCACGGCGGTGAACTGTTGGGGGAGGTTGGGGGGGGGGGGGTGAGCATCGTGCTGGAGAAGAAGGCGTTCGTGGTGGAGCTGTTCGACAAGTATGTCAAGACGCTCGGCTCCGGGATCGACGTGCTCGCCCCCCTCGTCGACCACATCGCCTACGTCCACTCGCTCAAGGAGGAGGCCATCCCCATCCCTGACCAGTCCGCCATCACCAAGGACAACGTCTCCATCCAGATCGACGGCGTCCTCTGCGTCAAGGTTATAACTCGCTCCTCGCCTTAAGCCGTTTTTGCTTTGCTGCATTTCCAATTGCTGGTGGTGGTGGATTTAATGAGTTGTGTTGTGCGCGATCGAGCTTGCAATTTTGGGCGGCTCAAACTGGTGTGCTCGGTTTAGTGTCAGTAGCGTCGCGGAGGCTTGTGGATTGGGTTGTGGCTGTACCCTACTTTTGCTTGGTGGCGTCGGGGCCGGCAGTTGCGGCGGCTTTAGCTCTGGTCCTCCGGATGACTAGATGCGTCCTTGCATTTTGGTGGTTGCGAGCTGGAATTAGTAACTGCTTTGTTGTTTCTTCGGCTAACTAGGCTGGTCCCTTTTTTCTTTTTCAGAGGTAACTGAAAGATTGGGGTGACTAAATTGTTTTTCAAAACAGTAATTGGGGTGACTAAATTGTTTTTCAAAATTAAACGCTGTCCAAATTGTTTTTGTTAGAATTTTTGGGGAAATTTCAAATTGCATGTTCTAGGTAATTCAATTACCCTGAAACAATTTTGTGGAAGCACATTGAAATTCTTTTATTAATAAATTGTCATTCCTGGTTCTTATGGTCATCCATTTTGCTAAGGTAGAGCTATAAGTGTGTCACAGTGTACTGCATTTGATTATTGCTGCTCTGTTTATTTGATAACTTTGCATGATTGCTGATATGTTCCTGTTTTTACTTACAGTGCCAGCAATTTGCCTCCCTCATCAGGGCCACATCTACATGTGGAGTTCATCTCCCATAAAAGAGGATCCACATAGTATACCTCACACATGAACTCTGTAATAAGCTGTGGTGATCTTTATATGCTTCACCAACTGGTGACCAATGGGCTCTTTTCTGAGAAAACAGCCCAGTTTCCTCTTAATTTTGTTAATTTTGCACCTTGGTGCTCGTGAAGCAAGTGCACTAAGTTCAGATGGTATGTGACAGTCCATAGTTATGGTTGGTATTTGTGTGGTACATTAGACAATCTGTGCTCATTTACTATGATTCTTTTGACGGTTTCCTACAGATGAAGCACATCTTGCCTTCAAGAAGGCAGTTACAACTTCTGATGGGATATTCCTCAACTGGCGTGAACAAGATGTGTATCCTTGCAATTGGAAGGTTGTTAGATGTCACAGTCACACCAAGAGAGTAATTTATCTGTAAGACCAAAATAAACCCTACATAAATATTGTGAAATACTTAAAATTTCAACCTGGCTATTATTTTTTTCCCTTTTGAATATGGCATTTTGTAATATAAAAAGTTCACCGCCATCTTCGACATTGGCAGCTCCAACCTCTGGGTGCCATCAGCCAATTGTTACTTCTCAGTGAGTCCCTGTTCGATGCACTGTTCAAGGGAAGTTCTCTTAAGAGTCTGTCAATTGCGACTTGTGCAGTTGTGCTAATGATGGATTTTTCCTGGTGATGATTGATGCAGGTTGCGTGCTTCTTCCACTCTCACTACAAGTCTGGGCAGTCAAGCACTTATCAGAAGAATGGTCTGTGTCTTAAAACTTTCCCCAACCGTGCTATTATTTGTGTTGTGAGTTTGCAACAATTTGGCTATCAGTCTATACTATTACATGGATGCACTGAAATCTTCCCCCTGTTTTTTTTTTTGTTATTTACTCTACAGCTGGTGGCATATCTTGTATTGTATGTTGAAATTTAACCTTTTAAAGCAAAATTGGATTTGGTCGAAATGATGCTAGATGGTGGTTATTTGGATTTAGTTATAAGGATGCTAGATGGTATGTTTGGATTACAGTGCGAATCAAATTAGGAGGTTGAAGCTAAGAGGTTTTTATTCGAGTTAATGTTTTTTTTTATAAAAAAAATCTACCAAAAAGATATATATTTGATTTGCATATATGCATTGAAAATTACACATTTGCTTGGTGGTTATACCGTTAGTCCTTCTGATGTATATGATGTATGTTTACCTGTAGGATGTTTTCCTCCGTTCCTCTATCATCATTCCCTATGACGAGGTATGGCTGCTTCACTTTCTGTGTTGGTCTTGAATGATTCTGATTCCTAATTATTTTGGAAGCTTTTCTCATAAACCAAAATGGTTTTCTAAACCTTTCCACGAGCAAATAATTGTTTGCAATGCCCTTAAGACTAGATGAATCCATTTTTAGCATCTATGTTGCTACATCAATTGAACAATCACCACCTACCGATGCATTTCCTTAAGTTAATGAATGACCGATTCAAATAAAAGCGAGAACTATTGAAATTCTTTTAAATTGCAACCTTGCCACTGCCAGTGAGTGATAGAATCAAGATGATCAATTACTCCAAAGTGATCTTTAGAACATATGTGGCTCTTTGTTCAAACTTCTCCTAATTTCTCTGCAGTCCAGGTGATATCTTCAATAAATGTCAAAATCATTAAGAACAACCCACAGTTGAATAGGCAGGATAAACGGTTGGTGCTCCCATGTGGCGATCGTGGATTAAAGTAGGAACAATGGTTTAATTGGGTTATTCACGGAGAAGTGATATTCGTTGGTTGTCATGGTTGCCTGGAAGGGAATTACAACATTTGATTTTAAGCTTTAATAGCTTAGGCAGCGTTTGGGCTCACTAAAGTGCTTCCTTTTTCTTATCTTTTAGACTTCCACTATGAATTATTTAACACCCATAAAAGAACTTTCCTTGCATGATTTTCTTTATTATGAAATCAACATTTATATTGACAAACCTGCTTAGCTTCAGTTGGACAATGATACGCTGCAGTAAGGCATCTCATTGAAGGACATTGGTGGATTCTGCACTGCTGTTCTATTACTTAACTTCAGTAGAGAATATATTTGCCCTTTTGCTTGACTTCATATGGTGTTATATTTCTCATTTTAGATGGACATTCGTCTAATTTATCTGTACCGTGATCTTTTTCTGAAAATATTCTCTGCAAAGAGAGGTCATCTGAAGCATTGTTAAAAAACAGTAAGTAGCAAAAAAAAATCATGGTACAGGCGTCAATGGTACGCAGTAGTGAAAACATAGTTAGGAGTTGCATGTTATGTTGATTTGCTATTCCAAAACGTGTTTGAACTGTAGCAGGATGTTCCTATTTAAACTAGAGCTTTTAGCCATGTATTACCTTTTGTAGCTTCCCTGCTGATTACGTTCGAAGAAAACAAAAATAATCCTTATTGAAATATGCACATTGTAAAACAGTAAGGGGTTCTTATACTGTTTTCTTTAATTCCACAATACAGTAAAAAGAGTGAGATCATATGGCAACATTCTTTGTGAAAGCAACACATCCATATCTGGATGTAGTGGTTGCCATAATGGAGACAAGGAGCTGTTGAATGCAGTATTGCTTGATGTTAAAAGTGGGTCACAATTTCCAGTGTTGGAATCTAATTCAGTACATGGCAATGAAATTTCATTGACCTCTGAAAGTGAGGTATCAAACTTAAGGTTGGTTTCTATTCATTCAGGGTTTTGACCTTCATTCTTCTCATACAAGTATTTTCCTAGAAAATCATGAAAAAGCATGGTGTTTTAAATAGTGGAGTACTAACATTCCTCTCTCAAAATTCGCTACAGGTATACTCCCATGGTACCTCAGATACATCATGTTCTAGGTGTTGAAACTGAAAGTTGCATTCATTCTGGTGATTCAAACTTTCTGGATCTTGAATGGCTTTCAGCTTCAGGCAACTCAAGCGATGAAAGGTGTTTACTTTTGCATTGCTATTGTATTTTTTTTAGCGTTTTTGACTGACAGAATATCATCTTCTCAGTGACAGTCAATTTGATTTACACATTTTTTTTGCCTTAGTGTAGGAAAAAGTGAAGGATAATTATTAGTTGATTATCCTGTAAATTTCTTACCCTTCATGCTTAATTCCATATCAATCTATTCTAGAGTTCTTTTGCTCTCACTGCATTTCCATGTGATAAACACAAATCTGTAGTATCGTGCTGTACCACTTGATATAACTATCTGTATTGAGAAGTAAAATGGAAATATTATGTTGCCACGCTTCCTAAATCCAATTAACAAGTGTCTTATGAGCTTCCATTGATACTGATTTGAAAATATCCTCCGAAACATTTTTTTTAAAACTCATTGAATGCTGATGGATTGTGCTTGAACAGGTCCATTGCAATTAGTACTCCAGATGTGAACCTTTCAGCGGAGAATGTTATTGCCACAATGTCTTCTTTTGACTGGTAGATTTGTATGATCAAATATAGTTGTACCATCACCATGGACACATTATTCCGATCATTATGTAAAACTTTATTTTCATTTTTTATATGCATTGGTGCTTCATCTTTAGATTGTAATGTGTAAGAGTTTTGTTCTCAGCAGAATCTGTACAACGATGTATGCAAAATTACTCATCAACAGCATCCCCTGCAAATGTATTCGTGGGTTTTCTCCTTACATAATCATTGATTCAGCCAGAAAACAAATGATTAGTCTACAGTAATCAACCAATCTATGTGTAGGCGGCGCGCCATTGGCGCGCCCCAGCATCTAGTTAAGTTTAATACCAGGTAACAAGTGACAATCCATAGAGATTTAATAGTGAAGCTGTAGGGATAGTAAAAAAAACTGAGACGATTTCTAACTTCTGCTTAGGATAGATGGTAAAAGGCCTAAACACGGGGAATTCACCCGCATATCAGTGTGCTAAAAGAAGATAAGCAAATTAAACTACCTGATGACAAAGGTTCAAACTCAGCAACAAAAACTACCACTGGCCATTGCAAGAACACATGAACAGTAAGTCACTAAGCATGACTCCCTGGAAGTGCCAGCGTGACAACCAGCTCTTCCATAAGAGAGGGGCAACTCCTGCAAAGATGCTTGAAGCCATCACTGGCGACGACAGCACTCAGGTTTGCCAGTGAGCCGAGGAAATCGAAGCACGCTTTCTTCAGCCCGTCACAGTGGTGCTGATCAGCCAGCGGCAGGATGTTCCATACCGTGCCGACGCTAATGTGCCTGCACAACTTCTCCTCGCAGATCAGCTTGAGCCTCTCGAGGTTGTACCGGTCCGCCGCGACGAGCAGATGCTGGCACATGACGTCTTCCTCCTCCATCTCCGGGAGCGAGTCGGTGTACATGAAGCGGAGCAGCACCTTGAACACGCGCGGCTCAATGTCCTCGATGTGCACGGCTCCGGCGGCGGTGCCACCCTCCTTCATCAAGCCATAGAGCTCCGCCTTGAAGACCGGCGACCGCGCCGCGAGCACGCACCGGTGCGCCGCGAGCGTCTGGCCGCCGACCTCGAACACCACATCCGCGCCCTTCTCGCTCTCCAGCAGGTCGCCGAGCTGCTGGTTCAGGTCAGACGGGGGCACGGTGACGACGGCGGCTGTGGTGGTGGTGATCTCGGTCGACTCCTCGGCGCGGATCTCGTCGATGACAACAATGTCGCAACGGATGGTGAAAGAGTCGTCCCTGATGAGCTTCTCAAAGTCACACCTTCTGACGAACTTTTCATAGCCGAAAGACCGAAAGCCCGCACCATCGAAAGTATCCGCTTTCATGGTTGCCAACCACGGTGGCTCATCCACCTGGCCGGTGTAACTGATCTGGAAGTCCGACTTCGCCTGCACCTTCACCTTCTCGTCTAGCACGAGGAAAAGCGAAATGAAATCGGCGGAGCTGGATGAGAACCCGTTGGGATAGTACCTGATGCGCCAGCGGTGGCCGCCGACGGTGAACTGGCTGGAGATAAGGAACGAGCCATTGGGGGTCCCCTTGGTGAGCGAGTACCCGTCGATCTTGAGGAGGTGGGACCCGGCCGCCGTGCCGGCCACGATGGTGGAGGTGGAGTCCGACCGCGGCGGGCTCAGGCGGCGGGCGGCGGGCGGCGGGCGGCATGGCCGGAAACTGCTCGCCGCGCCGCTCGGGTAGGCAGGTAGGGTTTAGCGCGGATTTGGGGAAGAAAGGGGAGAGTCGGGAGACGACGCGGAAGAGACGAAGCGAGAGAGCATTGCGTTTTTCCTTGGGCCCACCTATTTATAGGGCTATTGTGGGCTCACCCGTGTATATGGGCCGAGAAATTCGGTCCAATGGACGGACGGCCCATGCTTGCTATGGCGAATTGTCGATCAACGTTATGCCAGCTTTACCACATACGTGATGATGATGCGGTTAAATTAGCAACTGATCTGCGCAGTTATTCTTGCTGCAGCAAAAGGTGAGTAGTTTCCATATGCCTCAATTTTCAGGAGAAAAGGCCTCGACTGGAGAATAAAAGGTTGCATATTTACTTGGCTAGCATATAGTATAGGCTTAAAAAATAAAAAATGAGTTAATATGATATCCCATAATAATTGTATTTCTAATATTTGATTTTGTTCCAAAATAATTGTCACAATAGAATACTAAGGATAGCATTAATCACCTCTCATCCAAATTTATCTCTATTTTACCCTCAACAACCCTCCACTCTTAATATAAACCATTGCTACGGGTATTATAGTTTTTTTTTTCAAACCTTAATATATGATAACAACGTAAAACTACAATTAATTTAGAACAGAGGTAGTATTTCAAAGCAACTTTCGTATAAATTTGTTTTAAAAAAGAAAACCCTATGTAACACTGCCTCAAAACTTTTTCGGACTGTGGTTTATAATTTTAATCATGGGTTTGCTACTGTAAGCCTGTAACGCTGATATTGTCAATGCTCAATCAACCAAACTAACCTATTAATCGCATTCGCGCGACTCTAATTACTCTTTCTATTTAAATGTCATTACATGTTATTTATGTTTAATACTCCCTCCATCTACATGTTATTTATAGTAATTAGCTTGATGTGAAAGTTGAATTGAACTTAAATGTTTGTGGAGTGATATATCATATGTTAATACATCTTCATAATTTTTTTCATAACTATTTAAGTGACGTGCAAATAACGAAGGGACATCCCCTCGAGGATTAAAATCTACTCCCAGGATACTAGCAAGTGTAGGAAAAAATTTTAGAAATATACGCATTTTCTGTAGAATTTGCAAGAAAATACTGAACGCGTGAAGATTTGCAAAAATATACCGCCGTCGCGGTTTCATTGAGCGAGACCACGGTCTCACAAGATCGAGGCGCGAGAACGAGAGCGGTATCGCTCGTTCGGTCTGCGAGGACGGAGCGCACACGATGGCCTAGGCGGTCATATAATATCGCTTTGCTAATTAGGGAGAGCGCACGGTGTCGCACTCTAAGGGTGAGTTTGAGGAGAAGAAGATTAAGAAGATTAGGAAGATACGCAAAACGAGGTGAGCCATTAGCGCATGATTAATTGAGTATTAATTATTTAAAATTTTAAAAATAGATTAATATAATTTTTTAAAGCAACTTTCTAATAGAATTTTTTTAAAAAAATGCACCGTTGAGTAGTTTGGGAAGCATGCGCGCGGAATACGATGGGCTTTCTCACCCAATCCCCCAGGAACGAACGCACCCTAAAAGTGCGAGAGCAAGTCGGTGGGTCCCGGAACTGCTGCGATGCGCGATCTCGCACGAGAGGAAAGCGAGAGCGCTGGTCTCACGCAAGAGAGATGCGAGAGCCCTGGGGCCGGCGACTGCAACCCAAGCAGTCTCACGCTACAGGAACACGAGAGCGGTAATTAGTGATTAATTACCATAATTAGTGATTATTTAATGATTATTAATGATCAATTAGTTGCTAATCAAGGTGATTAACACATTAATCACTGGCCCTGTGGCAGCCATGCCGTGCGGTCTCGCACATTGTTTGTGCGACACCGTAGGCTCTAGCACCGATACGTCACATTGCCTTCGGTCTCACAAAACCAACGTGCGAGACTGCGGGCCCCCATGCGCAACATCGCACTCCCACTTTGCGATACCACAGCTGCCTGATCTCCCAGCAAAAAAATTCCGTGGGGCCCACTCCACAACCGCCTTTGCGATACCACGGCTGCCTGATCTCCCAGCAAAAAAATTCCGTGGGGCCCACTCCACAACCGCTATCGTGCTCTGAAAGAGCGATACCGATGCCGCTCTCGCGATTCGGGGGTGCGAGACCGCGGGCCAGCGCTGCCAATAAGCGAGACCGATGGCGTCACTCCACCTGCGTCGCACCCAAATCGGTACAACGTGGCGCTCTCGCTCCGTGGAAATGCGATACCGCGTCGATATCGCATAACCAACCAGCGACACCGCCAGCTTAAATCTCCTCGCCCATTCGATGCGCGAGACCGTCACGCTCTCGCGCATTGGTAATGCGATACCGTGGCGATATCGCGCTTTCCCGTAGCGAACCTCGGTATCGCGCTTTCTAAACGCGATTTCGATGGTATATTTATGCTAATCAAACCACATCCGGTATATTTATGAAAGAAAGATCGATGAATAGTATTTTTTCAAAAAATTTTCGCAAGTGTAGCAACGTGTTTGACGGGATACTAGCATGTGTACGCGTCAATTAGCATCACCCGACCCACGATGATTAACTTTTCTAGCAGGTGCAGTTAGCATCTCTTCTCTATCTTTCACGTGATTAAGTTCACATCATTTATATACACAGTGTATGAAAAAAATGAAATTAGAATGAAATTTCTACTGAAAATTTAATACTTTCAACTCTAATTTCAAAACTTTCAAGTCAAGATTTAAAAATTTTCAACTCAAATTTGAAGCTTTCAATTTAAATTTGAAAACTCAGTCAAGATTTGAAAATTTTCAACTCGAATTTGGAAACTTTCAATTGAAATTTGGAAACTTTCAACTCAAATTCGAAAACTTTCAAGTCATGATTTGAAAACTTTCAACTCAAATTCAAAAAATTTCAACTAAACTTTCAAAACATTCAATTCGTATTTTAAAATTTTCAACCCAACTATTTTATTTATCATTTTATTAAAAAAATCAATTTGTGCAAACCGCTAAAAATTAGCACTAACACAGACATTAGCAGCAGGCTCGGAAAGTGCGTCCCATGCGGGAAGAGCGAGTCGCGTGGGAGCAAGTGCGCGTACGCGCCAATTAGCATCACCCCTTAGGCCCAAGCACTTGAAGCAACATCCTTGGAGCCAGCGGGGCACCGTCCTTGGCGCCGTGAATGCGCCCCAAGCGTTGGTGGTTGGGGCGTTGCTCGACCACCATGAATGCGGTCTGACCTTGCGCCGAACCTCCGTCCAACGCCCACCCGCATCCACGTCCTCTTCCTCGGATGTCGGCTGCCTGGCGACAACCTGATCACTCCACGACAACCTCCTCAAATGCGACATGTTGGCTCGAGCGAGACAGGGGAAGTGGCCGCCGGCGCCGGAGTGGCCGCTGCGGCCGGAGTGACCACTGGCACACTTTCACTCTCTCACACTCTCATCCCTCAGTCGAACTCATTTACTTCCACATGGGGACATTTTTGTCCTCACATTATAAAAACCTCTTTGCAAGTAGCGTACCACGTTCCTCGATCCTAATCCTTGAACCCATTGATCTGGGAACTTTGTGACTATGCCAAATCCTCTAAATCAAACATGCCACGTGGAAGTTTAACACCAGGTAAGAAGTGACAATCCTTCGAAATCTAAAAGTGCAGTTGCAGAGATAGCATAAAAAAAAAGACAAATTAAGCAGTAACAATCGCTAACTCCTGCTCAGTATAGGGCAACAACAATGTATATAGCAAAAGTAGTCCATATAGATGGGACCCACACATATAGACTATAACTATTGTTATCTTCACAATGTATATGGATAGCAACTAGTATTAGGAGGAGAGAGGAAATAGAGATAAATAACATATTTTATCCTCTATGGGCAGCCCATATGCTTATGGGTGGCTTTTGCTATTTTCTTGCTATGTACTAGTTCCACAATGTTGTTAGGTGGTTGAATAGAATATTTTATTGCTTATGGACTGGTTTTATACTACATTGTGGATGGCCAATGTCATGTACCTTATAGCAAAATCAGTTGGAGAGAGTAGCTATATTTATGGCGCTATATTTTTTTTTCACTAAAAAATAATCGGTATATATTTATATTGTAAGTTCTTAAATTACATATACAATTTCATTGTATTTACAATGTAACTCTAAATATTACATATGTAAGTCCTAAAATTACATATGTAAATCCTAAAATTACATACTAATTACATATGTAAGTGACGTGCAAGTGGGTTTTACTACGTAAGTGGTGTGTAAGTATGATGTGTATAAATTCGTATGAATATATAAATAACTGTCTACCTAGCTAGCTTTAATTAGCTAGCCAGCTTAACGCTGCTCCTGCACGATTTGCAGATCAGAGGATCAAGTTGCTGAAAAAAAAATGATTTTAGCTAAACCGAAATCTACACACAAGGAGTACTGCAGCATCACCTGCTTTTTGGGTAGTGACGGATCCACCATGGGGTCTCTAAACCCCACTAACCATATTGTAACCATGGGAGATCCCATGAAGACCTCACTATTTTTTTTTTGTCATACATCTATTAGAAGAGGGGTTATAATTTTGTATAGTTTGTTCAGACCCTCCTGTTAATCTTTTCTAGATCCGCTCCTGCTTTTCTGGGTAAAGTTTCAGAAACCAACAATTACCATTGCTAGAGTACACGAACACTAATCTATACTAATATAAAAAGGAGGAGTTGCCCCCTTACAATCCTACTGGTGAAATCATCCTATCCCATCTCATCCGTCCGTCCATCATCTCATCTAATCTATCCGTCCATTCACCATCTGATCTAATCTAATCTATTCTCAATCGTTGTGCCAATACCAGCGATTCGACCTCCGAAACGAGATGATTCCGCCCCCGAGCGCACGATGAGTCCGCCGCACCAATCTCCGCCCCCTCCTCCGCTCCTCGCATCCTCCCTCCTCTCATCTCATCCACGCGAATCCCCGCCGCCTCACTCGCTCCACCCTATTCCCCGCTGCCGCCAGACCAGCCGCCCCCTCCTCCTCAGCCGAGCGAGGAATCCCCGCCGCCTCGCTCCGCCTGATTCCCCAATGCCGCTGCAGTCCACTGCCGGACCAGCCACCCCCTCCTCGCTCCTCCTCCCTCCTCCTCTCAGCCGTGTGAATGCCCGTCGCAGTCCATCGTTGGACCAGCGCCGCCGCTACCGCGCCTCCACCGCCGGACCACCTCAATCGCTGCGCGCCTCCTCGTGAGTCCCCGCCGCACGCCACCGCATCGTGTGCCCCTGCAGGCGCCGTGGTGGTTCCCCTTCCCTAACCCGTCGAAGTTCACCGGAGAAGCCCGGCCCCTTCTCTCAAACTCGCTCACCGGAGACAGAGAAGATGAATAAGCGCGTGGAGAGGAGAGGAGGAAGAGGGTGAGTCGCATGCTGCCTGCTCCGATTCCCCTCCGTGTGCGCGAGTTCTGGCATCACGGCATGAACTACCTCTTCGGCCCCAGGGATCTCATGCCTGTTGTGAATGTGGTTGTCTGCATCGGTTGTGATCCGTTCACGGACTGGCTTCTTGGTCCTTTCTGAACTCTGTTTCTTGAATAGAATCCACATTCTCTGATTTTTTTTTTTTGGTCTTGTATCTATGTAGGACAGCACGAGAGAGATGCTGCAGTCCACCGCTGCCACCGACGGAGCCGGCCGTGGCCAGAGCCGATGTTGTCCCCAGTCGCTGCCGAAGCTGAGGTCATCCCCTTCCGCCGCCGCACTCCACCACTGACCCCGCTGGAGCCGAGGTCTGCCAGAGCCGTGCTCTTCCCCATCCGCCGCCGGAGCCGATAGCGTAATGTTAATCATATTTTCATATTGTGTGAAATATTTTGTTGTATAAATTAATGTATGGAGTCATGAGCAATATGCTCTAGAAATACATGGTTATGATGCTACCTTCAACTTGCTGCTGCTGGCCTGATCTTCCCTTGGTGATGAACAACAGGATACATGGGAGAATGGCTCTGCCAGCCAACATTGTTGACAAGGACAGGTAAATCAGATTCACTATGTTGCAACTTCAATCCAAAAATATTATATTGCACACACAATTCACATATGGTAAATCAAATTCCCTTGCCGCCGCCGAACTCCACCGCTGCCACAGGTTTTGCCTCGGAGGTGTTCGACTGAATGCCACTCAACCAATATGGTTTCTATTTATTCCTAACCATTGCCTCATATATTTTATTGTTCATAGGTCTATCTATCTCCTTACAGTGGAGGGATACATCGTTGGGCTAGGACTAACAGCTTGCAGCTTGTTCACCATTCAGCTTTAAGAAAATATTGTACATGGTTTATCCAGTTGACGATGATACATGTTGGTTGGTTTTCATACTACTTTAGTTGTTGCTCTATTAACCTCCAGGGAAGATCAAGGAGGTTGTTCCTACGAATACAAATCATGCTCAGACGCTATTAAATCAGCCACTGATTCACATATTCACAAAGCTTATTTTACATGGGTACATACTCTCTAGCATTATTCAGCAAACTATCTTTTGGTTGAACAGAGACTATTGATGAGGCTCTTCAAGACCTGGATGATTGCCTAACAATTGTGATTTTGTTTACAACTACTAGGAGATGATGGTGTGTGAATTGAGAATCCTTAATTGTCATCGGTTCAGCGCTATAAACTCCCCTATAAAACTTACCATGAGGCATATTTTCAAGAATTAATCATGAGTTTAACTCTCAATTGTTCGCAATGCTAGCACAGGTGCAGTAATGACATATGACAATGAAGATTTGATTCGGCAATGGAGGCAAATGCAGTCCTTTTCCCTTCCCGTACCTAATTCATATGCTTTCTATTTAATCCTTGCAATTGCCTCAGAAGTTGAATGAATCTAATCTTGTTTTCTTCCTAGGCTCCTCGGTTATCTTATTGGTTTGTTGTTTGCTTGTTAGGACTGAGTTGACGACAAATCGAACTGAAGAAGAATTTGTGGGCGAAAAGTGCTACTGGTACTGTTATTAAGTGTTTTCAGTCGTTTTTCACCGATCGATACCTATTCAGTCATTGATTTCAATCTTGATGGTTTTCCACATGTACTTTTAGCATATTGTTTCTTGCATGTGACCTTCTTTATGATTGTATTGCACAACTACATTCTTCTTGTGAGCATTCATTTATCCAATTCTCAAGAAGTCAACCAGGCTCCTGTTTTTTAATTTATTTCTACATATCTGTGTATTTATGAATAATTGTTCCAATTCTTATTTGGTTACCACTGCTTCAATCTTTTTCAATTTTAAAAATGATTTGACTAAGGTAAGGGCACTGAGATTTTGGAAAACAATATCATCGAGAATGACATGAAATCTGGTTTGTTCTTACACATGGTTTGGGCATGATTATCAATTTTCGGCTGTACTGATATTTGGTTTTGAATTTAATTTGTGTCACTACAATCGGTATTTGTTAAATGCAGCTATGGTAATGTACAGTTCTAATTTGAAGTTGGAAGATTATATCACTCCCATTTATTGAATGTTTTTCAAATGAATACTCTATTGTGCTATTTTAATTAAGTATATGCATGTCAAGGGGTAATGCACGTGCAATGTGTCACTGTATCAACTGAATAAACATGAACGTGTAAGGACATTAGAGCTGTATAACCAAATTGTTTTCTATATCCAATGTGGTGAAAGTTAATTATATAAAGCAAGGATTACATGATGTCAATGTAATTGTATATTTAGTTACATAGACTCCCTCCATCCACTAAAGTTACACCTATTACTTTTATCACCATGACCAAGAAGAACTTAATTAATCATGCATATAACAAAAATTAAGGAGCGTATACACGTATGCAGCTACTGAATATTAATATTGCTCCTTGGGTTCTAATCAAAGATTTAATTTACCTCTCTATTTCAGTTTTCTTGCATAGAAACTACAAATAGGAACAAATTATTTAGAAAAACTAAAATATGAAATATGGCTAACTCTTGGGATGGAGTGAGTATATCTATCTATTATATATTAAAAATCTATTAAACTTCCTACAAATGCTCATAAGTTACCATGTGACACTTCTACAAACACTACTAGGTCGCCATGTGGCACTAGGAATTCTATAAAACAAACATCTAGCCATTGATTTTCATTTAATCTGGTAGAGCCATTATTTTTAACCATTAGATCTATCTGATAATAGGCTATAGTATTACTCTGCAATGCAATTCTACAAATGAGAAAAATGAGATGCTAGCAGATCACTTTTTTTCCAGTTAGAGATGCTAGCAATCTCACATAAGTAGTGAGCATAGTGACTCTCAGACAAAGATACTTCAAAGTTGTTTCTGTTTTTATATTAGTGAAATATTTCTGTGTAGTTATCTTTTTGTCCTCGGGAGCATTCCTAGAGTGACAATATAAGATGCAATGCACCATCCGTCTTTATTAACAGAAATTCCAAAGCTCCATATGGTCTATGAAACTCAATTTTTACGTGAAGAATTTATATGGAGTGTTGCATAAAAAAGTAGCATTTATTATTCTACTTCTGTGTATATAATGTCAAAACGTGCCTTACACGTGCACGATAACTAGTTATCTAAAAAAAGAGCACACGAACACTAAGCATGACTAGGCGGAAGTGCAAGCATAACGACCAGTTCTTCCATAAGAGAGGGGCAGCTCCTGCTCAGATGCTTGAAGCCGTCGCTGGCGACGACAGCACTCAGGTTCGCCGGTGAGCCAAGAAAACTGAAGCACGCCTTCTTCAGCCCGTCGCAGTGGTGCTGATCAGCTAGTGCCAGGATGTTCGACACCGTGCTTACACCAATGTACTTGCATAACCTGTTCTCGCACATCAGCTTGAGCCTGTGCAGGTCGTATCGATCCGCCGTGACGAGCAGATGCTGGCATACGACGTCTTCCTCCGTCTCCATCTCCGGCAACGAGTCGGTGTACACGAAGCGGAGCAACAGCTTGAACACCTGCGCCTCCATGTCTTCAATGTGCACGACTCCATCAGTGTCGCCCTCCTTCATCGAGCCGTAGAGCGCCGCCCTGAACACCGGCGACCGCGCCGCGAGCACGCACCGGTGCGCGGCGAACGTCTGGCCGCCGACCTCAAACACCACATCCGCGCCCTTCTCGGTCTCCAGCAGGTCGCCGAACTGCTGGTCCATGTCGGACGGGGGCACGGGTACAAAGGATTCGACGGGGAGTATCTCGGTCGTCTCCTCGGTGCGGATCTCACGGACGACGACAATGTCGCACCGGATGGTGAAAGAATCGTCCCTAAGATCATCGGACTTCTCGAGATCTACCCTTTTGATGAACTCCACATAGCCCCAACCACAAGAATCCTCGAGATTAAATGTCTTTATGGGCCTGTATTTCAGCGAAGGTTGCTTCTTCACCTGGTTAGCGAAACTAAACTTGAACTTGGCCTGCACCGTCAAACCCATGTTGGTCTCTTCTTCTTCTAGTACGAGAAAGAAAGATATGTAATCGGCGGTCTTGACGTCATCTCCATTGGGGTAGTATTTGATGTTCCAGCGGTGGCCGCCGACGGTGAACGGGCTCGAAGGGAGAAACGAGCCGGTGGGGGTGGTGGCCTTGGTGAGGGAGTAGCCGTTGATCTTGAGGAGGTGATACCCGGTCGCCGTCTCGGCCACGATGGTGGAGGAGGAGGCTGACCGCGACGGCGGGTTGCCACGGCCTACGGCGGGGGACATGGCAGCACGCTAGCTGGTCCTGTAGGGTTTAGACCGGGGAAAGTGTTTTCACGTACTCTTCCGGTCTTCCCTTGTTTTCTCAAAAGATCGATGAAAAAGAACATGTAAAGAAAAATCCGAAATTAATAGTAGTCGAATTGGGTTTATAGCCCAGCGTACATGACCTGCAGCCCCATCGTTTGGCCTAAACAGCCAAAGAATAAGCCAAAATTTGAATTTTTGAACTTAATTTTGAAGTTGATTTTGAAATGCTTTTAACGTAATTTTTGTTAATTTTGGCTTTTAAGTCGCTACGAACAAATCTACAAAAGTTTTACTTATAAATTAATTTTAATTTTCTAATAAGCCAAATAAGCCATTTTAGGTAAAATGGCAACTGATGGGAGCCCTGGAATGTGGATCGGTAATCCAATTCCAATCATCTACAGGGATGGAAATTTTGGAAATTGCCGAAATCCCCCCTCCCCCCTCCCCACCGGCAAGCAAATATTTCGAGCGAATTTTCTAGATTTTTTTTCAAATATTTATGAATTTGGTCATAATTTGTTCAAATTCAGTAAAAATATGTTAATTTTTTTTAAAAAAAACCGTTCAAAGTATCCGAAATTTCGGAATTTTGATGGCCGCTGAAATTATCTTGCTTCCCGAAATGTAAAACCCTGTTCATCTATACAAGGACGGCCGGCCAGCGTCACCAATGACCGCTGGCGTTGATCAGGGCATGAGCAATGTATAATGCTCAAGTGGGCCCCAGGTGGGTCCCATTGAGATATAGCACCCCTCTCACAATGTATATGGCTAGGAGGGGGTGTTAAGATGGGTCCCACCTTCTACCATCTCAACTACCAAGAGTGTGCTAGGAGAGAGATGAAAATTATTTTTTTATTCCTTATGGCCAGGCATTAGCCATATGGGTAGCTCAACCAAAAGACCTCTATAAAGATCACTCCCACGATGTATATAGACTAGTGAGGAGGCTTAAGACCCCCTCTATTCCCACGTTGTGGTCGCCCTCAATGTTATGCAGCTTGCAGCAGCTGGACAAAAAGCTCTACAATATCGACGATGCGGTTGAATTAGCAACTCAATTCAATTTTCAGGAGCAAAATTGCCTTGTTTCAAAAAAAAAAAGGAAGAAGAGGAAAAAATATAGCACCCTGCACCCCATGTTCCACAATTCATGCTCACAGTTGTTAGGGATATTTTCCATTCTCAGTATATATATGAACCTCGACCGAAGAATTAAAGACTGCCTATTGATTTGATTCATCACTTAATCATTGGTTTCATGACACATGACTTAATCATGGGTTTGCTGTAAGCCTATAAATCTGAGCTGATGCTCCAATTTGAGCTCCCTAAACTAGTTAGCATGAGCATGACAAACAATAACTAGTTTTCTCCGGGAACAAATAACTTGTTTTGTATGTTCTGTTTGACCCAGAAAACTGTTGCACAGACAACAAGTAACCAGTTTTTTATGTTTCGGAAAAGAAACTAGCTAACCAACATCCTGACAAGTTTGGAAATAGTAGGTACAAACTTCAACGTGACGCTGAAGAACAAACTATTCATATACTCTTCACATCTTTAGAACCACCAAAAGATGCATTTTCCTCAAATTATCTCTAGTCCAGACATTAATTATTCTTGATCAAGAGACATTAAGAACACTTTAAATCTTAAAATAAATTTGGCTTTCAGATAGATTTAAAACGGATGATAACAAGACTCATTTTTATGGACCAGCACAAAAGGAGTCGAGGACTGAACCTTGAATGTTGTTCCACTTATCTGAAACGCTGAATCATCAAGCAAAAACACATGAGAAAAGGTATCTAACAACAAAGTTATCATGGAGATAACATAAATTAACTCAAAACAAGGAGATAAACACTTAAAAAACCAATTTCGCCGTCACATCTTTATTTTTAGGGGCAATTAATTATTTGACCCTCCTTTTAAAAAACGAAGCTCCTCTCGGCCCAAGAGGGATCGAGAGCGATGCCACTTTTCCGGCCTAAGCCCAGGTTGCGGCCTGGGGAGGGAAAGTGCGCCCGCCCATGCGCAAAAGGCCATGGGCCGACCGGCAAGGGCCGGAAAGAAGTCTATTTTAGGTCCCTCGGGCCGAAGAAAAAGAGAAAAAGTTCATTTTTAGTACTTCATTTTTTCAGAAGCATTTATAATTATAGTTATTGAATGTAATGTATTTATTTCGAAGCAAACCTAAAAGGAGATTTTCTTTCTTTTTCCAATTAAATAATTGTTAAATGATGTTTGTATTATTAAAATTAGCAATTAAGCTGTGAAAATTACAAAAAAATTCCAAAGAGCGTTACTAATCATGGAGAATTTAATAAAATTAAATTTAACCATGTTATTTTATTTCTCACACTTGCTTTACTTGTAAATTTATTTAATTATACAAATACCTACTTAAAAATTCCAAATATTTCAGCGAATTTGTATTTTAATTAATTGCATATTTTTCTGATCTGTACGCTTCCCGTTACAACGCACGGATACTTTTACTAGTTAAATTAAAAGGACGCAGTCCCCTCCTCGGCTCTCCTTCTCGTTCCTCTCGACTGCTCAGCACCGATGATGCCGCATCAGCTCCTCTTTCCCTTCTCGTTGACGGCGGTGGCCTCGGATACCGCGAATCCGCCGCCAGAGGTCGCGGTAGGGACTGATCAGGAGGTGTGGATTAGGTACTGGGGAGGTCGGAGACGACAGATCCAGTGTCGAGGGAATCGGAGATAATGCCAGTATGGTCAGCGGCGTCCATTTGCGGGGACAACCATGGAGACAATTATTCACTGTATATTAGAGTTAGAGTTGTTGGAATATTCTTTTTAGAATTTTTATTTGTTTCACCAAAAAACTTTTGCAGTCGGGCAGCATAACATGCCTGCCTATGAAAATCCTTTTTCACATGCAGTTGTTTTGTCCATCTAGGAAAATCTCAGATTTTCACATACACCTATGCTCAGGCGATTGCTCCACGTGCCTACAAAAATTCAATTTTTTATAAGAAAGAACCCAAAAATTCAATTTGGCCTTCTGGGAAAAGCATCTTTCCAGTAGTGAGAATATAGCACAGGTGCTTACATAACTCAACCAGTCATCCAAATCCAAATCAAGAAGTAATTTTTTCATGTAAAGTTACAGTGGTAGTAACAACACACGGTCAAACTGGAATTACTTTTACCTCCTTAGGATGATGTTCATGACTCGTAAATTTCATGGAATTACTAAGGTCATATACCTCTGCAGCTCTGCCTGATAGTGATAGTACAAGCCAAGACACCGAGACAGGGTGTACAACAGCAAGTCTCCATGCATTGCTAAAATATATAGAAGAGAACTATGTGATGACAAAGGTCTCTAAACCACATGCTAGAACATAGTACTAATTAAGCATAACTCAGTGGAGGCACCAGCATCCTAACACAAGCTGTTTCATAACAAAGAGCCAGCCCCTGCTGACAGGACTCAGGTTCGCCGATGAGCCGAGAAAATTGCAGCACGCTTTCTGCAGCCCGGAGCAGTGGTGCTGATCAGCCAGCAACAGCATGTTCGACACCGTGCCCGTGCTAATGTGCTTGCACAGCTTCTCCTCGCAGATCAGCTTCAGCCTCTCCAGGTTGTACCGATCCGCCGCGACGAGCAGATGCTGGCACATGATGCCTTCGTCCTTCTTCTTCATCTCCGGCAACGAGTCGGTGTACACGAAGCGGAGCAGCAGCTTGAACACCCGCGCTTCCATGTCCTCGACGCGCACGACCACGGCGGCGTTGCCCTCCTTCATCAGGCCGTAGAGCTCCGCGCCGAAGACCGGCGACCGCGCCGCGAGCACGCACCGGTGCGCGGCGAACCTCTCGCCGGCGACCTCGAACACCACGTCGGCGCCCTTCTCGGTCTCCAGCAGCTCGCCGAGCTGCAGGTTCATGTCGGGTGGGGGCACGGATACGAACGATTTGGGCGGGAGCACCTCGGTCGTCTCAACAAGGAACTCGCGGACGATGGCAATGTCGCACCGGATTGTGAAAGAGTCGTCTCGGAGATCCTTGGACTTCTCGAAATCTTCCCTTTTGATGAACTTCGAATAGCCCCAAGACCAAGAAGAACCATCACCAAAAGTTCTCACTGTTTTGGATGTTAGTGTAGGCAGCGCCTTTGCCTGGTCTGCGAAACAAATCTGAAACAGCGTCCACACCTTCACGCTCTTGGTCTTGGTGTTTTTCTTTTCGTCGAGCAAGAGGTAAAACGACATGTAATCTGCATTGTCGGTGTGGTCCCCGTTGGGATAGTAGTAGATGCGCCAGCGGTGGCCGCCGACGATGAACTGGCTGGATGCGATGGCCGTGCCATTGGGGGTGCCCTTGGTGCGCGAGTAGCCGTCGATCTTGAGGAGGTGGTACCCGGTCTCCGTGTCAGCCACGATGGTGGAGGTGGAGGCCGACCGCGACGAGTTGCCGGCGGCGGAAGAGGACATGGCAGGCAGGGGCACTAATTGCTGGCGTATTAGGAGAAGTAGGGGAAGGGCAGAGCCGCAGAGGACGATGAGAAGAAAATTAAGGGACGATCGAAATTAGTAGTATATTATTAAGAATTAGATTAGGATCAGTACACTAACCTTCTTGTCAATGTTCACCTGGAGTCCCAAACGAATTCCCAACATTGATGGTTAAACCGTATTAGTTTACAACGGACGGCGGCTTGGTTGTGTGGGATTTGTGAAGATGCAGGACTCCGAAACTGGCCGGCGCCCATTCTTGGTTACTGGCCAGTCTCCAGCGAACAAAGGGAAACTGTACGGGAAGAACACTAGTACAGAATTCATTTTTTTCTGCGGTCAAAATCCATTTTTCCGTACGGGAGGTAGCGCCCGTCTGCATTTTTTCCGTACGGGAGGTAGCGCCCGTCTGCATTCAGGGGTTTGCGAAAATCAATATTTTCGTATGCGGGCGGCCCAACCGCACGGGATAATCGATTATCCCGTGCGGTCGTGTTAAGTGGACCGCGGTCAAGTTATACCGCCCGCACGCAAAAAAAAAACACAAAAAAATAAAAGTAGAAAAACCCTAACCCTAACCCTAGAATCGCCGACCACTGCACCCGGCCACCGCCGCTCCCGTCGTCGTCGCCGTCGTCGCGCCGGCTCCCCACCCGGCCACCGCCGCCGCTCCCGGTTGCCGCCACTTGTCGTCGAGCCCGCCCGTCATCGACGCGGTCGTCACGCCTGCCCGTCGTCGTTGCGGTCTTCATGCCGCCGCTGCCGCCGTCGAACCTGCCCGCCGCCCGATCACACGGATCCGAGGAGGGGACTACCACAGCGGCCAGATCCAGGCAGGGGACGGCCGCCGCCTGCGGATCCGGGCGAGGGCCGGTTGCCGTCGCTCCTCGCCGCCGCGCCCGAGTTGTTCACCACCGCCGTCCACCAAGCCGCTCGCCGCCGTGCCCACCCGGTCGCTGCCTCGTCGCCCGCCGCTGTGTCGCCTCCCGCCCGTTCTCGGCCGCTGCCTCGTTGTTGGTGCCGCCGAGCCGGCCGCTTCCCGCGGAGAGGAGAGGAGAGGAGAAGAGAAAGAGATCAAAAAAGGGATAGAGAGGAGGAAAGTGAGAGAGAGAGGAGTGAAAATAAAAAAGGATAGGAAGGGAGAGAATGTGTGAAAATTTGGTAGTGAGTGAGAGGGAGAGGTATTTTCGCGTGCGGTCCACTTAATATGCTTGCACGTGAAAATCGATTTTTCTGTGCAGTCATGTTACGGAGCCGCACGGGATAATATTCCCCATTATGCTGTGCGGTCGGATTAAGACGCCCGCACGGGATAATGCATTTTCCCGTGCGGGCGATGGCCCGGCGCTGGTCGCCCGGTTTTTCTAGACGGCGCCACTTATGGTTCGCTTGGATTCTACCGGGGGCATGTTCCACATGGAAGCTCAATAAGTCAATAGCTCAATAAGTAATGACATTAACTATCAATACGTCTCTATTGAAGAATAAAGAACTGTTTCTTTATTCACTTCATATTATAAATTGTTTTAAACTTTTTCCTAATTAAACTTTTATCTAATCAAACTTTTTAATGTAGACTAAGTTTACGGAAAAATACCCCTCCGTTTTACATTATAAGTCGTTTAATTTTTTTCTAGTAAAGTTTAACTAAGTTATATAAAAATGTAGTAGTATTTTCAACACAAAACAAATAACTAATTTTCTTTTCTAGATGTTGCTAAATTTTTCTATAAATTTAGTCCTAAGAAAAAAAAATTCAAACCGACTCGTATGAAATGGAGGAAGTAGTCAATGTGTCATCTATTGAAGAATCAAAAAACTTATATGAATCTGAAATATTTTGACCTCCTCACGACTCCTCCTAAGGATATATGCTCATAAGTCATACTCCCTCTGAGGAACCGGCTCCTCTGACGTAGAGAATTGTACGTCAGAGGGACGTTCGACTCCCGATAGCCGTCGCTTGCGCATCCAACGGCTCCGGTCCGCGCGTGCCCGATGTATAGCCTTTCCGTACGGTGCCCATTCGCAGAATCGCAGCCGGGAGCTCACGCCAAAGGGAAGCACCAGCCGCCGGAGCCGTCGCTCGAGCCATAGCCTAGCGACGGCCGACGAGAATTAAGCTCCGTTCGCCTAGGAAGACGAAGGTGCAGGCGAGCAGCTTGGCAGCGTCGCTGGCGGGACGAAGTCGCCGTAGCCGACAGTGGTCATGTGTGTGTCCTTGTTTTTAGCAGCATCCTAGAGTAGATTGCATCAGGTTTCAATTTCTATTGGCATCGCATTCCTTCGGACGTGCTTAGTTCATGTCGCGGCGCGTCCGCGTCGTGCGCTCCGCTTCGCTTGTGTGGGATGGAACACATTCGCGGCAATGGCAGCGAGGTGAGGGCGCGCATCCAGGAGGCCACGATGCATGGTGAGTTTTTGTATTCTGCAAATAAAAGGATGAGAAAATAAAAAGCTTCAGTGAGCCAGTGACACTTACACAGCACCAAAACTCCCTCTGTCAAACACCTTGTGAGTGCACTGTTCATCTTCTTCCTCCAGACAATCTAGAGTTTGTGAGCCAAGTCATCGATTGGGGCTGTCAAAGGACGGCGATCTCTCCGAATCTGGTTTCCCAGGCAGAGGAGGGCATTGACGCGGTCTCGTGCGGCGAAGTGCGCGAGCACAGACACCTCGAGTGCGCCGCACATCCTGTGCTTGTCCGGCAGCAGGTACATCATGTTATAAAACCAGCCCCGAAATCGACATCGGTAGCTAAACGCGGAAGAAAACGCCATAGGAGATCCAAAACGATGACGACACCGAGACACGATATTTGGTAACGGAGTTCAGCCGTAGCCTACATCTCCGGGGCACTGATTATGGGGGCTCCTCCCCGATCCAACATATACAGCGTATCAGAGTTACAATGACTCATGGCCGGTAGACGCCGGCAGCCGCTCCCTCTCGCTATGCTAAGTCGCCATGCAGTTACAACAGGCACGCCCCTATATTTATGAGAGATTCTAGGATAGAGTCCGACTCATACTCTAGTACTAATACCTATTACAAGTCCAAGTCCTAACTGTAACCGACTACGTCCACATATTCGACACAAACTCTAACAAACTCCACCTTGGCGAATATGCCATGCCAACTTGAATCTGTTACTTGCTCGAACCTCCATGTACCAGGACTTGAGTTGGTTCTGCCGCAGCTCACGCCGAGCCACCCGACGAGCCTACGCCAGGCTCGCCGCCTTCAGGATCATGCACAGCAACACCAACATACCCATCTTCCATGACTCCACCTGTAACAGCACTCCCTTGTAACTTGTACAAACATGAGCTTGTCCTCTCACCAGTCATAACAGTCTTGCCGTCCTTCATGATATTCATGGTCTTCCTATCAGAATCCACCTGATACAACCAACCTGTCTCATGTAGGCTCCCAAGCGAAACAAACTCTTCCTTAATCCCGGCACGTGTCTCACATCTGAAAGTAGCACCTCGTTTCCATCATACATCTTGAAATTGACATCGCCCACTCCAACAACACGATAACTCGTGCCATCGCCTAAGTAAACAACACCAAAATCACCAGATTTGTATGAAGAGAACCACTCCCGCTTCGATGTCACATGATAGGAACTAGCTGAGTCCAACATCCACGCTTCTCCAGACATCTCGTCAGACACTGTGAGAATCTCATGACTACCGCTATCTGAATCATCACCACGAGCTGCTAAACTTGCAATGCCACCTTTCCTCTTCTTCAGTAACGGGCAATTCCTCCTTATATGTCCAAACTCATGACACTTATAGCACCGTGCCCCCTTCTCCTTGCTCTTCGACACCCCCGCTTCATGATCATGCTTATCCTTGACCAGCAAACTCTTACCCTGAGAAGCTTTCGTTGCCTCGTTTTTCTTTGATCTTCTCAAGTCTCGTGCAAGTAACGACGAAATTATCTCCTCAGTTTTGACAGTATCCTTGCCGTGCGTCAGGGTAGTCACCACATGTTCATACGACAGTGGAAGCGAGCACAGAAGAATTATGGCCTTGTCTTCATCATCCAGTTTCACATCTAACTTACTTAGATCCACAACCAACTGATTGAAGACGTCCACGTGCTTCCTAAGATCTGACTCCTCTTGCACCTGCAAACCATACAGCTGCTGTTTGAGATACAACTTACTCGTCAGCGACTTGGACATATGTAGGCTTGCCAACTTGTCCCAAATTTCCTTCGGCGATTTTTCATCCATGACCTGGTACATGACAGAATCCGAGAGACTCAAGCGTATTGTTGCAGCTGCCTGTGCCTTCATCTCATTCCACTTGTCAGCATCAATCTTTTCCGGCATCGTCTCCTGAAGTGCCTTGGATATCCCCTGTTGAGCCAACAGATCCTTCAGCCTCATCTGCCAGAGAACGAAATTCCCGGTGCCATCGAACTTCACCACCTCAAATTTGGAAACCGCTGTTGCCGCCATCGACGATAATCAACTCAACAGCTGTTGCCCTGTTAAATTGATCTGCTCTGATTAATTGACCCACCGACTAAACTTGCACAGTCACCAGCCGGACAAAACCAACCCTTTTTTTTCCTCCAAAAAACCGGTCGGTTTTCTTTTCTAGTCAATAAGCCAGTCAACAGCGGTCAAAGGGAATCAGATAGAAACCGATCTCCTTTCCTCCTCATTCGGCCTCCTCGCTCCTCCTAGAAACCGTGCCTGCGGCGCTTCTTTCTGATGCGCCGCCACTTTGCGCCCTGCTCCTCACGCCGCCGCCGGCCCCGCAAGGAATCTCAGCATCGTCTGCCCGCCTCGGGAACCGTCGCCTCCCTCCGCCGTCGCGCGCCTGTGCCGACCCCACGAGGAGCCGAGGGGTCGCCGGCCTTGGGAACCCGCCTGGGAGCCGCCTCCACCGAAGACCTGCGCCGGTTCCTCGCCGGGAACCACCGCAGCCGCTGCCGCAAGCTCCTGCCCGAGCTCCGACGAATGCCGCCGAGTACCACGCCGCCGCGCGCCACCTGCAATGACGTGTCTCCAGCTGCCCGTGACCTCGCCGCCCAAACCACCTCCGCCTCTGCGAAAATCGGGTACGACTCTCGCCCTCTGCTAGGTGATTTGTTTCGATTGCGTTGTTGCAATCCCATGGTCCTCTGCTACTTTTATCTGGGAAAAATTGAGTCTGATTCCTGAACGAATCG